GTAGCTCTGATACCATGCTAGAAAGACATAGTGCCGGCGTAGCGGAAACGTGTTTGTAGAAAAGAACAAGATAGAAATCTTGCATTGATAATTGAAAAGTAGAAGGATGACACAATGATAACTCAATTATTGAATAATTCACAGCAGGCAGGGTATTTATGTTTCTATCTACCCCTACCAAAGGACCCCATTCACACCAATAATGGTGTACTAATAATTCTACCCTCTACCCTCCAATAATGCTGACCTCCAATAATTGTGGACCTACAATAATTGTGACAATTATTGTAGGACCTGGAGGCTTATAACGAGTACTACACTAAAACCGAACAGCACTGGTATACAATATTCGTTATATTGTATTCGAATTTCCAACATTAGAAACTATCAGACAGGAATGATGTCACTAGTCAGGAAAGAAAGTACAAGTACCAAACCCTAAAAGTGTTGTACTCTATATGTGCTACCCCACTACAGCCTACAAACATATAAATTAGTTTTGACAGAGCAGAGCTGTTTGCTCGGCTGAGATTGACTTTTGCTGGCTGCAAAATGTGCCTTCTTTCTTGCTGCTCAACCTCATTACTACATATCCCTTGCTGTAATGTAGTGGAACGTACCGCTACTGTGTGAGAACACAAGCATTTGCAAAATTCCCCATTCTCCTCTCCACGGTATTGGAGAATATCATTCGCAACATCCCACAATTATTAGCACATTACTGTCAGTCACCATTCACCTCACCATGTCCTAAGCTCATGCCTTGGCTTTGCATGTTCTGTTTGGTCTTGATGTACATCGGTAGTGCAGTTATGGTCTAGTCACCGAACAGAAGCCATAGCATAGTTTTCTTAATGATACCGTACATGTGTACGGTACCATAACCAAATTAGTAATGGATGCATACACTACACAATACAGGAACAAATAACGGCAAAATTGTTAGTAAACCCGAGTCAAATCAGTGCAGGCTCCTACACTAGACAGGAAAAACTGAGTACTCATCACTCCAGTGGTTTCAATAGTCCGATGGGCTTCAAGTGCCGAAGAACCTCAATGTAAAATAGTTAAAACCAAAATGCAAAATAGTGAACCCAACGCCAACTTGAAAGAGGGCTTGCCGTGCGAAACAATTTTGGAACCAAACCGACAAGTTTCCAGTGTTTCATTGAGAGCGTTTTTTGCAGATCGAACACATCTGATTGGTTCCCGCCAAAACCAAAAGAAGGAACACAGCACGTCAGGCGTCGCATATCAGTTTTGAAAGCTGCACAACACTAGCATTGCGATCGCTCATGCACGTCCTTGCGATTTTGGGCCCAGCTTGGGGTTCAAGTTGGGTCTGGGTGAACAACTACTATTTCTTCCGATCATACATCTCTGCTTCTTAATTATGTGTGGCATGTCTAGCCATCGAACCGTCAACTTAGGCCGTTGTTGTTTCAATTTAGACGCGTAGTGAAGCTGGCATGGTTGTGTAGTACTTTGTGACGTTTCGAATGCCCTCTCGCCGCCTTCCTATCTCATCTCGCTCGCCCTCCCGTTCCGATCGACCGTCCTGACGCCGTCCCATTGACCATCCTGACGCCGTCCCATCGACCGTCGCGTCGCGATCATGTCGTCCGTCCCGTCGACGTCCCGTCGCCCTCCTACCGTCATCTCCATTACCCCTCTCCTCCAATCACCCTCGCGATTTTCCCATCGCAAATCTCTCTCTCGCCGCTCCCTTTCCTGAACCAATCGCCTTCTCCTCTCCCTTCTCGTCGCTCTCTCTCTCGCCGCTCCCTTTCCGTTGCAATCGCCTTCTCCTATCCCTTCCCGTCGCTCTATCTCTCTCCCCTCCCTTCCCGTCGCTCTATCTCTCTCCCCTCCCTTCCCGTCGCTCTATCTCTCTCCCCTCCCTTTCCGTCGATCTATCTCTCTCCCCTCCCTTTCCGTCGCTCTATCTCTCTCCCCTCCCTTTCCGTCGCTCTATCTCTCTCCCCTCCCATCCCGTCGCTCTATCTCTCTCCCCTCCCTTCCCGTCGCTCTATCTCTCTCCCCTCCCTTGCCGTCGCTCTTGCTCTCTCCCCTCCCTTCTCGTAGCCTTAGATGCAGCCGTCGCAAATTCCTCTCCCACCCACCATCACCCACCCCATCGCCTTCCCGCTCGCCACGAAACGCCTTCTCGTCCCCCGCCCACTTTCTCCTCCCATCGCCTGCCTGGTCGCCTTCGCGCTCGCACTCAAACGCTCTCCCCGCGCCCTTCCTCTCTCCCTTCCCATCACCGACCTCGTCGCCCTCGTGCTCGTCCCGAAATGCCTTCCCATCGCCTTTCGTCTCTTCTCCCCAATCATTAATCTCTGAAACGCTCTCCATCGTCGGCCAATCCGCCCTTCGCTCTTGCTATGCAATGCCCTCTCCGCGCCCTTCCTCCCTCCCCTCACAACCTGTCTTCCCTCCCCGCATCCCGTCGTTCCTCTCTACCCTCCCATCCCGTCGTTCCTCCGCTCTACCCTCCCATCCCGTCTTTCTTCCTCTCTCCCCTCCCATCCCGTCGTTCCTCCTCTCTTCCTTCCTATCCCGTCGTTTTTCCCTTCTCCCCTCCCATCCCGTCGTTCCCCCTCTCTCCCCTCCTCTCCCGTCAGCCCCCTTGTCCCCAGTCCCTTCTCTTCGCCGTCGACCAATCAACCGTCCCGTCGCCCTTTCTCTTTTCGTACATCATTAATTTCTTTATTTATATCTTCTTCGCCTGATTTCACCTGTGTGTGCCATGGATTTTGCTTGATCATGCCAGTGTTCGCGCAGGATTTTGCGAGTTTTTGCCTGTGCGCGCTGGATTTTGCCTGTGTGTGCGCTGCTTTTTGCATATGGGAATTCTTGTGAAGTTACGACGGCTGCTATGTTGAATGTGGGGTTGCAGCCTTCCGCCAAATTCGCATACGAATGTGGGTGAAAGTCGCCACCAATAAGATTTGTAAACAAGTTCCTCATGTTTCCCGTTCAGATCAAGACTCGTCTGGGATGAAAAAAAAGTAAAAACGCACAGGCAGTCAACTTTTCAAACGTTCGTAACGAGCTTGTGTTTTCAAGTGGACCCAACTAGAAGGGGGGGGTCACTATTTTAGCTGCTGGCTTTAATGTGTCTAAAAAGGGCTTCCAGAGCCTTCTGGTATCAAATCAAGTGTAGCTGATGTGGCCACTCTAAGAATTGCTCTTTCCAGAAGAGCTGCTGAGGACTGGGATAGTCCCAGGTCCTGCAAGACAGAGGAAAAGATTTGGAAAAGCACGCGTCAGCACAACGGATAAGGTGGTTACACTGCTACGTAAATTCAAGTATTTAAAGAAAAGCGTTGCATCGGGCAGAGGGAGGACAGGGAGAATGGAATGGCGTGTGCGCAGCATGGAGGGAGGGAGAGAGAGACTCACTGGACTGTGTATAAGTTCCAACAGTGCTGCTTTCTGCTGCTCAGTCATTGGCTTGGGCTTCAGTGGTGTTGCTCCTGCTGCAGCTGCTGCAGCTGCTGCTGCTGCTGCCCCTCCTTCAACCATCCCTCCTGCTACGCCATGGATTGCTGGTGCAGGCGCATCTGCTGCATCACCTGCAGCAGCTTCTGCTGCTGCTGCTGATGCTGCTACAGCCGTTTCAGCTACAGCCGTTGCAGTGTGGGTGGAAGGATGGTCGGTCGTGGCGGAGGGATGATTGGAGTGGGTGAGCGACCAGATGCGATGGAGAGCAAGGGAGAATGGGGAGTGGGGTCGATGCGGGTTTGAGGAACCTGCACCTGCGTGCTTTGGTGCTTGGCTTGCAGGGATTAGCGTGTGTGAGTCAGAAGGTGAGGTGATTCCGTTGAAATCAGGTGGAGAGTAGGATGGAGGTGCGTTGGGCTGGATGGAGGGAGGCTGGTTGTGAGTCTTGGGAAGTGAGCTGGGAGAGGGGGAGTGTGAGGGGGAGTGTGAGTTTGCAGGGGAGAAGGGGGAGAAGAGAGATGCTAGTGTTGATGCTGGTGATGCAGGTCGTTTTCCTGTCTTTCCAGGAGTCCTTTCAGGCGTTTCTTCAGGTGCCTTTTCAGCAGTTTTACCAACCGAGGGAGTTGATGCTGGAGCTGCTGTTGGTGCTGCTATTGGTGCTGCTGTTGCTGCCCCAGATGCTGCAGGCTTGGCATAGGCTGGTTTTCCCATGGTAGGCCGAGATTTTGTGGGGCTAAAGAAACGGAATGGGGAGAGTGAGCGAGGGCGAGAAGATTTTTGGGAGGAAGCGGAAGAGGAGGAGGAGGAGGAGGAGGAGGACGAGGAGGAGGAAGAGGAGGAGGAGGAGGAGGAGGAGGAGGAGGAGGATGAGGAGGAGGAGGAGGAGGAGGAGGAGGAGGAGGAGGAGGAGGAGGGGGAGGAGGAAGAGGAGGAGGAGGAAGGGGAGGAGGAGGAGGAAGAGGAGGAGGAAGATGATGAGGAGGGTGTGGGCTGAGAGGAAGGAAAGGCAGGAGGGACAGAGGCAGTGCTGGTATCAGAAACGGGGCTTAAGGCTGGTGCAGCAGCAGTAGGTGCAGCAGCAGCAGAACCACCAGCAGTAGCACCAGCAGAATCAGCTGCAGTATCAGCAGAGCCAGTAGCAGCCGCACCAGCAACAGAATCAGTATCACCACTGAGAGCCGTCGCCAGCGAGAGTGGATCAGAAGCAGCAGCAGGAGCAGCAGGAACAGCAGGAGCAACAGGAGAAACAGGGGCAGCAGGAGCAACAGAAGCAGCAGCAGGAGCAGCAGGAGCAGTAGGAGCAGCAGGAGCAGCAGGAGCAGCAGAAGCAGCATCAGCAGCAGCAGCAGCAGCAGCAGCTGTAGAGGCAGGCAGCAGTCTTGCGACAGCGGAAGAGAAAGAGGTGGTGGAGAGAGGGGCGGAGAAAGGCGGATGAGAGTGAGGAGGAATAAGAGGAGGAGGAGAGGTGGAAGCAGGAGGGGGGGATGGAATAATCTTAAGGCGGAGGAGAGGAGCAGTAGGGGTTACCAAGGGGCTTTTGGCAGGGGGTACTAAGGGGGAGGACCGTAAAGGGGATGCCAGAGGGGATGCTAGAGGAGGGGATGTTGGGGACCGTTGCTCCTTGGGATTCAAACCTAGACTCCTCTTCTCCTCTCTGATTGGTGTAAGAGCAGTCCAGCTCACAGACCTGCCTCGCTCAAAACTGCCTTGAGCCCTGCCTTGCTGCTGCACGCTGCCTTGACACTCTGATTTTTCCGAATCTAGACCAGATCGCTCCACGCTACTTTGGGACCTTGATTCTTGCGAGTCTATGCCCAATCCTTCCTCCTCCTGGATCGCAGAGAGGGTGGTCCACCTCACAGATGTGACTCGCGGCTTTCTGCTAAGTGGCTCGCTCAGCAGAGCAAAGGCGAGGCGACGCCTTGAAACCTGAGGGGCGGTAGCAGCTGCTTTAGACGAAGCCTGTTGCTGAGACGCCTCAGTAACAGTATTGGCTGCTTCACCAGAAACAGAAGCTGCTGTGCTCGTTCCTGCTACAGCAGCAGAAGATTTAAAAGCAGCCACAGAACGAGCAGGAAAGAGCACAGCTGCTCGTTCCAGTTTCGGAGGCGCGTCATGAACAGTACTGGCCACTTCCTCAGAAATAGGAGCTACTGTGTTCACTCCTGCGCCGGAAGCAGGAGTTATCGGAGAAGCAGCACCTAAGAAACCCATTTCTCTGCACTGCACACCTCCTTCCGTTGCACCAGTAGCTTCCACTCCTCCGCTTCCTCCCTCCGCTCCACTCCCCCCTCCCAAACCCTTGGTGTTTTGTGCCTCACGTCCCATCTCTTCATGTGCTTTTCCAGTCGACCCAGAAGTCGACTCGTTAGGTTCCTCGCTTGTCTTACACTGCGTTTGCTGCTGCTCCGGACGTACGTCCTTCTCTTCGGTTGTCTCACAGATTTCAGCTCCCTCGACTGCTTCAGCGGCCCCTGTCTTTCCATCGGCTTCATTGGTTTCAGCCACCCTTCCCGCTGCAGCATGAGCACCACTTGGTGAGTCAGCATCAGTTGGCGAGTCAGCATCAGTTGGTGAGTCAGCATCAATTGGTGAGTCAGCATCAGTTGGTGAGTCAGCATCAGTTGGTGAGTAAGAACCAATTGGTGAGTCAGCACCACTTAAAAACGACTCAGGAGGTGATGACAGGTCAGCTGCCCAGGACATGTCAGCAGCAACAGCAGAAGAGGCAGCAGCAGCGCCATCAGCACCACCAGCACTTGCAGCAGAAGCAGCAGCAGAATCAGAAGATTGTATAGCAGACGCAGCAGGAGAAGCAGTACCTTCAGCAACGCGTCTTGTAGACCCAGCATCCCCAATAACAGCTCCAGCTGAAGCACCTGCTGACAATTCACCCAATCCACCCGACTTAACTGTCCCAACCAATCCACCTGACCCAACTTTCCCACCCAAACCACCTGATCCAACCGGCACACTTCCCCCGCTAGCAGCACTGCCCAGCCACCCCCGCAGCCTGCTCGTCTCCTCCGCCAGCTGGCGCATCGCCATTCGCTGCTGCTGCAGCCTGCTCCGAAGGTTCTGCAGGCTGTGCAGGCTGTGTTGAGTGGCAACCCGCGCGGCTAGAGCGGGGGAGAGGGGGAGGGAGGGGGGTTGTGATCTGGGGGCGAGGGTGAGTGAGGGGGGTGGTGGTGTGGTGGGGGTGACGAGGGAAGGAGGCGGTGGTGTGGGACTGTGCAGGCTGTGTTGGGTGGCCACGTGGGCAGCTAGGGCGGGGGAGAGGGGGAGGGAGGGGGGCTGTGATCTGGGGGTGACGAGGGAGTTAGGTGGTGGGGAGGGGCTGTGCAGGCTGTGTTGCGTGGCAACCCGGGCAGCTATGGCTGGGGACAGGGGGAGAGAAGGGGGTGGTGGTGTGGTGGGGGTGGCGAGGGAGGGAGGGGGTGGTGTGTGGCTGTGCAGGCTGTGTTGGGTGGCCACACGGGCAGCTAGAGCGGGGGAGGGGAGGAGGGAAGTGGGCGGGGCGGGGGAGAGGGTGAGTGAGAGGGGTGGTGGTGTGGTGGGGGTGACGAGGGAAGGGGGCGGTGGTGTGTGGCTGTGCAGGCTGTGTTGGGTGGCCACACGGGCAGCTAGAGCGGGGGAGGGGAGGAGGGAAGTGGGCGGGGCGGGGCAGAGGGTGAGTGAGAGGGGTGGTGGTGTGGTGGGGGTGACGAGGGAAGGGGGCGGTGGTGTGGGGCTGTGTAGGCTGTGTTGAGTGGGCACGTGGGCAGCTAGAGCAGGGGAGAGTGTGAGAGAAGGAGGTGGGGTGGGGGAGCGGGTGAGGGAGAGGGGTGGTGGTGTGGGGGTGACGAGGGACGGAGGTGGTTCAGGAGAAGCAAGGGCGAGAGTGAGAGAAAGGGAAAATATGGAGGAGGAGGGGGAGGTGGATGGAGGAGGGGAGAGGCACGAGGATAGAGGTGATGTGACTGTCCCTTCTGAAACGCCTGATGCTGCTGGTCCTGTGGTTGCAATGCTTCCCTCTGAAAGGCTCGGTACAGCGACCTTTACTTCACGTTCCAATGTTCCTGCGTGACCATTATCATTACCATTCTCCTCCTCACCACCTGATTCTTCTCTCTCTTCCTCTCCTTCAGCTGGTGCTGTGCTTTCCTGCAGCCCTACCCACTCACACCCTGTTTTTCTCTCTGCACCCTCCTCTTCCGCATCGTTTCTCTCACGCTTCTTCTCATCCTCCTCATCCTCCTCCTTCACTTCCACAACCTCCTCCCCTCCCTTCTCCCCTTCTCCCTCCTCCTCCTCCTGCCCATCCTTCCTCTCCTTTTCTTCCCCCTCTCTTTCCCCCTTTACCCCCTCTTCACTGCTCTCCCCTTCACCTCCCTCCTCCTCAACGGTTGTCCCTTCTTCCATCTCTGCTGATACTGCTACAGCTGGCCCGTCAGTCTCAAGATCTGCAGCGAAATCTGCTGCTACATCCTCCCAAGGGGCTACAGCTGCATTGGAAATTTCCTCTGCTCCAGCCAACCCATCAGTCTCAAGTTTTGCAGCGAAATCTGCTGCTACATCCTCGGAAGGGGCTACAGCAGCAGGAAGTATTTCAACTGCCACAGCCAGCCCGTTGGGCTCAACTCCTGCAGCAAAATCTGCTGCTACATCCCCGCAAGGGATAACAGCTGCTGGGAGAAAATGTCCTGCTACATCTTCTGCTACAGTTGCTGCACTGGTACCTGCTGCTACAGCCGGTGCAGATGGAACTCCTGCTGCAGCTGCTACAGCCGGAGTGGGAGACGGCGCTGCTACAGCCACCATCGGAGCAGCTGTAGCTCCCGCTACAACTGGAGATCGGATTGGCTCTGCTGCAACAGCCACAGGATCACTTGACACAACACCTGAAGAAGCACTCCCTGCTACAGCCAGTGCAGGCACTTCGCGAGATTCACCTGAAATTCCACCTGATCCGACACCTGGGCTGAGCATCTTGTGAAGGGAGGACAAGAGACGGCGCGGTGAGGGAGGCCGAATCCTAGCAGCAGGAGGAGAGGACTGTCTGGGCGAATTCTGAAAATTCTGAAGGGGCGAATTCCGGGTGAATCCAAAGCGGGTGGATTTGAGAGCAGGGGATGCTGGGCGAACAGGTGGGGTGGAAGGGGTGGTGCTGACAGGAGGGGCTGGGGGCGAGGAAGTAGGAGAGTTGGGGAGAGCGGAGAGGGGAGACATGAGGGAGGAGGGAGAAGTGGAGAGCTGGGAGTTGGGCAAGCCACGAGTAGGAGAAGAAGGAGCAGCAGGAGCAGTTGAAGGAGGAACAGAAGGAGTAGAAAGGGGTGGAATGGGGTCCAGAGCGATAGCGGGTGGAGGGAGGTCTACCGGGGGAAGGTTCCAGAAAGTTGTGGGTTCGGAGGCAGGACCTACAGGGGCGGATGCAGGGAACGGTTGAGGAGGAGGAGGATGGGAGGCATGGGAAGGGGGGGCATGGGGAGGGTAGGGGGCATGATGAGGGGAGATGAGGGAGGCGAGTGAGGAGGCCGAGGTAGAGGGTGCATCAACAGACGCCAGAGCAGGTGATTGTATCCAGTGTGGCTCTGTGGAACGTGACTGTCTCGTGCGTGCTGCTTTAGCCGATGAGGAGGAGGAGGAAGAGGATGGGGAGAGGGTGGACTTAAGAGATCGGAGCCAGGAGGAAGCAGTGGCAGCAGCTACTGTTGACAAGCTCTTGGATCGCTTGGGCGTCACAGAAGCCTTCGCAGATGAGCTTGTAGGTGCCATGGAAGATTGCGTGGGTGTCATGGGTGTACCGCTGCTGCTGGTGGCAGTAGTATTGCCGCCATGTGCAGAGTGCTGCTGCTGAGGCGAGTCAGAAAGAGGCGGCTTGTGCTGCTGACACGAGCCCGAATGGAGCGCCTTGGTAGCGGTTTCCCCGCTTGGGGACCTGAATACGAACACCTTGCTGACGAGGCTGGCAGGCTTGGCATATGGATAAAGGTTGAAAGTGCTTCTGATGGCCTTGCCTGCAGCAGCGTTATCAGCAGCCGTGTCAGCAACAGGAGCAGCATCAGCAGCATCAGCAGCAGCAGGAGCAGCAGGAGCAGCAACAATGCCAGTATCAGCATCGGCATCATTAGCAGAAACGAGACTGCTACCAGCAGTAGCAGGGAAGTAGAGAGAGGTTGGCTGTGTTGGGTGGAAACGAGGGGAGGACACACGGATATGGCGCGGGAGACTGCTGCTGGGGGAGAGAGAGGGAGATGAGGGTTTGACTGCAGCCACTGCAGCCAGAACTGCCGCCGCTGCTGCAGTCGCTCCTGCCACCACTGATTCTGCTGGTACTGCTTGCTTCTGGTCGTCGGCAGGAGTAGAAAGGATAGTGACTATTGGAGCATGATCGGGCTTAGGCGGTACTTCAGGAAGGATGTCAGGCTGAGCACTGGTAAGTCCAGTGGCAGAGCACAATGCAGCAGGAGCAGAGGGAACAGGATCACTGGCAGCAACGGTAGTAACCTCTTTGCTCTCCTCTTGGCTTTCCAGTATCTTCTCCTCCTCCCCTGTCGTTCCCAGAAGGGAGATTGAAAACACGCTCTCCTCCTGATCACTTGCCGAGACACCAGCATCTTCCTGAGAAGTTTCAGGTGATTCTTCAGGTGCTGGTGGTGCTTCTGGTGGTACTTCGACTCCTCCTTCAGGTATTTCTTCAGGTGCTTCTCCCGGTTCTGCTGCTTCAGGTTCTGCCGCATCAGGTGCTGCTGCTTCAGGTGCTGCTTCCTCACCACTCACAACAGGGAACAGGAGCGGTGCTGTGCTAATCGTGGTGAAGGACAGCGGGGAAGGGTGGGAGGAGATATGAGTCGCTGCAGATGGATAGGAGAGAGTGCGTGATGGGGCCTGGACCTGGGAGGATTGGAGAGTGCGAGAGGAGAAGGGAGTGTGAGAAGGGAAGTGAGTGTGGTGGGTTGAGTAGTGAGTGTGGGGGTAGTGTGTATGGGAGGAGTGAGTGTGGGAGTAGAGTGTATGGGAGGAGTGAGTGTGGGAGTAGTGAGTGTGGGAAGAGGAGCGGCCAAAGACACTGGCCTGGTCAGAGTTGGTTTGGATAGAGTGGGTGCGGGGAGGGGAGAAGGAGCGGAGGCGGGACAGGGGGAGAGAGAGGCAGGAGGAGGAAGCACAGGTGGATGGGGAGAAAGGGGTGGAAGGGAAGGAGAGGGATTGAGGGGGTGGGGAGGTGGGGGAGTGTGCAGAGGCGGAGGATGGGGAGGGAGGGGCGGAGGAAGGGGAGGGAGGGGCGGAGGAAGGGGAGGGAAGGGCGGAGGAGGGAGGGGTGGAGGAAGGGGAGTGAGGGGCGGAGGAAGGGGAGTGAGGGGCGGAGGAAGGGGAATGAGGGGCGGAGGAAGGGGAATGAGGGGCGGAGGAAGGGGAATGAGGGGCGGAGGAAGGGGAGTGAGGGGCGGAGGAAGGGGAGTGAGGGGCGGAGGAAGGGGAGTGAGGGGCGGAGGAAGGGGAGTGAGGGGCGGAGGAAGGGGAGTGAGGGGCGGAGGAAGGGGAATGAGGGGCGGAGGAAGGGGAATGAGGGGCGGAGGAAGGGGAATGAGGGGCGGAGGAAGGGGAATGAGGGGCGGAGGAAGGGGTATGAGGGGCGGAGGAAGGGGAATGAGGGGCGGAGGAAGGGGAATGAGGGGCGGAGGAAGGGGAATGAGGGGTGGAGGAAGGGGAGTGAGGGGCGGAGGAAGGGGAGTGAGGGGCGGAGGAAGGGGAATGAGGGGCGGAGGAAGGGGAATGAGGGGCGGAGGAAGGGGAATGAGGGGCGGAGGAAGGGGAGTGAGGGGCGGAGGAAGGGGAGTGAGGGGCGGAGGAAGGGGAGTGAGGGGCGGAGGAAGGGGAGTGAGGGGCGGAGGAAGGGGAGTGAGGGGCGGAGGAAGGGGAGTGAGGGGCGGAGGAAGGGGAGTGAGGGACGGAGGAAGGGGAGTGAGGGGCGGACGAAGGGGAGTGAGGGGCGGAGGAAGGGGAGTGAGGGGCGGAGGAAGGGGAGTGAGGGGCGGAGGAAGGGGAGTGAGGGGCGGAGGAAGGGGAGTGAGGGGCGGAGGAAGGGGAGTGAGGGGCGGAGGAAGGGGAGTGAGGGGCGGAGGAAGGGGAGTGAGGATCGGCCCCGATGTCAGGAGGGATGGAAATGGCGTTTGAACGGGCTTGGGATATGGCTGCTGTGAGGGAAACATCTCTTGGCAGGGAGGGGTGTGATACTAGCGAGGCGTGTGATACTAAAGAGGGGGACTGGAGGGCGGAGGATGGGGAGTGAGGGTCAGAGGATGAATCGGGAGAGATGGAGACGGCGATTGAAAGGGCCTGCGATGTGGCTGCAGTGAGGGATACATCTGCTGGCAGCGAGGCATGTGACTCTAACGAGGGGGAATCTGACTGTAACGAGGGAGAGTGGAGATCAGAGGAGGGGGATTGGACGGCGGAGGTCAAGTCAGGAGAGATGGAAATGGCGTCTGAAAGAGCCTGGGATGTGGTTCCAACAAGGGACGGATCTTCTGGCAGAAAGGGATGTGCTTCTAACGAGGGGTATGAGGGGTCTGTATCCAGGGAGGCAAGTGGTGGGGCAAAGTTGGGTGAGTGCGGTGAGGGGGATGTGACTGGTGCTGAGTTGACCGACGTGGGTGAATCCTGAACCGTTTCGAAAAACAGGTCATTTCCTGTCTCCATATGCGCTGCTGTCTCCATTTGTGGTCCTGCCTCTTGGTTAAAGTCAAAGGTTACTATACGTGTCTCGGTACGAGACGGCCCTTCAGTTGAACGGGCAGCAGCAGCTGCTGAGTTGACCGGTGCAGCAGGTGCAGGAGCAGCAGCTGCAGCAGCAGCTACTGCGTTGACAGCAGTCGACTCAGATGATCCAGCAGCAGCAGCAGTAGCAGCAGCAGATGAGTTGACGAGCACCAGCCTTGCCTTGATGCGCAGCAGCAGCTGCTCCAACCTCTCCACCCTCTCCTCCTCCTCCTCCCACGCCTGCTTCCCTCCTCTCTTTGACTCCTCCACTTCACGCTCCTCCTCTCTCTGCTCTCTCCTCACTTCCTCTCTCCCCTCCTCCTCCCTTTCCTCTTCCCCCCTCCCCACTTCCTGCCTCTCTACGTCCTCTCTTTCAAATTCCTCCCTTTCTTCTTTCCCTCTGCCCTTCTCCTCCCTCTCTTCTTCCCCACCCCCCACTTCCTCCCTCATTTCTCCCCCTCTCCCCACTTCCTTACTCTCATCCTCCCCTCCCCGCACTTCCATCCCCACCTTCTCTCCCAATCTCTCATCGACGTCTTGCCCCACTTCCTCCCCACCTTCCTCCTTCACTCCCTCCCTCAAACCCTCGCCCACTTCCTCCCCCAATCCCTCCTGCACGTCTTGCTTACCCAACCGGTTTCGTACCCGTCTCAGCAGCATGCCCACAAGGCCTACCCTCTCCATCATATCCCTAGCGCCTGTCATATCCTCTCCAACTGTTGTATCCACCGCAGTCAACCCCACTGCACCCACTGCACTCCCTGCATCCTCCTCTTCCACGTCGATGCACATCCTTTCCTTCTCCTCCTCTCTCCTCTCCGTCGTTTCCCTCTCCTTCTCGTCGTCCCCTTGCTCCTTCATCCATGTAACATCCAAACCCAAGAGTTCCTGATTTCCCTTGCTGCCGTTGGTATATACACAATCCTGAGACGTCTCAATCCTTCTTACAGCAATCTCACCTCCCTCTGATGCTTCACTCTCTGTTTCGACTCCTGCAGCTGCTCCCCCCTTTCTACTGCTCTCAGCATCATCACCAGCACCCTCAAAAGTAAAAGCCTCTGGACTGAAGGCGGCCAAGGTATCAAACAACACCTCTTTCTCGTTATTATCATTCTCCGAACACTCGCAACCCTTCCCAGTCGCCTCAAAGAACACTTGTTCGGTGCTAAACGGGATTTCAAACCCCTCTCGAGCCGAGTCAAACAAATCCTCAGCAGAAGCACAGTCAGCAGGGCTCGCAAACCCCTCCCCAGCTGAATCGAACAAATCCTGAGCGGCAGCACAGTCAGCTGGGCTGTCAAACCCCACCCGAGCAACAGCACAGTCAGCAGGGCTCGCAAACCCCTCCCCAACTGAATCGAACAAATTCCGAGCAGCAGCAGAGTCTCCAGGGCTTGGAAGCCCCTCCTGAGTCAACTCAACGGAACCTTGAGCAGAGTCAGCAGAGGTTTCAAACCCCTCCCGAGCTGAATCGAGCAAGTCCTGAGCAGAAGCAAAGTCAGCAGGGCTTGGAAGCCCCTCCTGAGTCAACTCAACGGAAACTTGAGCAGAGTCAGCAGAGGTTTCAAACCCCTCCCGAGCTGAATCGAGCAAGTCCTGAGCAGAAGCAAAGTCAGCAGGGCTTGGGAGCCCCTCCTGAGTCGACTCAGCCGAAACATGAGCCGAGTCAGCAGGGCTTGCAAACCCCTCCCCAGCTGAATCGAGCAAGTCCTGAGCAGAAGCAAAGTCAGCAGGGCTTGCAAACCCCTTTTGAGTCGACTCAAAGGACCCCTGTTCAGAATTATTGGGGCTCTCCGTAGAACCAACCTCGGCCATTGCATAATCTGCCATTCCCACTACCGCTGCTGCTTCAGAGTCAGCAGGACTCGCAAGCCCCTCCTGAGTTGGCTCAAAGGACCCTCGTTCAGAGTTATTGGGATTCTTAGCAACCTCTGCCGCTGCATAACCTGGAGTGAGCTGATCAGCTGCCATTGCCACTACCGCTGCTGCTTCAGAGTCATCAGGACTCGCAAGCCCCTCTTGAGTCGATTCAAAGGACCCTCGTTCAGAGTTGTTGGGATTCTTAGCAACCTCTGCCGCTGCATAATCTGCAGTGAGCTTATCAGCTGCTACTGCCACTAACGCTGCTGGTGCTGCTGCTTCTTTTCCTCCTGCTGCTCCTGCGGTTGAGTTCCCATCGGCTCCTTCTCTCACTTCTACTCCTGCTGCTACAGAGCAGCTCGTTCCTGTTCCTTCAATTTCCTCTTCTCCTGCTTCTACTGCTCCTTTTGCTCCTGCTTCTGCTCCTGCTGATTTCACTTCTGCTCCTGCTGCTTCCTCTTCTGCTCCTGCTGCTTCCTCTTCTGCTCCTGCTGCTTCCTCTTCTGCTCCTGCTGCTTCCTCTTCTGCTCCTGCTGCTTCCTCTTCTGCTCCTGCTGCTTCCTCTTCTGCTCCTGCTGCTTCCTCTTCCGCTCCTACTCCTGCTTCAGCTGCTTCTGCTGATGCTTCTTCTGCTGCTTCTGCTACTCCTGCTCTTGCTGCCCTTTCTGCTGTCTCTCCTGCTGCAACTGCTGCCTTTAATTGTGTCTCTGCTGCATCATATGCCTCGCATTGAATCGTATCCGCTCTTTCAAAAGCTGTAGCCAAGGAACAGGCGACTGCATCAGCTGTCTCTGCAGTCTGATCTGTGGCTTGTTTGCTCCCAGCTGCGACAGCTGCCTCTGATTCCACCTCAGCCGCTTCGTCTGCCTCGCATTGGAGTATACCCGCGCTTTCAAGTCCTGTTGTCACCAAACATTGGTCTGCATCAGCAAACCTGTTATCAGCTGTCTCTACCGCATCTACTCTCTCAACATCTGACACTTCTCCTGTTCTCACCTCTGCTACTGTCCCTGACGCAGCCACTCCCTCATGCTGCCTACAGAACAGCGACTTCTCTCCTTTTTCCTGCGAAACCTCTTCATCTGCCCTTATCTCACCCTCCTCATTCTCCTCCACCCCTTCTTCCTCCTTCTCCTCTTCGTCAACTCCCTCCTCTCTCTCACAACTACCATCCTCCTCCTCCCCATCCTCCCCTTCCTCCCCTCCATCCCCATTCCCACTTCCCTCTCCACCATTCCCCTCGTCATCGCCCTCCCCTCCATCACCCTCCTCCCCATCATTGCCCACTCCGCCTGCCCCACCTACTCCCCCTTCTCCCCCTGCTCCCCCTCCGCCTGTTCCATTGCTCTCTCCCCCTTTTCCCCTTCTGCCCTCGCCTCCCTCTCCTCCTTCCCCACCATTCCCGTCCCCTGTCCCTTCCCTCTCTTCCCCCTCCCTCGTTTCTCCCTCCATCTCTTCCTCTTCCCTCTCTTCCCCCAACTCCTCTTTCCCCTCCAACGCCTGTGAAGGCCCAACTTGGCATCCCCCACGCGCAAGAGACAGGGGCAGCAGCTGCTGAGGCCCCTCAAACGCTTCACCCTGCCTTTGAGAGATCTCCTGAGGCCCAACCTCACGTCCTCCCCGCGCCATGGACAGGGGCAGCAGCTGCTGAGATGTTCCCAACCGAGCAGCACCGCAGTCCACACCAGACCTAGCCTCACATCCCTCCCGCGCCATGGCCAAGGGCAGCTGCGGCAGCGCTTCAAAGGAAGGACTCTGAGCCTGCCTTGGAGATGTTCCCAAAGGAGCAGCACCAGCGGCGTTCATACGCCCAGCTTCGCGTCCCCCCCGCGCCATAGCCAAGGGCAGCAACAACACACACTCTTCACTTGACCCCCTCTCACGCAACCAGGGAGACTGGTGAGCCAACTCCCATTCCTCCCTGCCCACGCTTCCCAGGCCCTCAGACACAGCGGTCGGAGCTGTGGCGAGTGACAAGGCAAGATGATGGGTGGTGTGCCGGGTGTTGTGGAAAAGAAGGGTGTTTCTCACCACAGAGTGCTGGTGGGGCAGTGGCAGGCCGTTTCGTTTCCGCTTGTGCCCAGTCAGGGGCCCAGAGAGCGGGCGGTGAGGGGAAGCTGCGGCTGATACAGCCTCTGATGCTGCTGCCATTGCTACAACAGGTCCCGAGGACGGCCGCCAATGCGCCACTGGCCGACCTCCTGTACGTGCTGCTGGTAGCTCGGCTGTTGGCTCGGCTGGTGGCTCTGCTGGTGACCCTGCTGCCAGATCTGATGCTGCCGGCCCTGCTGCCAACTCTGATGCTGCTGCTGATTCTGCTGCCGGTGGTGTTGCTGCCAAAGCTGCTGCTAAAGTTGCTGCTGGTGGCCCTGCTGATCCTTGCTCTGCTGCGGCTCCATCTACCAGCAGACCTCCTCCCTTCGAATCCACGCACATCTGCCTCTCTTCCCACTTCTCCCGTCTGGACGACACCCCAACCCCAGCAGCCCCCAGTAACGCTGTGAGCGTTATTATGTCCAGAATCGGCGAATCACCGCTTGCCAGCTCAGCCTCTCCTTCCATCTCCAGCCATTCGTGCACCAGGCTATGAAGATCCTTACACTCCCCTTTCTCCTCCTCCTTTCCCCTCCCCCCTTGTCTCCCCCCGTTCGCCTCCTCTCTCTCCTCCCCTATTTCTCCCTCCTCTTCCTCAATCGGTCCAACCAGCCCCTTACTCCTCACTGACCATTCCCCGCGGCTTCGTTTGCTTCTCCCCCGGCTGCTCCCCGTCCTTCTCCCCATCAAGCCCTCTACAAGCCTGTTCTCGTGTCGACGGGCCTCACAATCCTGCTGCTGACTGTGCGACTGCTGTAACGATACCAGCATCGCAAGAAGATTGTTTCGGTTCCCCACAAAGCTGCCCCCCTCGATGCTGCTCCTCTCAGTGCTCCTCCTCTCACCAGCCCTGCTGCTGCATGTGCCCAAGTCACGTGCCCTTCGTCCGTTGCCCAACTCACCACAACCCCTCCTCGTGTTCCTGCCCAAATCCCCACCATCCCTGCTCTTGCTCTGGCTCAACTCCTCACTACCCATGCTGCTCCTGCTACCTCTACCGAACCACCCCCTGCCACTGCCTTTGCTGCCAGCCTTGCCTGAGCTCCTGTGGTTACTTCCTCCCTTGCCTTTACTTGCATGGCTGCGTCTGCTATCAGCACTGTTCTGTCTGCTGTTTCTGCTGCTGTTGTTTCCGCTGCTGCTGCTGCTGCTGCTGTTGCCATTCTGCCCGCTGCTACTCCTGCTTCTGCTGCCGCTATGCCTGCTGCTACCATTCTGCGTGTTGCTAATTGGGAAAACACTGCTTTGGCCGCCCCCATCTGTCCTACTGGCAGATCCACTGGTGCTGAACCGAGCATGGCTACTCGCTTCCTCACACATCATACCCACCTCAGTTAAGGCCTTAACTTCCATCCTCCGCTCCTCCACACCCCCCTGCTTCAAAACACTCCCCTGTGTCGTAACACCGTCATACTCACCCACACTCCTCCCCGGACCTTCCGTCCTCGCTTCCCCTCTTCCTCCTTGCTTCAGACCGTCTCTCTGTCTCAACAGCCCCACGCCCCAGCCGTAACTAGAGGCTTGAGACGCCTCACCACTCGAGCTGGCCCCACCGTGGTCACTCAAATGCTCGCTTCCTCCGTTCTTCAGGGCGTCGTCAAGCCTCAGAAGCCCCACGCCCCACCCGTAGCTGACTCCTTCTGCAAGCCCTCCCAGTCCCAGAGCCCTCTCCTCTAGCGACAAACTCTTGCTCAATTTTCTGTTCTGCGAAGGGGCACGTCTCGCAGAGTCACACCCGGCAGAGTCACACCCGGAAGTGTCACGCCCGGCAGAGTCACATCTGGCAGTGTCACATCCGCCAGAGTCACACCTGGCAGTGTCACACTCAGCAGTGGCACATCTGGCAGTGCCGTACCTGCTGCCGCCTCTGAGTCTCAGCGCCCCATGCCATGCCGCGTGGTTCCTCCCTTCGTCCAGTGCGTTTGGAGGGAGGCTGAACTCGCTAAAGCTGCTCATCCTGCTGCTGCCCACTGCCATGCCGGACCCTGCCGACCTGCACCCGGCTGTAGCAGCACTGGGAAGAGCGCTGCTACAACCGGATCTTCCTACAGCTGCTGTGACGGCTTCGGAACCTGCTGCTGAAGATGGTGCTGCTCGTTGCGGTGCAGGCAGAGCGGGAGAAAGGGTCGAAGAGGACGGACTGTAAAGGGTTTTGGAGGATAGAGAGCGGTTTGAGGGCGATATTGGGCGGTACAGGGAGAACGGGCGGTGTAGAGAGTGGGCGGTGGAAGCAGGGGTGTTGAGCGGGTGGGGGCCTGGAGTGGTAAAGCGAGAGGGATGATTGGAGGAGGAAGGGGTGGAGTCAGCAGAGAATGGAGGGAGATGGAAGGGGAAGGGAAAGGGGAAGGGGAACGGGAAAAGGGAAAGATGTGCAGATGGGGTGGGAGAAAGGGACGGGGATGGGACAGGGAGGACGGATGCTGCGGCGGTGGTGGTGGTGCTGGCGGCTAAGGGAGGGGAGTGCGTGAGGGGGAGTGTGAGGGAAGAGGAGGAAGGGTGCGATGCCCTAACGGAAGTTCTCTGCGAAATTCCCGAAACCTCTTCTGCCTTGATCTGAAGTGCGTCGACTGACTCTAACTGCATCTGCTTTCCTAGCTCGAGGCATGTGTCGTCCTCACCCTCTTTCCCATTCATTTCCCCCTCACCGTCTGTTATTTTAGCATCCCCTATATGAGCAGCCCCGCGAAGAACCACAACACGGTCTACACTCACAGCATCATCACTTCCTCCAAAAGTCCCCTCTATCCGTTTTATACACACCACCCCCTCTTCCCTCTCCTCTCCCTTTTCCTCTTCCTTTTCCTCTTCTTCTATTTCAATCCCCTCCCTCTCCTCCACCCCTTCCTCCTCCCGTCTTTTCAGTGCCAGCGCAGCTTCCAGCGCATCTATCCCCATCAGATAAATCCCTTCACTATCGGACGGCTGAGATTGAGACACGCGGGGTACACTATCCTGAGCAAATAGACCAGCACCCCGAGCCAGCTGGGGGTTAGACGGGTCGTTGGGATTTGAACCGCAGCTTTTAGCTAGTAGGACTCCACGAACCTCCTTCTCTCCTGCTTCTGCTTCTGTCCGTGCTGCTGCTTCTGTTCCTGCCCGTGCCTCTGCCCCAGCTGATACCTCTCCCCTAGCCGTGGCTTGCTCTGCTTGCTTCACCAACATCCCCGAATCAGCGACCCTATGTGCGCTATGCTTCTGTCCATACCCCTCTCTATACACCCCTCTGTGTTCGCTTCCGTGTGTCCGTTTCCGCGGTATTTGCTGCCCTTCCGCTGCTGATTGCCGCCCCTGCTGCGCGCAAGCCATTGTCAGCGCCTGCGCCGCAAGTACCTCGAAGACGCTCTGAGATGGGCTGCTGTGGAAGTCGGGGAATGCGGGGGGGAAGAAGGGAGGTGAGGGGGGACACTTTTGAGACGTCTCAAAAGCAAGCCATTGTCAGCGCCTGCGCCGCAAGAACCTCAAAAGACGCTCTGAGATGGGCTGCTGTGGAAGTCGAGGAATGAAACACATAAACGGACACAGGATGCGCGGGGGGAAGGGGGGGGGGGGGAGAAAATGTGAGGGAAGAAACACACGTGACGAATGGTGGGGACGGAGGAGACGGGGTGGGCGTTTCTCTTCCCGTCTTTATGAATGTAGGATGTAGAATGTGGTGTACATCAATAGGGAGGACGTATTCAGGTGTCTTACATGTGAGGCGGCTCCCATTGGTGACAAACTCTTCTAGATTGGAGGTAGCTCGGCGCGTAGTGACCGTACGAGTCCTGGGCTTGCAGTTGGGAACACCCAATGATCCCCGAGCCAGGAGGGACTAGACGAAGAGTGAGAGGAACGGACGGAGGCTCGGCGGACAGCGAGCTTCGGAGTTTGCCCAGGTTCGGCAGGCAAGGCGAAGAGTCGTGGGACGGAGAGGGGTGGGTCTTGCTGTTGGTTCGCCGAGGCGACAATTACAGTGGGTGTTGACAATTTTCCAAGAGGGAAGGAGGTGGGGATATAGTGGGGAGAAATTAAGGAGGTGAGTAATCAATGTCAGAAAACCTTTGAATAAACAGAAACACTTAATCGGTAAGTAGATGGAAGGAAGCGAGCTCTAACGAAAATGAGATCAAGCCACTTACTTTTGGACGTTAACAAGCTGTCGTATAAGAGACGCAAAGGTCGTCTTGGACACGTGCCGAGGCAGGTGTTTATCTGATGCTGCGACGTCTTCTTTGCGCTCCTGCGACGACCGTCGAAAGGACGCGCTTTCGTGACGTCGCGACGAAGTGTCAGTAACATCGCTAGTAAGTGGTACTGTAGTCATTGTCAAGTAAGCTCAACAGAAGGGCTTCAGGTTAAGTTAAGAGGTAAAATACTACGAAGAGCAGTGGAGTCTTGAAGTTGGTTGCATTATTGTGAACGAAGTAGAAGCAGACCTATCCCAGGTTCAGTAGTTAGCGACGTTAGACGAGCAGAACTATTTCAGGTTCAGTAGTTAGCGACGTTAGACGAGTAGACCTATTTCAGGTTCAGTAGTTAGCGACGTTAGACAAGTACTTCCCAACCTCATAAGTCGGAAGATGATATGAATATAGTAAGTTAGGCTGAACTATAAGCGGTTGACGCACCGCTTACGCAGTAACGTTAGCGTGAAATGCTACAGGACTAAGACTCCCAGGCTGCACTAGAAGTTCAAGAAAGCAGCTGGGAACTTTTGATGCTCCTACGTAGTGCTTCTGAAACTGACACCTTGGAATCACCCACAGAAATCAGCCTTCGGAATCACCTTGCTCAAAAATGACGAGCCATCTCCCTGACGTGAGTGCTGCTCAGGAGGAAGAGCAACAGCAGCAGTCACTGGTGCTGCTCGCAATGTTGCGCTGTTCTGGAGTTCCCAAGACCTGAAACTGAAAGGTTCGGCGGAACCTAGAGACTCCCACAAAATGTTCCAAACCTGGAAATCAGGCTTGAAAAGAGGCGCCAAAGCTGCAAAGGTTCGCTAGGCTGCTTCTGATTCGTTGAGAGGTGATGTAGCGAATTTGTTACCAGGGCAGGAGCCCACGATTGACTGCTGAACGCAGCCGCAACAGGTCTGCGGGCAGTTGTTGCAGGCGAGGGATGAGAAGTGGTTACTCTGTCGTCGTATGGAGTATTCGCGAATGTCTTCTGTACTCGCATTTGTCGGTCGTGCCAAAATGTCCTGCGAGGATTCGTCGCAACCGATTCGCGAAGGAACTTGGTCTGTCGTGCACTCCCACGCCAAAGAGGAGCACGCCACGTCGCTGGCTGTGGGTTTGGTCGGAACCTCGTGCGAAGCGCCCAGGCCTGCACGAGCCCACAACAAGGTGGCATTCACCATTCGAGTTACTTCGGTTCTGTACACATTGTTCTCACTTCATTGCGCTACATGAGTTTCTGAATGAAACTGGAAAACAGGTAAGTGAACAAATAAAAGTCATCGGCATCCATGTAGAACTACTCAGCTAGCTCTGCCAGCTCGAGCCACCTATCTGATTTCGCCTCTATAGCCTGTCCCAGCGCAGCAAGCTCATCGGACAACCCTTGGAGCATCGCAAAATCTCCCGCCTTGCTCTTCTCCTCCAGCTGTGCCTCAACCGCCACCTTTTTCTTCTCCAACTTCTCAATCTCCTTTTCCAACCGCTCCCACTCCTTCCTCTCCATATACGACATCTTCCGAGCCGACTTCCCTTTCACCTTAATCCCACCCGAACCTGCTCCCTCCTCCCCCTTCCTCCACTCCGCGTCAGCGAGATATTCCGAGAACAGCCCGTCGTAAAGCAACACCTGTCCGTCCCCTTGCAGCACGAACTGGCGGTCAACCACCGCATCCATGAATGCCCGGTCGTGGGAGGCCACTAGCAGACAGCCCTCGTACGCTGAGAGGAATGACTCCAGAGCCTGGGGAAGGACAGAAGCAGGGGTGTTGAGCACACGCACACAATGATGTTCACCAGCATACCGAGAACAACCGTGCCATCCCCACGTGCCTCAGCAAGCAAGCAGCTGCAGTGGCTAGAAGGGGTACCTCGATGGTTTGTCAGCCCAGGTCGTTGGTGGGTTCATCAAGCATGAGGAAGTTGGGCCGCTGCACCAACACTGCTGTCTCAAACACAGGCACACCCTTGCTCTTCACCAACATACCTAGAACAAGCAGCTGCGGTGTCAGTGCCTACAAGGCTCACCTCAATGGTCTGCAGGTCAAGATCGTTGGTGGGCTCGTCCAGCATCAGGCAGTTGGGTCTCTGCGCCAACACTGCTGTCTCAAACACAGAGACACACACTTGTGCCTACAAGGCTCACCTCTATGGTCTGCAAGTCGAGGTCGTTGGTGGGTTCATCCAGCATGAGGAAGTTGGGTTGCTGCGCCAAGACTGCTGTGCAGAAGACTGCTAGGCAGAAGTGCCTAGAGTGCATACCTCGATGGTTTGTAAGTCGAGGTCGTTGGTGGGCTCATCCAGCATGAGGAAGTTTGGGCGCTGCGCCAACACTGCTGCCAGTAACAGCCGCCGTTTCTCCCCTCCACTCAGCTTTGACGCCCTGATGTGCAGGAAAGCGGGGGACGGGGAGATGAGTAGAACGAAAGAAGAGGCAGGGCGGCGCAGTGAGGAGGCATGAGGAAGTTTGGCCGCTGCGCCGACACTGCTGCCAGCAGCAGCCGCCGTTTCTCCCCTCCACTCAGCTTCGACGCCCGGATGTGTGGGCATGGCTGGGGTGCAACGGTGATACAATGAAGGGACAGGTCAGTACAATGGAGACACAAATGGACACGTAGGAGGGAGGAACGTGAGGGAAACGGAGGAAGAACATATTCAAGGAGCGGAGGGAGGCTACTAAGGTGAACCGAATGTATTAGGCCCACTGACATATTGAGTGCCAACGATGGGAAAACAGGGTCTCACCAGGCGTACTGCTTCGCCCGGGGAAATCCAAACCGCTCCAGAAGCTCCGAAGCGGAAACAGGCTCGTCCGAACCACTCCCTCCAGACATAGAAGCCCCACCCGAACCAGCAGCAACGGGAGAAGAACTAGAGGCAGAACCATCACCAGCAGCAGCAGCGGCAGCAGCAGCAGGGATGGAGCCCCAGGAGCCGAGGACAGCAGCTGTCGGGTTGAAGTTTTGAACAAAGTCGAGAACTCTCATGTTGTCCGGCACGGGGGGCATGTGCTGTGTGTAATACCCCATCACCACCGTCTCCCCCACATCTCTGGTACCGGAAGGGAGAGGCAGGAGGCCTGCTAACGCGTCTAGGAACTGAGAAGAGGGGAGATGGAGAGGAAGGGGAGAGGGAGAAGAAGGGAAAGGGGAAGTTCTGAACAAAGTCGAGCATGTTGTCCGGCACGGGGGGCATGTGCTGTGTGTAATAGCCCATCACCACCGTCTCCCCCACATCTCTGGTACCCGATGGGAGAGGCAGCAGCCCTGCCAATGCATCTAGGAACTGAAGGGAGGGAAGGGGTGGGGGGCAGAGGGGAAAGAGACAATCTTGTAAGAGGAAGAGGGACAAAAGACGAGGGAGGAAAGTGGAAAGGAGTGAGGAGAGCGGGAGGGAAGAAGGGGCGAGAGAGAGAAGGAGAAAAGAGAAGAATACCGATGACCCCAGAAAATTGGGTTAAGTTAAGCCGATCCATGAAGAAGAAGAAGAAATTTGTGGCTAGTTAAGGTAAGGTGCTTACAGTGGGTGTAATGAGTCGAGTTTTGAGTCGACTCAAAACTCGAAAATTGTGGCTATTTAAGGTAAGGTGCTTACAGTGGTCTTCCCTGCTCCGTTTCGGCCCACCACTCCCAGCCGATCCCCGCGACCAAACTCATACCTGACGGTATGCCGCGGGGAGAGCATGCAAGAGGATGGGGGACAAGGGGGCCAAGACAGGGCATGAGGGCATGGAGGGATGTTTTTTGAGGCGCCTCAAAATGCGACCAAACTCATACCTGACGGTAGGCCGCGGGGAGAGCATGCAAGAGGATGGGGGACAAGGGGGCCAAGACAGGGCATGAGGGGATGTAGGGATGGGGGCCATGGGGGATACGGGAGGTATTTATGCGTGCAAGCTCCCGTATGGACATGGAAGAGTTGTGCAAACTGGGGAGAAGGAGGCCAAGACAGGGCATGAGGGGATGGAGGGATGGAGGGCATGCGGAATACGGGAGGTATTTGTGCGTGCTGGGGACATGGAAGAGTTGTGCAAACTGGGGAGAAGGAGGCCAAGGCAGAGCGTGATAAGCCGAGTTTTGCAAGCTCATCGGAGTCGACTCAAAACTCGACTTATCACACTCTGCAAGCTCCCGTATGGACATGGACTATTGAGACGTCTCAAAACTCAAAACTCGACTTATCACACTCTGCAAGCTCCCGTATGGACATGGAAGAGTTGTGCAAACATCTCAGGGACATGTGACAAGGGGGCCAAGGCAGAGGACATGGGTAAACACGGTGCCTCATCTCAGTTTTGACGCGCATAGAAAACTGAGATGAGGCACCGTAACTGGCCGTAACTAACACCCTGGGAGAGAGATTTGATGCTGCATATGTATTCTGAGAATTCTCAAAATACATGCCCGTAACCCACACCCCCATCCTTCCCCACCACAACCCCTTCCCCAACACTCATGTGAACCCCTCAAACACAGGGTCTCTCCTCGCGTTGCCGTCGCATCTCTCAGCTCCATCCAACACCTTCCCATCCCACACACAACTTTTGAGGCGCCTCAAAAAACGACTTTTGAGGCGCCTCATAAAACGACTTTTGAGGCGCCTCATAAAACGACTTTTGAGGCGCCTCATAAAACGACTTTTGAGGCGCCTAAAAGAACGTTGCCGTCGCATCTCTCAGCTCCAACACCTTCCCATCCCACACACAGCCCACAGCCGTGCAACCAACAACCACCCACCCACACACAATCACACGCCCATTCCCCATACTCACGTGAATCCTTCAAACACGGTGCTTTCTCCTCTCATGGCTGTTGCATCTCTCAGCTCCATCCAACACCTTCCCATCCCACACACAGCGCCCTCAGCCGTACAACCAACAGCCACAGCCCACCAAGTAATTACACCCCCATCCTCCCCCATCCGCCTCCCCACACTCACGTGAACCCTTCAAACACAGTGCTCACTCCCCTCATGGCCGTCGCATCTCTCAACTCCTGCACCTTCCCACCCCACACACAGCACACAGCCGTGATACCAACAGCCACAGTCCACCAAACAATCACATCCCCATCCCTTCCCATCCCTCCCAACCCGCCTCCACCGCACTCACGTGAACCCTTCAAACACGGTGCTCTCTCCCCTCATAGCCGTCGCATCTCTCAACTCCAGCACCTTCCCATCCCACACACAGCACACAGCCGTGATACCAAGAGCCACAGTCCACCAAACAATCACATTCCCATCCCTTCCCATCCCTCCCAACCCTCCCCCACCGCACTCACGTAAACCCTTCAAACACGGTGCTCTCTCCTCGCATCGCCGTAGCATCTCTCAACTCCAACACCTTCCCACCCAGTCGTGCCTCCCCCATACCCATCTCCACCACACTCCCCACCGCCGCCTGCTGCTGCCGCTGCCTTTTCTCCGCCGTTGCTTTAGTAAGCGCCAAAAACCGGTCGATTCTCGACCGGGACTTAGTCGATCTAGCTTTCGGCATTCGCCGCATCCACTCCCCCTCCCGCCGCAGCGTGTTTGCTGCCCGGCCAATCGCGGCGGCTTCTTCGACCGCCCGCTTCGCCCGGGCAGCCAAAAAGTTTGTGTAGTTGCCCGAGTGGCGGAAGGAGGTCCCCCGGTCGATCTCGAGCATTTGAGTGCAGACGGCGTCGAGAAAGTAACGGTCGTGGGAGACGAGGACGACGGTGAGAGAGGGGTCGGAGAGGGCGGATTGCATCCAATCAATGACTGCCACGTCCATGTGGTTGGTGGGCTCCTGGTGAGGGGGAGGGTGGGTGGAGGAGGAGACGGAATTAGGTTCTTTCAGGTTCAGGGGTAGGGTTGAGGCGAGGAATATGAGTGGGCGTGTGGGTGAGAAGCCACCAAGGGTGTCATCTCGAGCATTTGCGTGCAACGGCATCGAGAAAGTAACGGTCGTGAGAGACGAGGACGACGGTGAGAGAGGGGTCGGAGAGGGCGGATTGCATCCAATCAATGACCGCCGCGTCCATGTGGTTGGTGGGCTCCTGCGGTCAGTGGGTAGAGTGGTGGGTGGGGGATTGAAAACGTGATGGACAGTGGGAGGGGGCAGGGCGACATTCAATCAATGACCGTCACGTCCATGTGGTTGGTGGGCTCCTAATGGTGAGGAGTGGCAAAGGGCAATGGGGTGGCAGGAGGGGATTCAAGGAGTAATGGAGATAGAGGGAGAGGAAAAGGAGTGGGGGATCTGGGTAAGGGGGAGTGGTGAATGCAGAATTCTTTGAATCTTGCCCTTGATCAGGCAGGAAGAGGCGGAGAGGCAGAGGCGGAGAGGAAGAGGCGGAGAGGCAGAGGCGGAGAGGCAGAGGCGGAGAGGCAGAGGCGGAGAGGCAGAGGCGGAGAGGCAGAGGCGGAGAGGCAGAGGCGGAGAGGCAGAGGCGGAGAGGCAGAGGCGGAGAGGCAGAGGCGGAGAGGCAGAGGCGGAGAGGCAGGCAGATCGACTCACATCGAGAATGATGAGCTCTGGTTTCTTTGAGGTCTTAGCTGTCCACCTCTCCCTCAATCCTTCTCTTCCACACTCACTTTGACAAAGCCACTCACATCGAGAATGATGAGCTCTGGTTTCGCCAGCAGCGTCGCAGCCAGGGGGCCACCCTCTCCTTATCCTCCTCTCCCTCCCTCATTTTTTCTCCTCGTAACGCACATCAACAAATGCACTCACACTGACACAGCCACTCACATCGGCAAAGCCCACTCACATCGAGAATGATCAGCTCTGGTTTCGCCAGCAGCGTCGCAGCCAGGGGGCCACCCGCCCTCTTCCACTCCTCCTCTCCCTCCTTTCTCTTCCTATCTCTCCCTTTCCCTCAATCCCTCTCTTCCCTGACTCGCATCACGCACAAAGCCACTCACATCGAGAATGATCAGCTCTGGCTTTGCCAGCAGCGTCGCAGCCAGGGCCACTCTCTTCTTCTGCCCGCCACTAAGCGACGAAACTTGCCGCTCCATAATCCCCCCGCCACCACCGCCACCACCGTTGGTGAGAGCAGCGTCCCCCAGCCCGAGGATCTCCAGCAGCTTCTCTGCTTCTGCCACCACGTCCCATGCCCCCATCGCCTCCACCCCATCCATGGCCCGCTGCAGCGCTGCTGCCTCCGAGGGGGTGGGGTCTGGTGGTTTGGGGTTTGGAGTTTTGAGGGGTAGGGTTGAGAGCGTAGGGGAGGGGGGTTGAATAATGAGCAACCCTCTTCCCCGCCTCTGCCACCACGTCCCATGCCCCCATCGCCTCCATCCCATCCATGGCTCGCTGCAGCGCTGCTGCCTCTGAAGAGGGGTGGGGTCTGGTGGAAGCACCGGGGGGGGGCCGGGAGGAGAGGGTGGGTGAAGGGGTTCAAGGGGGGTTTAGGGTGTAGGGAGGTAGATGTGAGCTACTTTTGAGAATTCTAAAAAGTAGATGTGAGCTGCTCCGCCTCTGCCACCACATTCCATGCCCCAATGGCCTCCAACCCATCCACTTCACTACCACACGCATACTGCGCTTACCCCTGCTTTCATCCCCTTTATAAGCCGCCCCACAACACACACCTCGGCCCTTCATCCTCTGCGCTGCTCGCTCGGATTCCCTCGCAGCGCACATGGCAGCATTGTCTGCTGATAGCCCCTCCTCTCCCCTCACCCCTGCTTCCATCCCCTATATAAGCCGCCCCACAACACACACCTCGGCCTTTCATCCTCTGAGCTGCTCGCTTGTACTCCCTCACAGCACGCATGGCGGCATTGTCCGATGATAGCCCTGCCAACCAATGCCCCTTCCCCTCACCCCTGCTCTCATCCCCTTTACAAGTTGCTCCACAACCACAAACCGTATTCACACACGCACCTCGGCCCTTCATCCTCTGCGCTGCTCGCTCGTACTCCCTCACAGCACGCATGGCCGCATTGTCCGCTGACAACACCGCGTCTAGAAGTGACAGAGACGCGGGTAGGTCCGGATCCTGGTGATTTTAGGGTAGTGGGTTTCGGGGTTATGAAATGCAGTGAGTACTCCCTCACAGCACGCATGGCGGCATTGTCTGCAGATAGTACTGCGTCTAGAAGAGACAGAGACGCGGGTAAATCGGGGTCCTGTTTAGGGTTCGGGGTTTGGGGTTTGGGGTTCGAGAGTTGGGGTTGGGGGTTAGGGATAAAGGAGGGCATGGAAAAGTGTTGACAACCTTATGTGCACAGAAATAAGCGGGCAGGTCTGGATCCCGGCGGGCAGGTCCGGACCCCGGTTTACTCAACAACCTTATGTGCCTAAAGATAAGAGCAGCTAGGGTCGGACTGGCCGTGTAGTTATTGTTGAATTCACCTGAGCGAGAAACGCCAGGTTCAGGTGCCGCCGGCGCTGCACCTTGCCCTTATCAGGTGCGTCCATCCCCGCTAGTATCCTCAGCAATGTGCTTTTACCGCATCCGTTCCGCCCCAGCAGCCCCAGCTTCTGCCCTCTGCTTATAGTCACATCCAGCCCCTCGAAAAGAACGTCCATTCCGAAGCTCTTCGCCAGCCCTTCCCCCGATATAAGCGCCTCCCCGCCTCCGCTCGCGCCGGGCCTAGGCGCAGCGGGCGCGGATGCGGGGGAGGCGGAAGCTCCACCCGGGGCATTTGACGCTGCAGCGGTTGTGATGCGGCTAGAGCGGGATTGCCTACGAGTTTGGAGGGTGCGCAGAGCGGAATGGGGGGACGCGGAACCGGGGATAGCGGAGCGCGGGGAGGTGGAACTGGGGGAAGCGAAAGGGGAAGCGGGGGGTGCGCGCATTCCCCCGGCTGCGCCTGGCGTCGCGGCGGTTACAATCCTGCTAGAGCAGGACCGCCGGTTTCCAGAATCCCAGGGACCATTTCGCCGCGGCATAAGCAGCGGCAGCGGCAATGGCGCTAAGACGAGGCTACGACTCGACATGAGGCTACTATTAGAAATGCTGGATTGTGCGGAGGATCGAGAAATGGGTAGACCAGGCTGACGGTCCGAGCGAATGCAGAGGGACGGTGGCGATATTGAGCAATTATGGCAGTGAGATAATAGCGACAGCTGGGTGTAGAGAGGCATGGCGTCTGTAGTTATTTGCTAGTGTCAAAAGCCAGCCGTGGCCCGCTATCCGTATACTGGTGAGATTTGGAACACCAGGCTTTGATTAGCAGGTGATGGAGGGAAGGCAGTCGCATGTGCGTTCGGATGGCGTATATGGTGCGCATAAGTGTTCTGATACAGAGTTGCAGTTGTTTTGAGGCTCGTTTGAACGGGGGAACTTCATAACGCGAATTGCCATGTCACCACAGTCAATAACACCAATCAGAAACAGTTTTCAAGATCCGATGGCCCACACTTCGTTCCCGACCTGGTTACCCGATTCGTCACGCCGATTCTGTGTCGTCCAGCGCCTGCCAAAGCTGCTACACGAATTCGGCATCAACACTGACAAATCATTGCCTTGCCTTGCCTTGATGTTCCCGTATTCTGCACTTCCGAACCAGACTGGAACCCCACCGGACCGGGTCAATTCACTTGAAGCGGCGGCGAGAACGACCTTCGAGGTTGTCGAGTTCTGCTGAACGCGCAGCTCTAACCTAGGGTTTCTCCTGAAATGTACCCGTTCAGCCAACAACCATGTGAAGCCGAACCGGAAACTTGACCACAACAAGTTTCCGAAGCGAAAGCCACAGCTCTTCCGAGCCTTGGGATTCCGTGTGCCCTCTTTCTGCGCTGCTTTGCTGCAGCCCGTCCATTCGATACATATGGCATACGCTTGCTTCCCATCCGTCCTTCCCGTTCGTCCGTTACTAACAAGATGCACCTGACATTACCGAACCTAGATTTCTAGAGCTGCCGTTTCGCCTCCAGCTTTTCATGAGCGAGCAAATCTCGTAGTACACACGATGCCCGGTTGAGCCCCCCAACCTCGGCCTACCCTATGGGCGTATAAGTGATTCTTGCATTTCGTGGAGTTTTCGTCAATTCGCATCGGGCAAAAAAAACTTATAGAAAAGTTTTGTAACTCACCGTTGACTTTTTGACTGCAGTCAAATCAGTCAGACTTCCGTTTCTGACTTTCCTATTGGTCGACGTGCTTGTAACGTAGGTGCAACTTCGCGGCAGGAAACCCACGGGTGCAAGGTTTCTGGAATGTACAAGGCAATTTCGCGTGCAGGGGCTGGGCATCACTTGTAGTTCTATCAGCTAGCCCATGGGACTTAGCCTCTCACGCGCGCTGTTGATGGTCATGAAAATGAAGCGTCCGTTCCTGATTTCGCTCAGCATGCGGAAAGAAATTAAGGTATAGAGAAAGTTAAGAATGACGACTCGCAATTGTAGGTTGACTTAGATTAGTAATTTTAAGGCTTCATGACCCCAACAGTTTAGTCACTGAATCCATTGTTTCGTTATTAACGGGAGTCATTCTTCCATGGAATTCGTGGAGGAAGAGATTGACGCTAAGCATTATTGAGTCGATTTAGAATATATTATTTTATTTCTCGAGGAGTTGGCCCCCCATGGATTCCGTCATGTTGGAGGAGGAGATTGCGATCATTCTTTCAGTTCGCTAAACAATTTCGTTAGTTTATAGAGGGGTCGTTTCCCCCATGAATCCGTCGTTTTGGAGGAGGAGACTGACAATGCTAATCATCTAGTCGAAAAAATAAGGCGCTAGCTTCCCAAGGAGACGTTTTTTCCATGGAGTCCGTCATTTTGGAGGAGGAGGTTGACGCGAATTATGAGCCGACGGAAGAAGGTACTTCGGCATGCTTCTTTTATCTTAGTCGTTGGTCTTTTCTTTGTCACCCTCCTAGCCATGCTCTGTCAACCCTTGCTAAGCCAAGCACCTTCTAGGACGAGGTATTCGTCCTCTGCACGTCTTACCGTGTTTCACAGAAGCATAGCCGTTCGTCCCGGGGCAAGATTCCCAGACACCCCTTATAAATTCCAAGTCGTGTTCACAGGAACTTTGAAACTCCCAGACGTTTTCCCTGGATTCCTGATCGTTTTTCATGAATTTCCATACATCCTTCTTGAAACCCTAGACACCCCTCCTAAATTCCCGACCGTCTCTCCTAAATTCCCGACCGTTTTTCGTTAACTCGCGACCGTTTTTCCTGAATTTCCGACCGTTTTTCCTAATTTTCCGACGTTCCTCCTAAATTCATGGCCGTTCCTCCTCGATTCCTGACCGTTCCTCCTGAATTCCTTCCCGTTGCTTCTGGATTCCTGACCGTCTCTCATGGATTCCTGACGTTTCCTCATAGTTTGTTGCTTCGCCTGCTCCCCATCAGGCGCTTCTGGAGTACGCTCAGTGGCTTGAGATGGAGCTTCCGAGGGAGGAAGAGAAGGAGGGTTTGCTCTGTTGCGGGTGGCCCATCCCTCACCCCCCTTTCCAGCCGACCCCCATCCCTCTCGGTCCTCCATGCTGCTCCCGTGCTCTGCGTTTTTGCCCTCCTTCTCCCGCTCAGAAATTCTCGAGTACGCGCGGTGGCTGGGAGTGGAGCTCCTGGGGGAGGAGGAGCTTCTGTGGGTGGCCTATCCCCTGTCAGTCACCTCCCTTTGCATCTAACCCCCATCCCTGCGTCCCTCGTCTCGTCATGCTGCTTCTCTGCTCTGCCTCTCCCGCTTCCTTGCAGAGATATTGGAGTACGCGCGGTGGTTGGGGATGGAGCTTCCGGGGGAGGAGGAGTTGCTGTGGGTGGCGCGGCAGGGGCTGAAATCACCTCTGCCGCCCAACTGGAAGCCCTGGTGAGTGCCGTAACTTTAATGTGCCTACTGCTGCTGGTGGTAGTGCTGATGCCGCTGCTACTGCTGCCCCACGCTCTCCCTTCCCCTTCTACCCCCCCCCCCTCCTCCCCCCGCCCCCACCAGTGGCACGGAGGACGGGGAGATCTACTATTTCAACTTCCAGACGGGCGAGAGCGTGTGGGAGCACCCCTGTGACGACCACTACCGCGCCGTCTACCACCAGGAGAAGGCCAGGCTGCTGCTCGCCCGCGCCCCTCCCCCCCCTGCTGCTGCCAGTGGTGCTAGTGGTGGTGGTGGTTCTGCTGCTGCTTCTGCTCGTGCTGCTGTGGCTGGCGGTGGGAGTGTGGAGGGTGCGGGGAGGAAAGGAGGCTTTTGGGGAGTGGCGGGGCCAGGGACAGGGATGATGGGGGGAGGAGGAGGGATGGGTGGAGAGACGTATGTACGGCAGGCATCCCTGCCACCACAGAATAGAGGGGAGCATCACGAAAACTTGTTTCGCCAAGGATCGTTGCAGCCTAACTCAGCTGCAACGGTGAGGCTATTTGAATTCACATGTTTCCTCCGTTTCCCTCCTGAATTTTCCCCTTTGCTCCCGTTTTGAAACCTCCTTAACCACACACTCGCCGCCAGCTTCAAGGCACGCCCCCAGCCCCACTTACCGCACTCCTTTTTGCACGCACTCCTTTTTCTTGTCCTCTGTCTTCCTTTTTCCTGCGAACCCTTGTCTCGCATTGCCCTGATGTTCTTAGTCGACTCAAAATCGTCTTTTGTACTCACTCCGTTACCCTTCCTGCATGCCCTTCTCTTGCGTTGCCCTGCCAGCGCCAGCAGAAAGGGTCACCTGCGCGCGCCCATGCCCAGCAGTCGCAGCTAAGGCCTCCGCAGCAGCAGCAGCAGCAGCAGCAGCAGCAGCAGCAGCAGCAAGCAACAACACGAAGCTCATCCAGTAAAAATTCTGTGAAGCTCTTTCACCAAACCTCCTGGTCCCCCGAACCTGGCTCGGTTCGTCAGTCTGCCGCGGCTGCCAGCCTGGCTCGGGCAGGCTCCGTTCCCGTTGTGGCGAATGGCGTGAATGGCCATCCTGCTGAAACTGAGGAGGAGGAGGAAGGTGTGTGTGCATGCGTGCGTACATGATTGTGCGTCCGTGCGTGAGCACTTGTGCCTTTTCAAAGTCAAAATGCCCTGCTTACGCCGACTTCATTCTCCTGCTCTCCCTCTCCTTGTGCCCCCTCTACCTCTCCTGCACAGATTGGAGCAGCTCTGACGATGGTGACGATGGTGGCAGTGGTGATGCGGCTGCTAATGCTGCTGCTGCCGCTGCCTGCCTCATTCCTCTGTTCCCCCTCTCTGTATGTTCCCTCTACCTCTCCTGCACATATTGGAGCAGCTCTGACGATGGTGACGATGGTGGCAGTGGTGATGCGGCTGCTAATGCTGCCGCTGCCGCTGCCGCTGCTGCTGCTTGCTTCATTCTTCTGTCCCCCCTCTCCTTGTGTTCCCTCGACCTCTCCGTGACATATCGGAGCAGCTCTGATGATGGTGACGATGGTGATGCGGCTGCTAATGCTGCTGCTGCCGCTGCCTGCCTCATTCCTCTGTTCCCCCTCTCTGTATGTTCCCTCTACCTCTCCTGCACAGATTGGAGCAGCTCTGACGATGGTGACGATGGTGGCAGTGGTGATGCGGCTGCTAATGCTGCCGCTGCCGCTGCAGGCGGCGAAGGCGTTTACAGTGGGAATGCTGCTGGTGGGATAAACATTCCTGCTGCTGCTGCTGGCTGTGGTTCAGGGACAGGGAAAGGAGAGGCAATCGGTGGGGCTGCGACAGCTGCTGCGCAATCTGCTGCTACTGGTGCTGCTGCTGCGACTCCCACAGCTGTTGCCGTTGCTGTCTCTGGTGCTTCTACTGCCATTGCCACTGCTGCCACTGCTGCTTCTACCATTGCTGCATCTCGAGCAGCGGGTGCAGGTGCAGCTATTGGTGGTTCTAAAGTAGCTGCAGCCATAGGGCAGGATGTGAGAAGAACCTTTTCAGACCCAAAAAAGGCCTCAGGATTTGTTACCGCTGGCACTGGTAGCCCTGAGGCTGCTGCTGCTGGTATCCCTGTTGTAGCGCGTGTGGGTGGTACTATTGCTGCTGCGGCTGCTTCAGGGGAAGCTGCAGAAAAGAGAGAGGAGGGGAAGGGGAGGAGGAGGTCTTTAGATGGGGCAGGGGAATGGCGAGGAGGAGAGCAAAGAGGAGGGGAACAAGGAGGAAGGGGACAAAGAGGAGGTGGGGGTGACAGTGGGAAGTTTAAAAGAGCCGAGAGTGGAAGTGGAGATTCAAAAACCGTGCTTCGTCTTGGTGTTGTTGGTGTTGATGCTCCCAGAATCGGTGGCAGTGGGAGCTTTAAAAGGGCTGATAGCGCTGATTCAAGTGCCAAGGGTATGCTTAAAGCTGAAGGAAAAGGAGGGAGTGAGAAATTCAAGAGTGCTGATAGTGCCGATGCTAGTGCGAAGGGCTTGCTTAAAGCGGAGGGAGTAAGAATAGGAGGCAGTGGGAGCTTCAAAAGGGCTGATAGTGCTGATGCTAGTGCTGCTAAGGGCTTGCTTAAAGCAGACGGATCAGGAGGGAGTGAGAAATTTAAGAGGGTTGATAGCGCTGATGCTTGCGCGAAAGGCTTGCTTAAAGGCAAGGATGTGAGACGCGGAGGGAGTGGGAGCTTCAAGAGGGCTGATAGCGCGGATGCTAAGGGTGTTGTTCAAATTGAGGCTTCTAGGAAAGGAGGCAGTTGGGATTTTAAGAAGGATTGTACGAGGAAGGATAATGGTGGGGATAGTAAGAGGAATGGCAGTTGGGATCTTGCTAAGGGTAGTTTTAGATGTGAAGAGGCAGGTGGGGAGGAGAGAGAAGAAGGAACAGAGTCTGGTCAGGAAGGGATGGTAATTTTGGACATGGGTCAAAGCAAGGTAAGGGAAAAGGGAGTGTACGAGGATGGTGGTGATTTAAAGGAGAGACATGAGTTGGTGTGGGAGGAAATGCGGAAGGAAATGCAGAAAGAATTGCGAGAGGGTATTGAGAAGGAGAGGGCGCGACTGTGGGAGGAGATGCAGGCAGATGTGATGAACCAGTTGGAGAGCAGGAAGCAGGAGCTGTTTGCTGACGTGGCGAGGAAAGTTGATGCTGACGTGGCGGAGGAGTATGAGAGGATCAGGCAGCAACGGGTGGAGGAGATTAGGCAACAGGGCGAGGTTGAAGCAGAGGTTAGGGAATACCGAGCCAAGTTGCTAGCTTCGGTAGAAGAGGAGGAGACGCGCTTGCGAGAGAATTTAAGAGAGAGTAAGGCTCGGGAAGTGGCTCGGGCCGAGCGTGAGGTTCGGCGGCTGCAGGAGGAACTGGAGGTTCGGGCGACCCAGGTGCTAGACTCGTTCAGAACCGACCTGCAGGTTCGGCTGGAAGGGGAAAAGCTGAAGCTGAGAAGAGAGGCAGTGCGCGCATTAGAGCGATGGAGGGAGGAGCTTGAGATGAAGGTTCAGAGGAAGGTTCAGGGCATGAGGATGGATTTACAAATGAAGCTGGAAGCAACGAGAAGGGAGATGGAGGTGGTAATGAGGAAGAAAGTGGAGGAGGAGAGGGTGTGGCGATTGGAACGGCTGAGTCGGGAGTTGAGGGAAGAGGAGACCGAGCTGAGAAGAGTCTGGAAGGAGAGGATGGAGAGAGAGAAGCAGAGGGTTCTGGGAGGTGGTGGGTCAAGGCGTTCGTTTGATCTGACGGGAAAGGCAGCTCTGCTGGGGCTGGGGGGTGAGAGGAACGGGCAAGGCGTTGGGATGAGGGAGGAGCAGAGGGTGCTGGGGGGTGTTCCGAGACATTCTTTTGATTTGACGGAAAAGTCCCCTCTGATGCTGGGCGGAGTGAGAAACGGCCAAGGTGCAGGGTTGAACTTGAGAGAGGATGAGCAGATGATGTTTGGAAACATGAGGAGCCCGAGAAGGGTCGGAGGAGTGATGGGGCAACAACAGCAGCAGCGGCGGCGGCAGGTGGGGGAGTCATATGTATGGGACGGATTTTTTGACATGGAGTCAGATTTTGCCCGAGACGGCTTGAATGGGAATGAGCATGGATATGGGAACGGGGATGGGGATGGGAATTGGAACGGGGATGGGGGTGTGTACGGATATGGGAACGGGGATGGGGATGGGAATTGGAACGGGGATGGGGGTGTGTACGGATATGGGAATGGGGATGGGGTGGGGGAATTAGGGTTCCTCCTCACGTCCTCTCCAGGAGCCCGCCCTGAGCATAGGAGAGCGAGGGCAGGGGAGCAGGGGCAGCAGGTAGGAGGCAGTGGTGAGGGTGGATATGGGGTCGCCGCTGCTGCTTCTGCTAATGGTGCTGGTGGCGCTGGTACTGGTGCTGGTTCTGGCGGTGCTGCTGTTGGCGGTGCTGCTGCTGCCACTGGTACTAACAGTGGTAATGCCTCAGCTCCTGCAGCAACAGCAGCAGCAGCAGCAGCCGTTTCTCCTGCTCAAAACCTTGCCCCCTTTGAAGGCGGCAAATATGATTCCGGCAGCAATTTTGGGGAGAGCTCGTGCGAGTTCATGCCAAGATTTTCTCTCGGGCAGGCCGGGCAGGTGGAAGGAAGTGTATTGGCCGGGGACTGGATAAGTGGGGGCCGGATTGGGCTGGGGTCAGGGGGGAGGAAATTGAGGAACCGGGGGAAAAGCAGTCGGACAGTTGGGAGCGAATCTGGTCATGATCGGACGGTGGAGGATGCATTGAAAACGGGGAGCGGCGGAGGGTACTACTCGCCATGGGGCGATTCTGGTTCGGAGGGACTGGGAGAGCTGGGGAAGGGGGATCTGGGGAGGGCTCATCTACGGGTGCGGTGCAGAGGGGTTGAAAGCGGTGGAGGGGCGTTTGACGATGGAGGAATCTCGTTCGGGTAAGAGTGTGTGTGTGTGTGTGTGTGTGTGTGTTTTTTTTTTTTTTGGATGGACCCCGTTCAAATCTTGTTTTGACTTTCTTGCTGTCTGTTTGTTTTTGGCGAGTTAAACCAAGCCTACATGTTCCCCTATCAACTCCTTCCCTTCCCCTGTTCCCCCTACATCCCAATTTCCCCCTCCCCACCCCCCATTCGCCGCCCTCCCAGCGAGCGCGAGATCATGTTGAAACAAGCCAGGCGGTTTGCAGCGGAGCAGCGGCAGAGCTTGAAGGAGCGAGAGGGGGTGCTGTAGGCGGCTAGGGCGCTTCAAGCCCCACATACTCCCCCACTCAACCCTTTCACTCCCCCCCTGCTTACCCGCGTTCCCCCATTCCCTGTCCCAACCCCACTCCTCTCCTCTCCCCACTCCTCTCCCCCCACTCCCCTCCCTCCCAGGGAGCGCGAGATCATGTTGAAACAAGCCAGGCGGTTTGCAGCGGAGCAGCGGCGGAGCTTGAAGGAGCGAGAGGCCGTGCTGGAGGCAGCTAGGAGGGACTGGAGGAGCCGTATGGAGGCAGTTGAAGAGGTGAGAGCGGTAGAGTGTGACTGTAGTGAATGGTTTTCATTTCATAGCTTGAAGGAGCGAGAGGGGGTGCTGGAGGCGGCTAGGAGGGACTGGAGGAGCCGTATGGAGGCAGTTGAAGAGGTGAGCAAGCTTGTGTGTGATGGTACTGAATGGTGTGGCCTTACTAGTGGGGTTTTGAGGTGTAAGGGAGCTTGAAGGAGCGAGAGGGGGTGCTGGAGGCGGCTATGAGGGACTGGAGGAGCCGTATGGAGGCAGTTGAAGAGGTGAGCAAGCTTGTGTGTGATGGTACTGAATGGTGTGGCCTTACTAGTGGGGTTTTGAGGTGTAAGGGAGCTTGAAGGAGCGAGAGGGGGTGCTGGAGGCGGCTATGAGGGACTGGAGGAGCCGTATGGAGGCAGTTGAAGAGGTGAGCAAGCTTGTGTGTGATGGTACTGAATGGTGTGGCCTTACTAGTGGGGTTTTGAGGTGTAAGGGAGCTTGAAGGAGCGAGAGGGGGTGCTGGAGGCGGCTATGAGGGACTGGAGGAGCCGTATGGAGGCAGTTGAAGAGGTGAGCAAGCTTGTGTGTGATGGTACTGAATGGTGTGGCCTTACTAGTGGGGTTTTGAGGTGTAAGGGAGCTTGAAGGAGCGAGAGGGGGTGCTGGAGGCGGCTATGAGGGACTGGAGGAGCCGTATGGAGGCAGTTGAAGAGGTGAGGGTAGGGGGGGGGTGGTGTGCTTGTAGTGAATGGTGTGACTGTACTAGTGGGGTTTCAAGGTGCAAGGGAGCTTGAAGGGGCGAGAGGCCGTGATGGAGGCGGCTAGGAGGGACTGGAGGAGCCGTATGGAAGAAGATGAAGAGGTGAGTGAGGGCATGTGTGATTGTAGTGAAATTTGTGATTGCTCTAGTGGGGATTCAAGGTGCAAGGGAATGAGAGGCCGTGTCAGACGCGTATAGGAGAGACTGGAGTAGCCGCATGGAGACAGTTGAAGAGGTGAGTGGGGGCGTGTGATTATAGTGAAGGGGTGTGCTTGTTGCAAAAGGGGTGTAAGTGTGGGTAGAAAGCAGAGTGGTTGTTGCGGAAGGGGTGAAAAATAGCCCTTCTCCCTTTCTCCCCTTCTTCCCCTCTTCATTCTCAACTGCCCTGTCTGTCTTCCTCCCCCCCGTACCTTGCAGCTCTCCGACCCCGATGAGAAGAGGCGGAAGGTGCAGCACCTGATGTTTATCAAAGCCACAATGGACCAGCACGAGAGGGAACTGAGTGTGACACGATTTTTGAGTCGACTCAAAAATCGACTTATCACACACACACACGTTGGACAAGCACGAGAGGGAACTGAATGATGATGCCAGGAGCGTCAAGCAGATCAGAAAGAGCTTTCTCTCATTCTCTTCCACTTCTAACCCTCTCGTTCCTCCTTTATTCTTATCGTTCTTCCCACCCTCCCCTCTATCCCCCATTCTCCCCTCCCCGCCCTTGCAGCTATCGGATCTGGATGAGAAGAGGCGGAAGGTGCAACACTTGATGTTTATCAAAGCAACGTTGGACCAGCACGAGAGGGAGTTGAATGACGATGCCAGGAGCGTCAAGCAGCTCAGAAAGAGCTTACTTGCTTTTTCCCGAAATGCAGCTTCTGCTGGTAGTGGTGGCGGCGGTGGCGGCAGTGGTGGTGGTGGTTTAAGTGGCAGTGGTCTCTTAAGTGCCAGTGGTGGTCTAAATACGGAGGAAGGGTTTTGGGCTGGGAGTAGGGTAGGGGGTAGGGAGCGAGTGGGCGGAGGGATGGGAGGAGGGATGGGAAGGGCGGTTGGTGGTATTTCTGGAAAGTACTTAGGCATCCCGCCAGGTGGCGGCGTGCGATTGGAACAGAACCGCCCGTTGGTGAATTTCCCACCTAGTGCCATCGTGTCCCCAGCCTCGTCGTTTGCTTCGATAACGATCCAAGAGGGGAACCCGGACCTGAGCGACGTGAGCTACACCTCAGGTTCGGGGCTGAGATTCCCTGCCGAAGCTGGTGCAGCGGGTGCAGCGGGTGCAGCTGGTGCAGCTGGTGCAGCGGGTGCAGCGGGTGCTGGGGGTGCTGGGGGCTCTGGGCGCGTTTCGTCTCCCTTGTCCTCTCCTGTGAGGCGAGAGATTGGGAGGAGCATGCTCGGTTTCGAGTCTCCTAAACATAATTCTCCCCTGCCTTCTCCTGTGCGGAAAGAGGTTGGAGGGAGCATTTTTGGGGTGAAGGGTGAAGAGAGGAGGGTCGACGTGGGGAAGGGCACTACTGGTTTGACTGCTGCTGCTGCTGCTGCTGCTGCTACTGCTGGTGCTGGTGGTGGTGCCGTTGCTACTGGTGGTGCTGGTGGTGGTGCCGTTGCTACTGGCGGTGCTGGTGCTCGTGCTGGTGGTGGTGGTGATGCTGCTGGTGCTGGTATTGGCAGCAGCCAAGGGACTGGACTGAAAGCGCAAGGGCGAAGTGTGGGGGGCGGAAAAGGTAGAGGGGAAGCAGGAGGGAAGGTGGAGGAAAGCAGAGCAACGGCTGGAGAGGCAAAGAAGGCAAAGAACAACGCAAGAGGTGTTGCTGATAACCCTCCACCGAGAATGTCAATAGCTGTGAAAGAGGGGAGGCGGGGAGAGGGCGACGGGAAGTGGGGAGAGGGAGGGGGGAGGCGGGGAGTGGGAGAGGGGATGAATGCAAGTGGCCAAGGAAAAAATGCCACTGCTTCTAAAAGAGGGCCGGCTTTCGTTGGGATGGCAGCAACAGCTGCAGCAGCAGCAGTGACAAGACCAATGGAAGGCCAATCAATGCAGCAGTCAACCCAAAACGAGCCTACGTGAGCTTGCGTTCTTACCCTTTTTATTTTCTCCTTCTCCCATTCTTGTTCTCTTTCACTCCTCGTTTGTCTCCCTCGTCCTCTCCCTTTCTCTTCGCTCCGTCTGCCCTCTGATCTCTTCTTGTTTTTCTCATTCTCGTGCTTTCCTTATTACGCCTTCCCTTTCCATCTCTCCGCCCGCGCTCCATTTTCCTTGTTACATTGTCCTCGACTCATTCTTCTTGCTTTCCCTTCTCTCCCACTGCATCCCATTAACTCTGGTTTTTTTTGCCTCCTATGTTTGCCAGTCAAAAGCTGAAAGCTGGTCGTAGCGGCGCAAGCAGGGCTATAGGGGGTGTGTCTGGTGGACAGTCGTTGGAGGCAGGGACCAAAGAGGGTGTGGTGGGAGGAGCAACTGGAGCAGGGACGGGTGCTTCGTGAGGCTCCAATCCTTGCCAGTCAAAGGGTGAAAGCCGGCCGTAGTAGCACAAGCGGAACTAGTGGGGGTGTAACAAGGGGCCAGGCGTTGGGGGCAGGGACCAACGAGGGTGTGGTGGGAGGAGCAACTGGAGCAGGGACGGGTGCTTCGTGAGGCTCCAATCCTTGCCAGTCAAAGGGTGAAAGCTGGCCGTAGTAGCACAAGCGGAACTAGTGGGGGTGTAACAAGGGGCCAGGCGTTGGGGGCAGGGACCAAAGAGGGTGTGGTGGGGGGAGCAACTGGAGCAGGGACGGGTGTTTTGTGAGGTGCCTCAAAGGCGGTAGCAGCACAAGCGGGGCTAGTGGGCTGTGGGGGTGTGACGGGGGAAGGGCAGGCATTGGAGGCAGGGACCAGGGGAGGTGTGGTGGGGAGAGCAACTGGAGCAGGGACGGGTGTTTTGTGAGGCGCCTCAAAGGCGGTAGCAGAGCAAGGGCAGGTGCACTATCGGGAAAAGCAGGAACAGCAGCAGCAGGAGTAGCAGGAAATGCAGCGATAACCATCAGTCCTCCTAACCCCAACTCCTACAGCAACCCAGCAGCAGCACTGTTTGTTCATTGTAACAGGACCAGCGGAAATGGTACCTGTGTGGTATTCTCTCTTGAAAAAAAAAAAAAAAAAAAAAAAAAAACCTCGGCAGGTTTGAAACAGCAGCCGCAGCAACATTGGCATCAGGGAGATGCACAATTGTATTATATGTTCATTTGTTTCCATTTAATTTATTTTATTTGTTTCGAACAGTTGCTTTGGCCTATGGAATGGATCTTGAACATTCATCTTCTTCATGCTCTGCAACAATTATGTGTAATCTTAACAAAAATGTGTAATCTTAACAACAATGTGTTACGGTACCTGTGTTTGCAAGAACCCACTGCACCGGGCATGCCAGGTTTATATGCTTTTCTGGGCAATAACCTAGCATAAAATATGAGTGTACATAAGAAGCCAAGTAAGGTACTGACTGACTTATGATGATAATGGTACTTGCTGTTGTCACTGCCGATGACTGGCGCTGCTGTTGCTACTGCTGCTGCCGCTGCTGCCATTGTTGCTGCTGCTGTTGCTGCTGCTGCCATGGCTGGTGGTGAAACGTTGACATCTGTTGCTGTTGGTAGCTTACCTGTTGCTGTTGAAATGTGTTGTGCTGGTAGTTAACTGGCTGCTGCTGGTAGTTCGGCTGTTGCTGCTGTGGGAACGATTCTTGCTGCATGTGCTGCATCGGCCCGAATGGAGTATAGCCCTGTTGCCCTGATCCTTGCAGCATCGGTCCTAACTGGGTGTAACCTTGTTGCCCTGATCCTTGCTGCATCGGCGCTTGAGAATATCCCTCGAAAGCATAGCCTCCTGCTGATGGGAATGGTGCTGCTGGTGATGCTGCTACTGCGTGTGGTTGTGCGTGTGGTTGTGTTGCGGTGAGGGCAGCTCCCAGGGATGCCATGTTGGGGAAAGGTGCCTGTGGGGATGGGGACTGGGAGAGGGATAGAGGGGGAGGGGAGCTTGGCTGTGCGTGTTGTGGTTGTGTGGTCTCAAGGGCAGCTCCCAGGGATGCCATGTTGGGGAAAGGTGCCTGTGGGGATGGGGACTGGGAGAGGGATAGAGGGGGAGGGGAGCTTGGCTGTGCATGTTGTGGTTGTGTGGTCTCAAGGGCAGCTCCCAGGGATGCCATGTTGGGGAAAGGTGCCTGTGGGGATGGGGACTGGGAGAGGGATAGAGGGGGAGGGGAGCTTGGCTGTGCGTGTTGTGGTTGTCTGGTCTCAAGGGCAGCTCCCAGGGATGCCATGTTGGGGAAAGGTGCCTGTGGGGATGGGGACTGGGAAACGGGAAGCAGTGTGAGGAAGGGGAGAGACCTAATGAGAACTGGTAGTGGGAAGGACTAGGAGGGAACTAACAGTTGGTTGTTTTTTAGAATTCTCATAAACAACCTTCATTCTGCAGGGTGCTCTTTGAAATCCTGGGGAACACATAGAATGAAAATAAATAATGAAAAAGGCTGGGCAGGGAACTGGCCGTACTTGCAAAACATTGCTACGAAAAAGAAAGGAGGAAAGAGAGAAGGAAGAAAAGAAAGAGAAATAAGAAGGCAGACACTAAAGAAAAAATACTGTGAACGAAATGTAAAGGAATAAATTAAATAACACTGTGTGTGGGAACATACCAATCCGGGTCACCCCATTGGTGATGGCCTCATCCCAGGGCTTCCCATGACGCCTGCAGGGCGTTCTGAGGCGCCTCAAAAGGCGTCTCACTACCCTCAAGTAAACAGCACGTGTGAGTGGGAGGGAAGCCTACCAATCCGGGAGACCCCAACGGAGATGGCCTCATCCCAGGGCTTCCCATGACGCCTGCAGGGCTCCACATCGCAGCTCTTCCGCTGCCCATTGCTCCTCCCCCTGGGCTCCCCATAGCCCCCCCTGGGCTCCCCATAGCCCCCCCTGGGCTCCCCATAGCCCCCCCTGGGCTCCCCATAGCCCCCCCTGGGCTCCCCATGGCTCCCCCTGGACTCCCCATTGGGCCCCCTGCGCTTCCCAGAACCCCACCTGGGCTCCCCATCGCCCCCCCTGGAATCCCCATCGCTCCCCCTGGGCTCCCCATCGCTCCCCCTGGGCTCCCCATCGCTCCCCCTGGGCTCCCCATCGCTCCCCCTGCGCTCCCCATAACCCCACCTGGGCTCCCCATCGCTCTTCCTGGGCTTCCCATAGCCAACCCTGCGCCCCCCATCACCCCTCCTGGGCTGCCCATTGTTCCCCCTGGACTTCCCATCATTCCCCCTGTGCCCCCCATAACCCCGCCTGAGCTCCCCATCACCCCTCTAGGACTTCCCATAACCCCCCCTGGGCTCCCCATCACCCCCCCTGCGCTCCCCATAACCCCGCCTGGGCTCCCCATAACCCCTCCCCCCATCAACCCAGCTGCACTTCCCATAACCCCTCCTGGACTCCCCATACCTCCCCCAGCGCTCCCCATACCCCCTACTGGACTTCCCGTCACTCCTCCTGCACTCCCCATCACTCCCCCTGGGCTCCCCATAACCCCGCCCTGAGGGTATGGGTGTGACTGTAAGGGCGGGGACTGGTATGGGTGGGACTGTGTGGGAGGGGATTGGAACGAGTGTGATTGTGAGGGAGGGAAGGGATGTGACTGTATCGGAGGGGACTGTACTGGAGAGAACGCCTGTGCATAACCCCCATTAGCTTGTAATCCATAGCCCTGCCCCTGCCCCTGCCCTTGCCCATAGCCCTGCCCCTGCCCCTGCCCATATCCCTGTTCCTGTCCCTGAGCCTGAGTCGATAAGAGAAACTGTCCCTGTCTTTGCGTCTGAATGAATAATTCAGTCTGCCCCTGCCCTTGTCCCTGCGCCTGGGTTACTTGAAACTGCCCCTGCCCAACCTGGGTTACTGATTGGGATTGGAACTGCCCCTGCCCGGCCTGGGTTACTGGCTGAAACTGCCCCTGCCCCTGTGCCTGCATCCCATAGGCCTCGTACCCTAGTGGTGCTGCTGATAACTGAGCTTGCCCATAGCCCATGGATCCATATTCTGGGCCAAGAGAAGGGGCATTTCCAGAGATCGATTGCATAGCTGGCATAGCTGGCATAGCTGGCATAGCAGGTGCAGTTGCAGCTGGTGCAGGTGCAGCTGGTGCAGGTACAGGTGGCATGGGGCTGCTATCAAAATGCGCCCAGGAGGCAAAACCATTGGCAATATTGCTGCTGCTGCTCTCTTTCTCCACTGCTGCTGCTGCTGCTGTTTCTGCTGCCGCCGCCGCCACCGCTCCTTCTGCGGCTGCTGCTGCGGCTGCTGCTGCTGCTGTGTCTGCTTGCGCTGGCACTTGCGTTTGCCCCTGCGTCACCGTTGGCTGATGCTGCTCCGCTCCCCCTGCTGCACCCTCCGTCTGCTCCTGAAGCTGCCACTGCTTGGGTGCAGGCACGGGGGCAGCAGGAGGCAGAGTGAGGCTGTCCCCATCCCCCTCATCAGAGAAGTCAATCAGGTTACCTAGAGGAACCAGTGGTGCTGATGCTGGTGCTGCCGTTGATGCTGCTGCTGCTCCTGCTGCAGTTGCTGATGCAGCTGCTGCAGGTGTCGGCACAGGGCCGGCTGGTGCTGATGAAGGGATTTGAGAGGCAGGAGCATGGGCAGCAGCAGGCGGAGAGGCAGGGAGAGAGGCAGACACAGAGGGCACAGAGGGAGCAGAGGAGGGGGAACCGGGAAGAGCTGAAGGCGAGGACGCAGTTTGATACACATGTGAGTTGCCCCGTCCCGGCTCGCTGTGATACACTCTCAACTCGACTTCGTCCCCTAGAAGGTCACTCACAGGCCTCACAGGCGCATCCACCCCATCACCACTGCTGCTTGGGATGTTAGAGAACCTAGTGCTACTCGTGCTGCTGCTGCCAGGGAATCTCGCACCAGTGCTGGTGCTGGCGCTGGTGTTGCTGTTGGCAGAAAGAGAAGGGGATTTGCGTGGTGGTAGAGCCTTCTGCTGCTGCTGCTGCTGCTGCTGCTGCTGCTGCTGCTGTGGCTGCTGCTGCGGCTGCTTGTGGTTGTGGGAAGGAGGGAGAGTGGGGGAGAAGGAGAGAGAGGCCCGGGCGCTGCTGCTGCGTTGGAGGTCGGAGGGCTGGGGGAAGGAGGCGGAGGAAGAGCCGTCCATGGAGTGGGTTCGACCCGAGGGAGAGCTCTGAAGGGAAACAAATGGGGGAGGCAGGGGTGTAAAACGGTGAGGGTGAGAGAAGGGAGAAGACAAGATGTGCAGGCAAAGGAGAGAGAGGCGCGGGCGCTGCTGCTGCTTTGGAGATCGGAGGGCTGGGGGAAGGAGGCAGAGGGGAACCGTCCATAGAATGAGTTCGACCCGAGGGAGAGCTCTGAGTGAAGGGGGGGGAAGGGGGGGGGGGGGGGGGAGAAGGGCGCAAGTGAGGGAAGGAAAGAGGCGATTTGTGCATAAAGGAGGAAAGGATTGCAAAGAGTCATATGTCATGCCACTGCTCATGTTCACCATTATCGTATCATCATCACATACCTCTCATGTTTGAAGCGCCTCAAAAAACAGACGCTTAGTCATGTCATATCGCTGCTCGTGTTCACCATCACCACTATACCCATCACCATCACCACTATACCCATCACCATCACCACTATACCCATCACCATCACCACTATACCCATCACCATCACCACTATACCCATCACCATCACCACTATACCCATCACCATCACCACTATACCCATCACCATCACCACTATACCCATCACCATCACCACTATACCCATCACCATCACCACTATACCCATCACCATCACCACGAGCAACATCACCACATCACATACCTCTCGTCGTGGGTCATGTTCACCATTGCCAGTATCATCACCACATACTTCTCGTGAGTTCCGCCCGACATATCGCCTCTCCATGAAGACAGCTCGAATGAACTCCCTCACAGACTGGGGGTCGCTGATAGGTGGAAGAAAATGGGCAGAAGGGAAAGAACACACAGCGAGGAGGAGGAGCCATGAGGGCTTTTCTTCCACCTGTGGTCCTGCATCCCATGTATCGCCTCTCCACGTGTGATGAGTCGATTTTTGAGTCGACTAAAAAATCGACCACGAGGGCTTTTCTTCCACCTGCGGTTCTGCATCCCAAGTATATCGCCTCTCCACGAAGACAGCTCGAATGAACTCCCTCACAGGCTGGGGGTCACTGGAGGGGCGTTGGCAAGAGGAGAGGGGGAAGTAAGCGGATGTGGGAAGGGAGAAGGGTGCGCGTCACATCGCCTTTCATTTCCATAAAGACAGCTCGAATGAACTCCCTCACAGGCTGGGGGTCACTGGAGGGGCGTTGGCAAGAGGAGGAGCGACGGGGAGGGGGCAGGGGAGGAGGGTAGGGGAGGAGGGTAGGGGAGGAGGGTAGGGGAGGAGGTAAGGAATGACAGAGCGTTTTCATAAACTGTGCCCATCACATTCCATTCCCAGAAAGACCACTCGAAGAAACTTGCTTGCGGTTGAATGGGCCAAGCCATGGCTGATCCTCAAGCCGAGCAGCACAATGAATAAATAGGGCAGCCAGAAGCAGCAGCAGCACTACTTAGTGACTCACTTGCCATTGCAGGGGCTCAGCTGACCCTCAAGCCGAGCGGCACAGTATAATTATAGGGCAGGCAGGCAGGCAGGCAGGCACTACTCAGTGACTCACTTGCTGTTGGGAGGGGCTCGGCCGCCTACTGGGAGAAAGTACTCTCGTGCCCGCTGCAAGAAAGGAAAAGGGGGGGAGAAGAAGAAGGGGGAGAAGGGGAGGGAGTAAGAGGACGCGCGGGTGCAAAGATGGAAGAAGCACAGGAGAGAGTACACTGCAATGCTTTGCAGCTTCTACAAACACAACAACTTGTCTGAGAGCAAAGAGAGAAGGATAGGGTAGAGTGCCTGGAGTGAAGGCAACTTCACGAAGCTGCTTACCCCTCGACTGGTCACCAGGTTACCAGCTCTCACCTGGTTGGCTCCCTGCTGCAGCGCTGCCACCTCGTCTGGTGTAAACTTGGCCATTGACACCGACTTGACACGATGGTTCTTACCCGTTCACCGCCTCTCACCTGGTTCGCTCCCTGCTGTAGCGCCGCCACCTCTTCAGGCGTGAACTTGGCCATTGACACTGACTTGACACGATGATTGAACTCCCGACTGCAAACAGCACCATGCAAAAAAAAAAAAAAAAAAAAAAAAAAAAACATAGCACAGAAGTAGCATTGTACGAAAGACGTTTACTAAATTAAAAAGAAGAAGAAGAAGAAGAAGAAGAAGAAGAAGAAGAAGAAGAAGAAGAAGAAGAAGAAGAAGAAGAAGAAGAAGAAGAAGAAGAAGAAGAAGAAGAAGAAGAAGAAGAAGAAGGAGGAGGAGGAGGAGGAGGAGGAGGAGGAGGAGGAGGAGGAGGAGGAGGAGGAGGAGGAGGAGGAGGAGGAGGAGGAGGAGGAGGAGGAGGAGGAGGAGGAGGAGGAGGAGGAGGAGGAGGAGGAGGAGGAGGAGGAGGAGGAGGAGGAGGAGGAGGAGGAGGAGGAGGAGGAGGAGGAGGAGGAGGAGGAGGAGGAGGAGGAGGAGGAGGAGGAGGAGGAGGAGGAGGAGGAGGAAGAGAAGAAGAAGAAGAAGAAGAAGAAGAAGAAGAAGAAGAAGAAGAAGAAGAAGAAGAAGAAGAAGAAGAAGAAGAAGAAGAAGAAGAAGAAGAAGAAGAAGAAGAAGAAGAAGAAGAAGAAGAAGAAGAAGAAGAAGAAGAAGAAGAAGAAGAAGAAGAAGAAGAAGAAGAAGAAGAAGAAGAAGAAGAAGAAGAAGAAGAAGAAGAAGAAGAAGAAGAAGAAGAAGAAGAAGAAGAAGAAGAAGAAGAAGAAGAAGAAGAAGAAGAAGAAGAAGAAGAAGAAGAAGAAGAAGAAGAAGAAGAAGAAGAAGAAGAAGAAGAAGAAGAAGAAGAAGAAGAAGAAGAAGAAGAAGAAGAAGAAGAAGAAGAAGAAGAAGAAGAAGAAGAAGAAGAAGAAGAAGAAGAAGAAGAAGAAGAAGAAGAAGAAGAAGAAGAAGAAGAAGAAGAAGAAGAAGAAGAAGAAGAAGAAGAAGAAGAAGAAGAAGAAGAAGAAGAAGAAGAAGAAGAAGAAGAAGAAGAAGAAGAAGAAGAAGAAGAAGAAGAAGAAGAAGAAGAAGAAGAAGAAGAAGAAGAAGAAGAAGAAGAAGAAGAAGAAGAAGAAGAAGAAGAAGAAGAAGAAGAAGAAGAAGAAGAAGAAGAAGAAGAAGAAGAAGAAGAAGAAGAAGAAGAAGAAGAAGAAGAAGAAGAAGAAGAAGAAGAAGAAGAAGAAGAAGAAGAAGAAGAAGAAGAAGAAGAAGAAGAAGAAGAAGAAGAAGAAGAAGAAGAAGAAGAAAACCCTGAAAGAGGGAGAAGAATGGATCCCCGTGCTCTTAAGGGGAGATGAGAAACATCGAATGGACGGCACAAAGCGCGGACAGCCAAGGTGGAGCAGAGAGAGAGGGCACTTGACTGGACCCCGCTGCATGAAGGGCAGATGAAGATGGCATAGTTGGTGCACACACACGTACTGAGAGAAGAATGAACTACCGTGCCGTTGAGGGGACACGAGGAAAGCTATTACAATAGAGCAGAGCAGGCAATTAAGGTGGAGCAGAGAGGACAGGACACTCAACTGGACACCGCTGCATGAAGGGCAGACGAAGATGGCATAGTTGGTGCACACGTACTGAGGGCCCTGAGGGAGTGTGCAGTGTGTGTAGGCGAAGAGGGGAGACAGAGAATGATGAAAGTCGTGCGATGGGATGGGATGAGATGACGCATGCGTCCTTGGATATGTATTTCCATGATTTCTTAGGCGCCTCAAGAATGAAAGGCGTGCGTGGGATGGGATGACGCATGCGTCCTTGGATACGTCTTCTCATGAAGGGCAGACGAGGATGACAGAGTTGGTGCACACGTACGTACTGAGTCCCCTGGGGTGGTGGTGTGCACTGTGCAGCGTTGGCGAGAAACAGTAGACTCAAAATTGGAAGACAGTTGGTGTTAACGAATGCGAGTAGGTTTTTGACATGATCTGACATTTACAGGACATTTACGTACGATGGACATGGCAATGGCATCATGTTGACATGAATTCTACAAAGCACTGACATGGCGATGGCATCACATTGATATGACAGTTAGTGTAGACAACATGACACTGACACGACATTGACGCGACACTACATTGTCATACGTTTCGCTAGTCGTTGCTGTGACAATGAGAAGGCACTGGCACGACAATCGAAACCCATCAACATGACATTGACACGACATTGGCATTTTCGGCCTTGCATCTCGCATGTTGCTACAATGTTCGAAGTCAACAGAAGCCACGGAATGTGAAGGACGGCAAGGCACTGTCTGGTACTGTATGGTATGGTGCAGCAGGGCATGAAGCAGGTACCAGACTGTTGCAATTGAAGCACTTCCGGTTTTCCGGGAGCTTCATCAATGCGCGAATGATCTTCTCGTGCTTCTCGTCCTCCCTCATCGTGACGACCGCGACGACCGCGAAAAATCACGAACGACCACGAACAACCGCGAACAACCGCGAACGACCGCGAGCGACCGCGAACGACAATGAAAAGGTCCCTCCCGGCGACTTCGACGACGACGACGACAATGTTGAGGACCTTCTTGACGACTTCGACTTGAATGCTACGGTCGCGAGCTCGTTCCCGCTATTCGCAACTTCGTTGTTACCCGACTGTGTGGTACCAAGTCGCTGAATGTTGAACAGATCGTCGTTAGTGTTTCTCCACTGGCCTAGGAGTGCCTCGGTTGGCTCGCACTGTACTCGGAAAAAGCATACTCTCGGACGAGTTATGCGGAGAAGTGAAGTCCTTGAGCCGCAACGGAGGCAAAGTTCAACACAAAGCCAGCTGCTAAGGATGGTGGTTAGCTCGAAGGATTCCATCAGAAGTAAACTGTCGGAAGGTGTGGTGGTGCGTAGAGAGAGGCACTTGCTGGTGACAGTGGTGCAGGTTGGGATTGGCTGCGAGGGGTATTGCGAATGAGCGTTGTTTCGGCAGAGAGAAGTAACCAATTTGTGCGAGACAGGTACCCCCTTTAGAAGATTCGATGGTCGCCGGGCGGCATTACCATGGGGATTAGTTTCTACGTGTATGTTCTAGGGATGCTTCAAAAATCGGATTATATGCCTGTTATACCGCAAGATTAAACTGTATATGATTGCCATTGAAGACTTTTGTCTTCGTTACAGTGAATTGGACCACAAACGACGTGGCGCCGTTCGAGTCCAGCACAGCACCCACCAGAGGCAGCTGCGAATCGAGTGACAGCTGGCCTGGCGAGGTTTCGGGTATCGACGAAACTTCGTTCGTCGTGCAACAGATGCTGACGAAAGCATGCTTCGCGTTTCTGCGAAAATATTCAGGAGCCTGGCGATGCGATCGCCACTGAAACGCAGCCTTCAGCGACATCTATGCGACGTGCGCAAACAGCGAAACATGTAGGGATTTCGCGAATTGCTCGCCACAAAGGTGAGAATCATAAATCCGACAAGCTCATCACATGTCACCAAATGTAAGCAAATCAGTTATGAACCTGACTTGCTGACTTGCTCTTGGGTTGTGTCATCAAATTAGTTTAGCTGTTTGTTAGTAGCTGAGCAACGAAATCCAAAAAAGTCGCCGCTGCTGGTGCTATATACGCGACGCGAAGCTATGGCAGCGAGCGGTGCGCGCCGATGGGGGCTCGATCAACTATCAGTCCGTGGCAAGGTAGCTCTTGTAACGGGCGCCTCGTCGGGAATCGGCCACGATCTCGCGCTGTTCCTCGTGGCACGTGGATGCCACGTGGTCGCCGCAGCTCGGCGCGTGGGCCGCCTGGATCAGCTGTGCGCGGAGGCGGAAGCAATGCGCCGAGAAGCGGAAGAATTGCGCCGAGAGGGGGAAGGGATGCGCGGAGAGGCGGAGGGCATGTGCGGAGAGGGGGATGATCCACGCAACGGGAGAAGCTCTGACTTATCAAACCCGATTGACGCTGGAGGGCGGGAACGGCGGGCCGTGGGAAATGGTGACGTGACTCGAGAATCGTCAGTCGGAGATTCTGGACGGCCAGGATCGCATTTTATTGTTGGAAACGAGATGCCGGGGCGCATGAGGGCTGTTGCGATGGACGTCGCGGCGGACGAGGCGGCGGTAGATGCGGCGGTGCAGGCGGCGTGGGACGCGTTCGGGCGGATCGACGTGCTGGTCAACAACGCGGGGTTCCGAGGTGAGGCGCGTTGACTCTCGTTGACTCGCGTTGACGTTACCACCAAGGCGTGATTTCCACTACTCTGTGCTGACGTGGATGCCACGTGTTTCCAAGATTGCAGGGAAAAAGGTGGACGCGATCGACATCAGCCAATCAGAGTTCGACACGTCATTCCACACCAACGTCCGAGGCGCTTGGCTCGTTTCCAAGGCTGTGGTTCGGCGCGTGCTGGGGCGGGCTGGCGGGGGGGGCGCGAAGAGAGGGGAGGGGGATGGGAAAGGGGGGCAAAGGAACAGAGGAAAAGAGTGAAAGAGCTCCTGAAGGGGGTTGTAACGGAGGCACCCGCACGGTTTTGAGTGTAATCAACATTGCGTCTACGGCCGGTATACCCGGGGCCATTCTCCCCGGCGGTGCTGCTTACTCCTCCTCCAAGGCTGCTCTCATGCGCCTCACTGTGGTGCGTGCAGGGAGGAAAGGGGGGGGGGGGGGGGACAGGATAGGGTGATGGAAATTAGAGGATGAAGAGGAGGCAGCAAGGCCATTCTCCCCAGCGGTGCTGCCTACTCGTCCTCCAAGGATGCTCTCATGCGCCTCACTGTGGTGCGTGCAGGGGGAGGGGGGATGGGCGGAGGGGTTTATGGGAGAAGTAGGGAGGAGCGATGAGAGTGGCTTGAGACATTTGAAAGATCACCGTGTGTTGACAGTTTTTTTTTATTTACTTAGAAATAGCACTCTGTTTTTTTTTCCCTTGCATTCATCCCTCAATGCCAGGCCATGGCGGTGGAGTTGGGAGAGCATGGCATTCGCTGCAACTGCATCGCGCCAGGGATATTCCGATCTGAAATTACCGAGGCAAGTATGGGAAGGGGTGGAGGGGGGATTGATTGTACTTGACGGCCGAAAGCTACGGTCTCAGACAATTTGGGAAAGCCTTGAATGGATAGGAACACACACCTTCCCTCTCTGCTCTCCTCCCTCCCTCCCTCTCTCTCTTGTGTGCATCTCTTCAGAAGCTCCTAGACAAGCCGTGGATGGAGAGGAACGCACAGGTGGTGGTGCCACTGCAGAGGTACGACACAGTTTGGATGGCTCTGAAACGGTTTGGAGGCTGTCAAGAGGGGTAAGGGTGTAGAGGGAAGTACGAGATCAGGGGTAAGTGTTTAATGGGCGGTGTGCATTTGACCTCTCGACACTACTGCTGCGCGTTTGAACATCGCTGCTCCTCCTCCTCGGGGGTAAGTACGAGACCTCTGACGCCTCTGCCCTACACCACAGGTCGGTCAGTGACGTGACAATCCTTCCTAGGCCGCCACGCCTCGTACACAACCAACACCCAACTTCCCTTCCCTCTATTGGGCCCTCCCCTCGTTCTTCCCCCCCTCCCTCCCTTCCACAGGTGGGGTGCCATACACCCTCAGGTCAGGCTGACCTCTCGTCACTGCTCCTTCTCCTCGCCTCGCTTCATACATCATAGGGCAGTGCATTGCTGTAAACGGCTATATCAGTGGCTCCAACCTTCCTCACCCTATTGCCTTCTTTCGCCCCTCCCCCGTTCCTCCCCCTCCGCCACAGGTGGGGGACAATCCACCCTGACCTCACATCGCTTCTACTTCTCCTTGCCTCAGACGCCTCTTCATACATCACAGGGCAGTGCATTGCTGTAAACGGCTATATCAGTGGTTCCAACCTTCCTCACCCTATTGCCTTCTTTCGTCCCTCCCCCGTTCCTCCCCCTCCGCCACAGGTGGGGGACAATCCACCCTGACCTCACATCGCTTCTACTTCTCCTTGCCTCTGACGCCTCTTCATACATCACAGGGCAGTGCATTGCTGTAAACGGCTATATCAGTGGCTCCAACCTTCCTCACCCTATTGCCTTCTTTCGCCCCTCCCCCGTTCCTCCCCCTCCGCCACAGGTGGGGGACAATCCACCCTGACCTCACATCGCTTCTACTTCTCCTTGCCTCAGACGCCTCTTCTTACATCACAGGGCAGTGCATTGCTGTAAACGGCTATATCAGTGGCTCCAACCTTCCTCACCCTATTGCCTTCTTTCGCCCCTCCCCCGTTCCTCCCCCTCCGCCACAGGTGGGGGACAATCCACCCTGACCTCACATCGCTTCTACTTCTCCTTGCCTCAGACGCCTTTTCATACATCACAGGGCAGTGCATTGCCGTGGATGGCGGGCACCACTTGATGCGAGCTAGGTTAAACCCGAAGTTGTGACTTTAGGTCACAGCCGTGCATATTCAAGGCAGTACGTGTATCACATAAACACTCATACCGTACAGTAGCTGCCTCAGCATACATTACAGGGCAGTGCATTTCCGTAGATGGCGGGCACCACTTAAAGGGAGCTACGGTACCAGTAGATTGAATTCCGTGACTAGCGCCAAGATGAGATGCAATGATGTGGATTTTATGGCCCTTTTATATTTTTACAATGCCACTGTACAGTACTAGATCCAAGCGTGATACATACCGGTACACCTTTTTTTATATTGGTCAGAGTAAAACCATGGCTTGCATATTTGTAAACTATACACACTCAGGCTTCCAGTAAAGTGCCATAAGATACGGTAATCACATCCCAACAGGGACGTCAAGTGACCATGATGCTAGGAGCCTTTTGAGACGTCTCACAAGTCATATAGGCTTCCAGTGAAGTGACATGACAGAATCAGATCCCAACAGGAACATCAAGTGACCCTGATGCTAGGAGCCGTGAAAGCACCTGCAATTGCAACAACAGGGCAAGTGACCTGGGGGTAAACTTGAGAATTACAGAACGTAAAGTGACACAAGATCATCAGATCATCATATCCCCAACAAAAACACCAAGTGACCCTGATGCTAGGAGCCGTGAAAAAACCTGCAATCGCAACAACAGGGCCAAAGACCTGGGGGTAAACATGAGAATTACAAAACATGAAACTTTTCTAAAACCAGCATGGACAGGAGTGAGTGATAACACTCTAACAGCTCTCCTCTCTGCCTTCACCTCTCCATCCCTCCCTTGCAATAAGCCGATTTTTGAGTCGACTAATAAATCGACTTACGGGCATGGACAGGAGTGAGCGGTTACGCTCTATCAGCCCTCCTCTCAAAAGTCGATACTGGCATGGACAAGAGTGAGTGATAACGCTCTATCAGCTCTCCTCTCTGCCTTCACCCCTCCATCCCTCCCGTAGGCAGTAACCCGTCACCTCCTCCCCTTTCAACCTTTTCACACCTTCCTCATCTCTCTATTCCCCCGTCTCACCTCCCCACATCGCGCCTCAATCTTGATCCGAGCAATGCCATCAGCACGGTTAGGGCCCACAGCTAGCAGTGCTAGCGGCTTTCCTTCATGCACACATTGGCTGTAAGGGGGAAGAAGGACGAGGGGTGAGGGAGGTGGACAGTGGGTTGTGGGAGGTGCGGTGTGCAGCAGCAATGCCATCAGCACGGTTAGGGCCCACAGCTAGCAGTGCTAGCGGCTTGCCTTCTTGCACGCATTGGCTGTAAAGGGTAACGGGAAGAGGGCAGGTAATAGCAGGAGAAACAGTGCGAGCACAGGCATCAGCACGGTTAGGGCCCACAGCTAGCAGTGCTAGCGGCTTGCCTTCTTGCACGCATTGGCTGTAAGGGGAGAGGAGGGTGGGGGAATGAAGCGGGTGGGGGAATGAAGCGGGTGGGGGAATGAAGCGGGTGGCAGAATGGGTAGTGGCAGGGGCAGCACGGAATCATATCAGCACGGCTTGGCCCCACAGCTAGCGGTGCTAGCGCCGTGCCTTCATGCATGCATTGACTGGACATGGGCAAAGGGAAGAGGGTGGGTAGGGAGACGCCGCAGTGGATACACGCAAAAGGAATTGTCGTGTGGGAAATTTCTCAAATTGAAGAAGATAGGAAAGAGGGAGATGGGGGAGGTGGGGTGGGGGGTGAACATTGATTATCCCGTAATTTTATTTCCTATCTATTTCCCACCTTGCGATCCTAAAAGCTGAGAGCACCATCAGCGAGGAGCCAACGACCAATAGCGAGTCGGCAGATGACATCATCCGGGCAGCTTCTTGATTGCGGGCAGGTGGAAGGTTGTCGCCAAAAAGTACAACCTGCCCAAGGCCATGAAAAATACCACAAGAAGAGCTTGAACAGCGTGGGATTTTTTTTTTTTTTTTTTTTTTTTGAAGACATTCTGCAGCATGATAAATAAAGAGAGAAGGAGCGGCATACTCACATTGGGCTTCAGCACACCACCACATGCTCCACAGCTCGGCACAACGAACTCTCCGTGCCTCTCCCACTCCTCCTTGCTGATCTCTATATCCCCATCCGGCCGCCTCCGCATGCCCATCAACTCCCGCTCAGACACTCCAGAATCAGTGCTCCCAAACTCGGCACTTTCAGAACCAGCAGTTCTTGTCTCTGCGCTCCGCTGCTGCCGCCTCCTCATGCCAAATGACTCGTCCGATCCTGCTGGTCTTCCCTCTTCTAAGTGCTCCACAGCTGCTGCCCACTGAAGGAGTTTGAAGCAGGGGGGAAGGTGAGGAGAAGGGGGGAAGAGGGTGGGGTGGAGACACCTCACGTGCCTCTCTGAGTCCGTTGCGCTGATCTCATTATCCCCATCCGGCTTTTGAGACAACTTTTGAGATGATTTTTGAGGCGCCTCAAAAGATACCTCACGTGCCTCTCCCAGTCCGTCGCGCTAATCTCAGTATCCCCATCCGGCCGCCTCCGCATGCCAAACGACGCGTCCAACCCTGCCGGTTTTCCCTCCTCCAAATGCTCCACCTCTGCTGCCCACTGAACGGGTGGGAGGAAAGGAGCAGCAAATCGTGTGAGCATGCGGGTTCAATGGGGAGCAAAAACGAACGGACAGATCCTTTCATGACATAAACGATGCTATTTCGCAGAAAGTAAAAAAAAAAAAGTGTTTTTTTTTCCATTTTCCTTCGTTTTTTGTAATTTTTATCTCTCCTTAGAGGTACAAGAGGGACGGGCCCAGAAAGAAGAGGGAAACACGTACCTCTGGGTTGGCATCTTTGATCCTTTCCTGGAAGGTTCTTCGACATGAGATATCTCCACAGTTCATGCAGACCACCTGGTAGTGTGATGGGAACAGGAGATGTACAAGAAAGACAAAGTTCACCTATACGAATAGATAACGATACAAGTGAGAGACAAGCAGCAAGCCCAACTGCATGAACCAACCAACGGAAGAACCTTCCCTCTCAACTCATGGGCGTTGGAAGATGTAGGATTAACACAATCAACTCTTTGCCATGACGCATGAAACAAGGGGAACCCTACATTTGCTACTCCCTTCTTACCTCGTGCGTGGTGCCGTGGAGTTCAAGGGCTGGGCTCCCCGCAATGTGGTGCAGTCTAAGGGGAACCAGGATGGATGGGCACGTGCGTGGGGAGTTGTGTGGAAGAGGAAGGAGGGACGGGGGAAGTGGGAGGGGATGTTGTTTCATGGAAGGTCGCGGGAGCGCCAACGAGCTAAAAAGCTGGGATTTCCGGCTGGGCTTTCTGGCTGGGCTTCCGGCCAAGTGGTGTAATACGTGGCAGGACTGGAGAGACATCTGGCAGCATCGGTGCCACATCTGGCAGCATTGGTGACACATCTGGCAGCATCAGTGAGACATCTGGCAGCATTTGATACATAACAGCGTCTGAAACGCACCTGTCAACGTTCTGAGTGATGATTCCACCCTCCAGCCTCCCCCTCTCATGCAGCCGCGCCGCGCCAGTGGCCTGTGCGCCGTGCCCCTCACTGTCCCCCCAGTCACGCCCTACAGCTTCTGAATCGCACCTGTCAACATTCTGTGTGATAATGCCACCCGCTAGTCTCCCCCTCTCATGCAGCCGCGCCAGTGCCCTGTGCGCCATGCCCGGCCGGGCAGCTGAAAATCTCCGCCAGCCAATGAAGCTGCGAGCCCAGTAGCGTCTCCGGGCAGACAGGGAACGAACAAAGTCCTGGAGTTGGAGGCAAAAAGTTGAGAATTGAGGGGATTCAAATCACTCTCCCAACACATGTTCAAAAACATGAGAATGGATTAAGAGGCTTAAAAATGGAACAAACAGAGTGTTTGGTGGATCTTGCCGTGCACCCTTTACTGAATGCTTCCTTACTAGCCGTATTTTCAAATGCATGAATACTCTAGAACGTGAATCTCCCTCTCAAGTACCTGCCTGGTGGATCATTGGCTTGTACCCCTTACTGTATGCTCCACCTGGGCTGCACGTTTTTTACAACGCAAAGATCCATGCAGTCGTGCAAAACCATGAAACCGAAAGAAACAGAATCAATGAATTGAAAACCGAGAGAGAGAGAGAGAGAGAGAGAGAGAGAGAGAGAGAGAGAGAGAGAGAGAGAGAGAGAGAGAGAGAGAGAGAGAGAGAGAGAGGAAGTGTCAGGAACTCTTCTGGCGTGCTGATCACAGTGACTGTTAGCACCACCACCAGTCTATTGAAAAACATTCTCGTTATAGACTGACCTTCTATAATCCGGAATGCCGCTCTCCGTGCTCACACCAGCGCCAGTCAGCACCAGCAACCGCCGACTATCAGCCACGAAATCGTGCAGCTGTTCCAGCTGTCCGTCCGTAATTGGCGGAGCGTCGGGGATTATGGACGTTGCTAGACTGCGAGCGAAGCGGGTCCCTCCTAACGCGTGGCGACTATGGACGGACGCTGCGTGATGCTTTGATCTGTGCTGCTCTTTCAGATTTAATATAAATGGTAGATTAATTGCCTCCTCACGCCCTCTTATGCCAGAGGTGAAGGGACCAATCGTGTCGTTAGCACTGGGGATAACTGAGCGATACGATCGGATGGTGATACTGCTATCAAGACTGCCACTGCCACTGAAAAGACTCTTCTTGATCCCATAACTAATTCTTCCAAAATCAATCTTTCCGTTACTAAATCGCAAGGGCCACTCCGCCCTGTGCGGCGCGTAGAGCTTGTTAGCTAGCATCCTCGCCATGAATCACCCTCGAGGGATAAAGTTTCGTGCGAAAAGAACCAATAACTGGTAACGGAGAATTGCAGATCACCCGCGAGTCGCGAAGTGAAGACCTTGCTGCTTGCTCAGACACGGACAGAGTGTCTGAGCAAAGTGATAATGCTTGCTGCTGCTATCAGGCGGATTCCCACTTGGAGGCTTCTGGAATCTGGAGCTCCACAGACACGGATCGGAAGAGGGTGCCATGACATCACTCAATACGGTTGGATGCGATTATATATGTTTCCGCGGGTTCGGATACGCTAGATCGGTTTACTCCGAATAGTATTGTGGCTCGGAGTCGTCATTCTCAAGGCAATTTGTGCGACTGCAAGTGATGGGAAGGAGATTTGCGATAATAAGCAACTCGTTAAGAGTAAGCCGATGGGTGACCGCTTTCGTTTCACAAGTGAAACAAATATCAGTTCTAATTCATCAGAGCAGAACTCGTAGCGGCTGTCGTTGTTCGCGACCTGTGTTACCCGATGTCTTCATCCCGACCCCCACGAGGGTTTTAGGGGAACCCCATCCATCTTTCTCAACCGGGCACCGCTCTTTAGACCTCTGTAACACGGTTTCGTCTACTAGAACCGCATGGAACCCTACACAATGACCAGAATTTGGCCCACATTAGGTCACACAAACCAAGATCCAGCCACGAACAGTGCACCACAAGAATTCCGCTAGATTATGTCCCCCCTTATCGCGCTTCAGTACCATTTTTTGGCATTCTCAAGCTTGCTGTCGCTTCCCGAATCTCGCGTGATTCGCGGTGTTGTTCGAACGACTAGCTTGCACCTAAACCCACACAGCGTCACCCCATTAGTCGGCAGTCGTAACTCATCAGCCGTCAGCCGTCAGCCGTCAGTTAGCCGCGCAAGATGATTTACGACGTCAACTCGGCGCTCTTCCGTTCGTTTCTGAGCACCAAGGGTGCAGTCGTCGACAAGAAGTAAGCTCTCCTTTCCTTCTTATGCGTACACTTGACCCTCGTTCCTCCTCTTCTTCCTGTCACGGTCTCGCGCTTCCTTCCTATTATTTCTCCTTCGTCTTCCTGTTTTTCTTCGTTTTTTATCCTTTTCCCCTCATTTCTGCCTCCTCCTTTACTCCTCCGCTCCTCGTCCACAATGCGTGCGTGGGAGCAGGAAAACAGCGTCCGACGATGCAGCGGCCGCAGCAGCGTCAGCGGCTCTCAGTGATGCACCACAATGCTCTTCTTATTCCATTCATTTTCCCCTTTTTTTTCCCTCACTTTTGCCTCCCCCCCCCCCCCCCCCCCCCCCCCCTCCCCCCCCCCTTTTTTTTTGTCCGCAACGCGTGCGTGGGAGCAGGAAGACAGCGTCCGACGATGCAGCGGCTGCAGCAGCTTCAGCGGCTCTGAAGGAAGCTTCACTGAAAGACACGCCCAAGCCCGATTCCTCAACCATTCAGCAACCCGCCAAGTAGTGTGCTCTGGAAATGCAAAAAAACAGTTTCTTTAATAACCTATACCGTATTTCCAATGTAGCCCAACTTGTTTTCAAATGTAGAGAATGCGGCCAACTGCAGTGGTTTGGGTTGTGCTGGGCTGGACTGGGCTGGGTTGGGTTGGGTTCCCTTCTCTGCCCCTCCTACCAGTGCCTATACACCCATGTCTCATACCCATGCCTGAAGTTGAGGGAGGGATTATGTTATGATGCACACCTGGGATAGGATGGTGTGAAAACATTCATTTGTAAGAAAACGAAGTCAAATTACAGTACTAGGCTATATTTAGGGTGTTACGGTGAGCACAAGGATGCCAATACTTGAATCAAGCAAGCGCGGCAAGTACCAACCAGACACAACCTATCACAGGCCTAAGCAGTTGCCCTGGGCACCACTGTAGCTACCAGCTCTTCAGTGTGTGAGGTCGCCAAGGGAGCAGCAGCACCCCCTGTGGCACCCCCAGCAGAATCCACCTCGATGCGGTTATCCCGCGCGAAGCACACAAGCATGGTGGCGACGACGGGCACGAACACGAGCTTGAAGGAGAAGACCGTGATGCCCACGGCGAGAGCAACGGGGAGGAAGACGAAGAGCGCTTGGATGGTGTCGGACTTGAGGAGATGGCCGAACAGCGGGAGCATGAGGATAGACTGTAGTGTGAGAGGGAGAAGAGCAGGGAGAGAGGGGCGGGAATGGAGAGAAAAAAGGACAGACAGGAAATGGGGGAAGTGGGGGGGGGGGGGGGGGGGGGGTGGGGGGTGCAGTGGAGGTTGATTACTGGAAAGCAGGGGAGATAATGAGACACGGTGGACGACGGCATAAATACGAGCTTGAAGGAGAAGGCAGTGATGCCGACAGCAAGAGAGAGACGGGGAGGAAGACAAAGAGGGCCTGGATGGTGTCGGACTTTAGGAGATGGCCGAAAAGCAGCAGCATGAGGATTGAATGTAGGGGGAGCTGGGTGAAAGAGATGAGTGAAAATGATGAGGGGCAGAAATGAGCTTAAAAGAGAAGACTGTTGCCGACACGACAGCGAGAACCACCGGGAGGCGGACAGGCAGGCGGGCGGGCGAGCAGGCAGGCAGGTAGACAGGGCTTACAAGGAAGAGGAGGAGAAGAAGGGTGACGACGGTTGAAATAACTCCGAGGATGCACTTGGCGGTGAGGTTGACAGCGACGGCGGATTTGAAGTGGTTGCGCAGCAGAGAAGTGGAGAGCGCGAGCGAGCGGCGCGAGCCGTGGCCTGATATGGCCGCCACCACCACCACGAACCTGGGGGGAAGGAGGAATTGGGGAGGGGTGAGATGCGGAGGGAATTAGGAGAAGGCACTTGAAGTGGTTGCGCAGCAGAGAGGCAGAGTGACCGAGCGAACTGCGTGAGCCGTGGCCTGATATCGCTGCCACCACCACCACGAACCTGGCGGGGAGGAGAGAAGTGGGATAGGGGAGGGAGGGGGTAGATGCCCGAGCGATGATGGAAGGAAGGAGCCGGAGCAGGGGAGGAGGGAGAGGTGGGAGTGGGGAGGGGGGGGAGTGGCAGACACATGAAATGATGGCACGTGACAGGATGGTAAAGAAACATGACATGAAAGTTCTTTACATGCCCTGGGCCTTAGAAAAGGTAGGCACAGAGAGTGGCAGGAGAGGAGAAGAGAACCATATGGGACAAGTGAGGGCATGAGGGCATGAGGCAGTTTCACGCGGCTTGACTTACCAGGTGAAGAAATACGTGAAGATGAAGAGAGCGAATGCGATCGCGACACGTGGCACCACAACAATCGCCGACATCCCGAACAGCCAAATCACGAGAACATTCAGCAGCACAGACACCACCGTTGCCAGCGTCAGGATAAAGCTGACGAGACAGATAGTTCCCATAGAAGAAGAGTAAGCCAGCTTGACTGCCCGAGCCACTACATTCCATCGATCCACCAGGGCGTCTCGATCAAACCACCCTCCTGCTTCGTCTCGCAAGCTCCCCTCCCTGCTGCTGCTGGTGGCGTTGTCTGATTGGTTGGAGTCGCCGTTACTGTAGATCTGCGCTACTGTAGCTGCGGCAATGAACTGGAGAGTCACGCCGATTTGATACGCCATCCAGATGCCTATAAAGAGGAAGATTACAGCGAGTGGTGACAGCCAGTGCTGAACCGCTATAGTGTCACCCCATAAGACACATCTCTCCTCCTGGGCATGAAACGGCGAATCAGGCGATCCAAACAGCGGGTCCTGTTGCATTAAGAACCTGCAGGAGAAAACCAGCTCAACGAGGCTGGCTATAACGGGTACAAACAGGACGATGCAGAGGAAGGAAAAGATCGCCACCCCCACTATGAGGCCCCGGGCTCGGGTCATCACAGCCTGGGAGGCTCGACCAATCACAGTGGAGGAAAGAGGGTGGTAGTCCCTGCAGACCAGTAGCACTGCGAGAACGGCCAATCCGTTAAGTAAATCTGTTAGGAACATTTCAAGACTGAGAACGTAGTTTGCGTTGGGGTCAGGTCCAGGAGGTGGGGGTACGGGCTGGTTCGGATTTTGTGCTGGCACTGGTTCTGCAGCTTCCTGGAGCTTTCGCCTGTTGAGATAAGCAGCGAGGTGATTGGCAGCCGTGGCAGTGATGACGTGGATGTGAGGCCCGTCTGCTGACGTGTCACGTAGGAAACGTGACATGGAGAACGGAGCCGCAGACTCCAAAATGCTCGCCGCTGATTGGCCGCCGATACCCCCATGCGCGGCTGCTGACGTGGATGTGGATAAGGGAACCCCGGAAATCGCGGACTGTGGGGGCGCGTCAGGCGCCGCAGGAGCCGCCGGGGATCCCGGCGGCGGCGGAGGCGGCGTGTGAAGCGCCATGAGGCTGTGAATAACGAAGAACGCTACAGTAACTCTGAGGCACCACTTGACGAGCTTAACGGACATCCTTCTAACGCAGACAAGGAAAACGAACACGGTCGGGAAGATCGACACCAAGGCGATGGCAAGCGCGGAGAGCGCTTCGAGAGAGAAGAAACGCGACGCGAAGGAGTTAAGGGACAGCAACGGTCGGATGAACCAGGAGAACTCCCGCAGAACGAAAACCGCCGCGCAGATTATGAAAGCTCCGGCCCAGACCGGCTCGCGAATGGGACGCTCAGATGCGTTGAACACAGACGCGGAAGCGTCCAGATTCAGATGACCGCCGGCGCCAAAACGACCGCTTTCCCCGCTTTCGCCGGTTTCCTCGGAGAATTTGGCCATGGCTGATCGTCCTGTCTTCGCTCCTGTCAATCCGCCAGTCTCTTCGTCGTTATCACCGTTTTCGTCGTCGTCTTCGTCGTCGTCCCGGCGAGAGACGAGCGGCTTGGTCATGGAGTCTGAATCTGCTTCGGTGTCGGCGATGCTGATGTTACCAGTGCTGCTCAATTCTCCTGGAACTGGAGCCTTCGCCGGTTTAGTGCTGCTGCTCGAAGCAGCGACGTCGTCGGGTAGACCAGACATTTTTGTAGCTGTCAAGAGGCAGGGACTAGCGTGACGAAACTTACGGAACCAGCGTTCGAAAGAAAATCTTGTGAAAACGAAAATGGAATCTAAGAAAAGTCGTTCTTTTCAAGACGTCCTAGCAATACTGTGTCCGAAAGGAAACATCTGATTAGAGAAGAAAGACACTACTTTTATTTCTCAAAACCTAGTAGATCATACTCGCTTCACTCAGAAACGCCATGGCACAACGAAAACTGGAAGTGAGAACCTAGCAGCAATGGAAATATGTCACGAGTCAAGGTAAGCAAGAGATGGTGGACATCTGATGCATTCCCAGAATGTGACGCAACGCAACACCACGGTCCAATGCGTTTAAGAGCGTTTGAGAATGGTTCGTGAACATCTAAAACGTTCAACCATGGATTACCGAACCATACCAGGTCAAAGTATGCGAGTTCCCAGGTTCCTCAAGACATGACACCGAGGCACCGGCTTGCTACAGCCAAAGATTACTTGTACTCGATAAAGTTGCTCCGTTGCACGTTCAAAAAACGGAATGCACAATTCATATAACAGAGGTACTGTCTAAAGCTGAAATGCCATTTACAAATGGATGTGACTGCAAGCAGATACATTGATCACTTCAGACATTGTGAGAAAGCTTTGCAGGCAACATAATCAGGTAACATTCATAGCCAGTTACTTCACATCACATTATCAGTCAGGGCTCGAACCCCATGTGGCTGCTGGGTCATCCCCCCTTGTGAGGTACCCCTTTCTGTGCGCCTGAAAGTGCACTCCCAGGAATTGAACCGGCGACGTCTGCTTCTCCCCTTCCTTGGCCCAGTCGTCAAAATGAGTGTAGTGCATAGAAGAGGGGCACTTCATGCCGTCCTGAGGCCGATACTTAAAGAATTGAGTGGGCGTCTGCAGGGGAAGGGGGGGGGGGGAGGGGAGCAGTGAGAAGAACAGGAAGGTGCAGCAGCAGGAATTGAACTCGCGAAGTCTACTTCTTGCCCTCCTTGGTCCAGTCGTCAAAGTGAGTGTAGTGCATCGGCGATGGGCACTTCATGCCGTCCTGAGGCCGGTACTTAAAGAACTGAGTGGGCGACTGCAGGGGAGAACGCAGTCGCAGGAATTGAACCGGCGACCTCTGCTTCTCGCAGTCCTTGGCCCTGTCACTCAAGTGTGTGCATATGCTATGTTATCAAAGGCTTTTGAGCCCCTAAAACATTGTCAACAGCTGATGCGGCTCTGTTCTTACCTGAATAAATAAGTAGCTATTGAAGACACACCACCCCTTGTCCCACCAGTAAGAGAAACCAGTCATTTTCCATACAGGAAACCTGCTATGCTCTGTCGAGAAGTCAAGTTCTCACCTGGATGGAGAAGTTGTTATCAAAGACGCACCACCCCTCGTCCCACCAGTCTGTGGCGTTGCACCAGCGGGGCGTTGCAAACGAGTCGACCCGGAACTTGGGTGTGAACTTCCCCCGTATGCGCGCTGACCGCTCGGGAGTGACCCCACTCTCCTTGTCACAGATGCACTGATGGGAGGGGCGGGGTGGGAAGGGACAGAGGGGAGGGAAGGGAGGCAGGAAGGGGAGGATGAAAGGGAGGCATGGCACCAGCTACCACAGGGGCGTTGCAAACGAGTCGACCCGAAACTTGGGTGTGAACTTCCCCTGTATGCGCGCTGACCGCTCGGGAGTGACCCCACTCTCCTTGTCACAGATGCACTGATGGGAGGGGCGGGGTGGGAAGGGACAGAGGGGAGGGAAGGGAGGCAGGAAGGGGAGGATGAAAGGGAGGCATGGCACCAGCTACCACAGGGGCGTTGCAAACGAGTCGCCCCGAAACTTGGGTGTGAACTTCCCCCGTATGCGCGCTGACCGCTCGGGAGTGACCCCACTCTCCTTGTCACAGATGCACTGATGGGAGGGGCGGGGTGGGAAGGGACAGAGGGGAGGGAAGGGAGGCAGGAAGGGGAGGATGAAAGGGAGGCATGGCACCAGCTACCACAGGGGCGTTGCAAACGAGTCGACCCGGAACTTGGGTGTGAACTGCCCTCGTATGCGCACTGACCGCTCGGGAGTGACCCCACTTTCCTTGTCACAGATGCACTCTGATGGGCGGGGGAGTGCGCGGGTGGGAGTCAAAACGGAAAAACAGGGAAGGGGATGGGAGTTAAAACGGGGAAACAGGGAAGGAGGGTGGGAGAAACGAAAAGTTGGATTCATTACTAATACCTGCAGGTGTTGCACTATAACTAACCACACCTGTGGGACCAAGTTGTGGGGGTTCCTCATCCAGCAAATACTGTAACAAAGTCAAGCATCAAGGGAGACGATTATACCATACTTCTGGATGTAAGAATAGTACCTGTGGGTGCAGGTTTCTGATGGTTCTTCATCCAGCACACCGTGTGCGTGTACCATCCCAGCACCACCCTGTCGTTATAAGCACAAATAGAGATGTAGGGGCACACGCATGCGGCGTACCTATTCATGCCTGTGGATGTAGACTCAGCCACACCTGTGGGTGCAGGTTTCTGGGGGTTCTTCATCCGGCACACCCTGCGAGTGTACCATCCCAGCACCACCATGTCATTGCAAGCACGTGTAGAGAGGGTATCAGGACAATAGCAACCATACCTTCGGGTGTAGATTCAACCACACCTGTGGGTGCAGGTTTCTGGGGGTTCTTCATCCGGCACACCGTGTGAGTGTACCATCCCAGCACCACCATGTCATTGCAAGCACGTGTAGAGAGGGTGTCAGGACAATAGCAACCATACCTTCGGGTGTAGATTCAACCACACCTGTGGGTGCAGGTTTCTGGGGGTTCTTCATCCGGCACACCGTGTGAGTGTACCATCCCAGCACCACCATGTCATTGCAAGCACGTGTAGAGAGGGTGTCAGGACAATAGCAACCATACCTTCGGGTGTAGATTCAACCACACCTGTGGGTGCAGGTTTCTGGGGGTTCTTCATCCGGCACACCGTGTGAGTGTACCATCCCAGCACCACCATGTCATTGCAAGCACGTGTAGAGAGGGTGTCAGGACAATAGCAACCATACCTTCGGGTGTAGATTCAACCACACCTGTGGGTGCAGGTTTCTGGGGGTTCTTCATCCAGCACACCGTGTGAGTGTACCATCCCAGCACCCAATGTATACATATTACTCATACATGCAGGTTCTGGGCTCTGATCAACAAGGGTGTAGGGTTTCAAATTTACCTGGGGGTGCAGGTTCTGGGGGTTTTTCATCCAGCAGATCCTGTGCGTGTACCAGCCCAGCACCACCATGTCGTTATAAGCACACATGGGGATGCCGGGGCCCAAGCATGCTGCATATCTACTCATCATACCTGGGGGTGCAGGTTCTGAGGGTTTTTCATCCAGCAGATCCTGTGCGTGTACCAGCCCAGCACCACCATGTCGTTATAAGCACGCTCCGCTACAAGCCGTGCATCGCCAGGTTGCCCGTACAGGGTTGCTTCCTAGAGAGGACAACAAGAGAGGGGGGCAATGTGATAGTAGTAGTTACATTGCTGTTATAAGCACGCTCCGCTACAAGCCGCGCATCACCAGGCTGCCCGTACAGCGTTGCTTCCTGGATGAGAGGAAGAAGGAATGTGGAGCGAGGTGGTTTTTGAGGCGCCTCAAAAACCACCTCAATGCAGCGTTGCTTCCTGGATGAGAGGAAGAAGGAATGCGGAGCGAGGTGGTTTTTGAGGCGCCTCAAAACCACCTCAATGCAGCGTTGCTTCCTGGATGAGAGGAAGAAGGAATGTGGAGCGAGGTGGTTTTTGAGGCGCCTCAAAAACCACCTCAATGCAGCGTTGCTTCCTGGATGAGAGGAAGAAGGAATGTGGAGCGAGGTGGTTTTTGAGGCGCCTCAAAAACCACCTCAATGCAGCGTTGCTTCCTGGATGAGAGGAAGAAGGAATGCGGAGCGGGATAGTAGGGGAATGGCTATTGGAGCTTTATTAGGAGCTTCAACGGCCTGGTTGGCCGTACATAATTGCTTCCTTAGGTGAGACGAAAGAAAGAAATGGGGAAACAAGCAACAGCCAGCCACCATGTCGCTATGAGCATGTTCACCAACAGAGCAGCACCTGAGGACCAACAGAGCAGCATCTGAACACCAACAGAGCAGCACCTGACCAACACCTGAGCGCATACCTGAACAAACAGCTGGAAGAAGTCGAGGAAGTCAGAGAGAGCATCGTACGTCCAGAGGGACACGTGCCCACTCACTGCTGTGGACGCATACTGGCTGGGGCCTGGGGCACGAAGACTGTTAAGGAATGGGTGAGGGAAGGGGGGAAGGAAGGGGAGAGGGAACAGTCAGAGAGGGCATCGTACGTCCAGAGGGACACGTGGCCGCTCACTGCTGTGGACGCATACTGGCTGGGACCTGGCGCTCGGAGACTGAGAGGGAGCGGGGGCAGATAGAAAACGGGGCAAAAGGGAGGATGAAGGGATGGCGAGGGGAGTGGAAAGGAGGAGAGGACATCCAGAGCACGCGAGAACATCACACGTACAGGCAACCTGAAATTTAAAAGGATGCGAGACACAGATGCGTACTGGCTGGGGCCCGGGGCTCCGATAGTGCGGGGCTCCGATAGTGCGGGGCACTCAGAGCACAAGTGAGGAGCACGTGCAATCCAACCCCAAACAGGAGTCATGGTCTTTGCGTGGCAGCAGCAGCTTTTAGCAAAGTGTTTGTTTAGTGTGTGATAAAACTTGCTTTGAAAACCTTGTGTAAAGGAATAATTGCGGTAACTAGTTTTGGCTGGCTGGGGCCCGGGGCTCCGATAGTGCGGGGCTCCAATAGTGCGGGGCTCCGATAGTGCGGGGCACTCAGAGCACAAGTGAGGAGCACATGCAATCCAACCCCAAACAGGAGTCATGGTCTTTGCGTGGCAGCAGCAGCTTTTAGCAAAGTGTTTGTTTAGTGTGTGTTAAAACTTGCTTTGAAAACCTTGTGTAAAGGAATAATTGCGGTAACTAGTTTTGGCTGACTGGGGCCCGGGGCTCCGATAGTGCGGGGCACTCAGCGCACAAGTGAGGAGCACGTGCAATCCAACCCCAAACAGGAGTCATGGTCTTTGCGTGGCAGCAGCAGCTTTTAGCTAAGTGTTTGTTTAGTGTGTGTTAAAACTTGCTTTGAAAACCTTGTGTAAAGGAATAATTGCGGTAACTAGTTTTGGCTGGCTGGGGCCCGGGGCTCCGATAGTGCGGGGCTCCAATAGTGCGGGGCTCCGATAGTGCGGGGCACTCAGAGCACAAGTGAGGAGCACGTGCAATCCAACCCCAAACAGGAGTCATGGTCTTTGCGTGGCAGCAGCAGCTTTTAGCAAACTGTTTGTTTAGTGTGTGTTAAAACTTGCTTTGAAAACCTTGTGTAAAGGAATAATTGCGGTAACTAGTTTTGGCTGGCTGGGGCCCGGGGCTCCGATAGTGCGGGGCTCCAATAGTGCGGGGCTCCGATAGTGCGGGGCACTCAGAGCACAAGTGAGGAGCACGTGCAATCCAACCCCAAAGAGGAGTCATGGTCTTTGCGTGGCAGCAGCAGCTTTTAGCAAACTGTTTGTTTAGTGTGTGTTAAAACTTGCTTTGAAAACCTTGTGTAAAGGAATAATTGCGGTAACTAGTTTTGGCTGGCTGGGGCCCGGGGCTCCGATAGTGCGGGGCTCCAATAGTGCGGGGCTCCAATAGTGCGGGGCACTCAGAGCACAAGTGACGAGCACGTGCAATCCAACCCCAAACAGGAGTCATGGTCTTTGCGTGGCAGCAGCAGCTTTTAGCAAACTGTTTGTTTAGTGTGTGTTAAAACTTGCTTTGAAAACCTTGTGTAAAGGAATAATTGCCGTAACTAGTTTTGGCTGGCTGGGGCTCGGGGCTCCGATAGTGCGGGGCTCCAATAGTGCGGGGCTCCGATAGTTCGGGGCACTCAGAGCACAAGTGACGAGCACGTGCAATCCAACCCCAAAGAGGAGTCATGGTCTTTGCGTGGCAGCAGCAGCTTTTAGCAAACTGTTTGTTTAGTGTGTGTTAAAACTTGCTTTGAAAACCTTGTGTAAAGGAATAATTGCGGTAACTAGTTTTGGCTGGCTGGGGCCCGGGGCTCCGATAGTGCGGGGCTCCAATAGTGCGGGGCTCCAATAGTGCGGGGCACTCAGAGCACAAGTGACGAGCACGTGACGTGCGCACCCTCGACGTTGGCGTGAGGGGTACCAGGGGGTACAGTGCGAAGCGTGAGACGCGCTGTATCCCACCCCACCCATACCTGGGCCAGCGCTGGGACAGCCACCAGATACATGCAGGAAAGGAGAATGGCGACGACTTTTGAGGCGCCTCAAAAGTAGACAGCGCTGGGACACCCACCAGGTGCATGCGGGAAAACAGCATGGTGGCGAGTGCAGTGACGTTGGCAAATAGGCATCCACACACCTGTGCCCATGCCTCCGATACGTATAACCCATGCCGCCATTACCTAAGGAGCCGCTGCACCCATCCCACTCGTACCTGGGCCAGCGCTGCGACACCACCAGATGAACTCACGAGAAGAGCCTGGTGGCGAGGTCTGTGACGTTGGCGAAGAGGCACCGACACATCCACGCCCATACTGGCACCCTCCATACCCATGCACAGCAGTGTACCTGGGCCAGCGTTGCGACACCACCAGGTGGACTCTCGAGAAGAGCCTGGTGGCGAGGTCTGACGTTGGCGAAGAGGATGACGTCCGAGTCGAGGAAAAAGACGCCCCTATACCCCACACGCATACCCCCCCACAACTGAACACCCAACCATACCTGGGCCAGCGCTGCGACACCACCAGGTGAACTCTCGAGAACAGCCTGGTGGCGACCTCTGTGACATTGGCGAAGAGGATGACGTCCGAGTCGAGGAAAAAGATGGCCATACACCCCGCACCATAACCACCACCCCGAACACCTACAAACCTACGCACCCATACCTACGCACCCATACCTACGCACCCATACCTACACACCCACACCTACGCACCCATACCTACGCACCCATACCTACGCACCCACACCTACGCACCCACACCTACGCACCCATACCTACGCACCCATACCTACGCACCCATACCTACGCACCCACACCTACGCACCCAGACCTATGCACCCACACCTACGCACCCATACCTACGCACCCATACCTATGCACCCATACCTACGCACCCACACCTACGCACCCATACCTACGCACCCATACCTACGCACCCATACCTACGCACCCATACCTACGCACCCATACCTACGCACCCATACTTACGCACCCATACCTATGCACCCATACCTACGCACCCACACCTACACACCCATACCTACGCACCCATACCTACGCACCCATACCTACGCACCCACACCTACGCACCCACACCTACGCACCCATACCTACGCACCCATACCTACGCAACCATACCTACGCACCCATACCTACGCACCCACACCTACGCACCCACACCTACGCACCCACACCTACGCACCCATACCTACGCACCCATACCTACGCACCCATACCTACGCACCCATACCTACACACCCATACCTACGCACCCATACTTACGCACCCATACCTATGCACCCATACCTACGCACCCACACCTACGCACCCATACCTACGCACCCATACCTACGCACCCATACCTACGCACCCACACCTACGCACCCACACCTACGCACCCATACCTACACACCCATACCTACGCACCCATACCTACGCACCCACACCTACTCACCCAGACCTATGCACCCACACCTACGCACCCATACCTACGCACCCATACCTATGCACCCATACCTACGCACCCACACCTACACACCCACACCTACGCACCCACACCTACGCACCCATACCTACGCACCCATACCTACGCACCCACACCTACGCACCCACACCTACGCACCCATACCTACACACCCATACCTACGCACCCATACCTACGCACCCACACCTACGCACCCAGACCTATGCACCCACACCTACGCACCCATACCTACGCACCCATACCTATGCACCCATACCTACGCACCCATACCTACGCACCCACACCTACGCACCCACACCTACGCACCCACACCTACGCACCCATACCTACGCACCCATACCTATGCACCCATACTTACGCACCCATACCTATGCACCCATACCTACGCACCCACTCGTACCTGGGCCAGCGCTGCGACACCACGAGGTGCACCCTTGAAAACAGCATGGTGGCGAGCTCAGTGATGTTGGCAAAGAGGATGACGTCCGAGTCGAGGAAGAAGATGCGCGGAAAGGCATGGCGCTCCATGAAGGCCTTCAGGATGAACCAGCGCACCTGAGGGAGTTGGGGGGGAAAGGGGGGGGAGAGGAAGGGAAGGGAGAGAAAGAGGGAGTTGACATGAGATACATGAGGGTAAGCGGAGATGAGGGGAGAAGACAGAAGGCATGGCGTTCCATGAAGGCCTTTGGGATGAACCAGCGCACCTGAGGGAGTTGGGGGGAGAAGGGGAGATGGGAGACACAACGGGACAGACAGGGTGACGGGGTAAGAAGGAAGAAGATGTGCGGAAAGGCATGGCGCTCCATGAAGGCCTTGAGGACGAACCAGCGCACCTGAGGGGGAGGGGGGTTGGGGTTGACGAGAGACACACGGGGACATATGGGTGAATGGATGAGAAAGGGGACCTTACGGTAAGGGGACCTCAGGTACACTAACCTCCTTAACCCAGGGCCCTGATGTATCTTTAGGTCTGCTTCTCACCTCCTGAGCCTGAGGCACCTGTAAGCCTACCTGATCTGATACCAGGACACAGGGTCAACCAGATTGGCCGAGAAAGAACCAGCCAACGACATCTTGATACCCAATGACGGGGTCCAAAACGATATCCAGCTCCCTCGCCATCTCCACACACTCGTCGCTGTCCGGCCCGATGAAATACACCACTGCGTTGCGCTGCTGAGTGTGGCGGAGGCAGCTTGCTGAATTACACCACCGCGTTGCCGTTGAGAGAGTAGTTGATAGAGCATCACAGCATGCCATTGAACGCACCTGATAAGACACAGGATCTCCGAGGTTAGCAGAGAACCAGCCAACCACGTCTTGGTACCCTATCACTGGGTCGAGAACGATATCCAGCTCCCTCGCCATCTCCACACACTCGTCGCTGTCGGGCCCGATGAAATACACCACTGCGTTGCGCTGCCGCGTGTGGCGCAGGTTGCGGTGCATGAAGTGCGAGGGGCGGCAGGCCACTGACCCTGACGGCTGCTGGTGGACTACCACCACTGGAATGGGCTGGTGGGGGAAACAAAGGGAGACACGTAGGGGAGATGCAGGGGAGAGAGAGGGCATGTGGGCTGCCGCTTGTGGCACAGGGCAGGTTGCGAGGCATGTAGTGGGAGGGGCGGCAGGCCACTGAGCCTGACGGCTGCTGATGCACCACCACCACTGGGATGGGCTGGGAGGGGGGAGAAGGGCGTGTGGGGCAAAGGCAAGAGGAGAGGAAAGAGGGAGAGGAGAGCCTGTGTGGTGCCGCGTGTGGCGCAGGTTGCGAGGCATGTAGTGCTAGGGGCGGCAGGCCACTGAGCCTGACGGCTGCTGATGCACCACCACCACTGGGATGGGCTGGGAGGGGGGAGAAGGGCGTGTGGGGCAAAGGCAAGAGGAGAGGAAAGAGGGAGAGGAGAGCTTGTGTGGTGCCGCGTGTGGCGCAGGTTGCGGTGCATGTAGTGGGAGGGGCAGCAGGCGACCGAGCCTGACGGCTGCTGATGAACCACCACCACTGGAATGGGCTGGGCGGGGCCGACAAGAGAGGGAACGGGGGCGGGGAGGGAACGAGCATGCAGTGAGATGGTTGCGGTGCCGCGCCATGAAGTGGGAGGGGCGGCAGGCCACTGAGCCTGACGGCTGCTGGTGAACCACCACCACTGGGATGGGCTGGGGAGGAAAACCAAGAGGAGACATGCAAAGGAGACACAGGGGAGAGGGAGGGGAAAGGGAGGGGAGGAAAATTGGAGGGACGGAAAGGAGTATTGATGTTCGCTGGTGTCGTGTAAGGCTGCGGTACATCCAGTGGGGGGCGGGCAGAAGGAAACTAATGTTGCAGGGTGGTTTTAAGAATCCTCAAAAAACACCTTGAAAGGCTGCGGTACGTGTAGTGGGGGGCGGGCAGATGAATAGTCGTCAGGGTTTAGGCAGAGCGCATTTTACAGATAAAGAAACGAATTCATGGTAAACTGAGTTTCCCACGTCATCCAGCCAGCCTCACCTGCACTTGCCACGTCAACCAGCATGCCCATGTCAACTGATTGGCCGTGACCGATCCTAGTCACACCTGATCGATCATAGTCACACCTGATCGATCCTAGTCACACCTGATCAATCCTAGTCACACCTGATGGATCCTACTCACCCTGCATTCGTCCACGTCAGCACTCCAATCAGTCCTGCTCACCTGTTTTTTCCACGGCTGCTTGAGTGCCGTGGTAATGGCGTCTGGAAGCTGGCGGTTGAAAATATCCGACGTGAAATTGGCAGGCTGGCGAGAATGGGGCGAAAGGCGGGGAGAAGGGATGGGAAAAGGGAAGCTGTGACTGATGAGTCGACTCAGCATGCCGTAGTATTGGCGTCTGGCAGCTGACGATCAGGAATATCCGATGAGAGGTTGGCAGGCTGGAAAGCGGGGTGAAAGGCGGGGAGAAAGGAAACGGTGGGGACCAGCAGCTGGCAGTTGAATCGAAAAAGACCGATGTGAAACTGGCAGGCTGGCTAGGCGACAGAGAACGAAGAAGGGGCGAGGAACTCCGTATGCACCGTGCAATCAGGGTTCATACGGGTGCATGCTGAGTTGCGCACGGTGAGAAAGATCAACTGAACTCTTACTATTGCCCGTATGAACTCCGCATGCACCCGTATGCACCGGGCGGGCAATAAGGGTTCATACGGGTGCATGCTGAGCTGTGCTGCACACAGTGAGAAAGATAAACTGAACTCTTACTATTACCCATCTTCTGGATGCCTGTTCAGGGAATGAAAGAGGATGGATAGAACAGATCCAAGCACCCTTCCCTTTTGAGGCGCCTCAGAAGTAGGCCCAGCTTCTGGATGCCTTTTCAAATGAAAGAGGAAGGATAGAACAGACCCAGGCGCCTCAGAATTAGGCCCAGCTTCTGGATGCTTTTCCAAGGAATGAAAGAGGAAGGATAGAACAGACCCACCTTCCCTCTCGTGCCCGTCATCTAAATTGGATTGGACTGGAAATTTACCTTAACCCGCTTGTGGATGCGGCCTCCTCGGGGGAACGGGCAGGTGAACGGCAGCAACCAGCAGCCGAGCGTGAGCCATCTGCAAGGGCCACGGTGAAGGGTAAGGGTGTTTTGGGGGGGGGCGGGGGGGGGTGTGGAGAGAGAGGAGGGAGAAGGGAAAGGGGGTATAAGTAGGTGGGTGGGCAACGATGAACGGGGACAATGATGGGGGAACGAGCAGGTGAACGGCAGCAACCAGCGGCCGAGCGTCAGATATCTGCAATAGGGGAGCCAGCCACGGTGTGTAAGGGAGCCAGCGGTGTTTTGAGTCGACTCAAAACATCAGCGGCCGAGCGTGAGCCATCTGCAATAGGGGAGCCACGGTGTGTGTGTAGGTGGAATCGGGGGAGGCAAAGGGGGAAGGGGAAGGGGGCATCTGTGTGGGTGGGTAGGAAACTATGTGAAATGTGAAGGAGGGAAAGGCCTCTGAACGGCACGGCAGCAGCCAGCAGTCGAGCGCGAGCCATCTGCGGTAGAAGAGCGGCGGAGGGTGGGGTCGGGAGAGGCGGGAGGAAGACGTGGGGGAAGTATGTTGGGGGAGATTGTGGGGATTCTATGTGCGCGACAAAGAGTGTGAACCAACTGCAACATGACACGTGCAGTGCGGAGAGAAGTTGGAAAGGCTGACTCCGACGAGGCTCCGCCACAACTGCTTTCAAGATTGTATCGTTACGCACCAGGACCAAAAAATTTGAATTATTTAGGCGCTCGAGAGTGACCATACAGGAACGTGATTGCGGCGAGGGCGAGACCAACTTGAACCCTTCTATGTCGCGATCCGGCAGGTCCGCCGCTTCCAACTCCGCCGATCACGGACACGAGGAACCGATTGATCTGAGCACGGTAATTGATTCCCTTACTGCGCTTCGAGTGAGAGTCTCCTGGAGACGCGTGCGACGGCGAACCGCCAGTTAAATGGACTGCCATAGCATGCAAACTGCTAAACTTTCGGAATCTAATCACAACGAAAAAACCCACCGAAATTTGACTGAGGAGAGAGGGTCCATCACAATATTTAGCTAAGTTCCATAGCTACTCATTCACACAATCATCTGACTAGCAGCCGCCTCGAAACTAGGTGGTGCAGCTCATAAAAGGCATCTAAACATTCCTACGAAGAGCACTGATATCGTTGTTTCGTGAACACAAAAAAACGAGCACCGTTTGGATGCGCGAAACGCGGTGAAGAACCCGCGGTACGTAAGTGAATCTCCAGTTTTGCAATTCGGTACCGTTGATAACTAGGAGCTATGGAGTTGATATTGAGAACATGAAGTTGCTACCTACTTCGACTGGACTGCATCTGCACCTCGGAAATCTCAAGGTACCTGAGGGCGTCTGAAAGCTTGTAACCGCGCAGTACCCTACCCAAACACCTCTGTGCGGCGCAAATCACTGGGCCACATTCTGTCCAGCGCCCTGAAGATTCGATAATGCAAGAGATAGAGCAGACTGTTCCAGAAACTGATAGTATGACAAATAGCCATGCTTTCACACTATAGGAATGACAAATAACCATTCTTTCTATAGAAGTAATATCTAACATTCTGAAGTTTTTAAACTGAATCTTGACAAGTGCATTCCAATTAGAGTCAAATTTCCACATGTGCCAACCTGTGTTGACACAATGGTTCATTAGGCAAGGCAATCAGTCAGCATCGAGCACGTTAGTCCACGTAGAGGGACACTGGCTTAGTGGGTTGCAGACCTAAACTGTTAAGGCCAGGACTCTACCACCAAACCACTCAACGAAGACTACCAGAGTAAGCACCTCTAACCAATCCAAGGCTCAGATTCAGTTTATGCACAGAGGCTTGTTAAGCTTCAGTCCAGCGGGTTAGGGTTATGCCTTCTTAGATAACCAAGGCAGTAGGCACTGCTTCGCCATAACTGGTGATGCCACTTCCTCTTTGCCCTTCCCCTCACGTGACACTTTCCTGGTAACCCCACTCCCCTTCTCCTTAGCAACTGTCCCCTTCACAGACTTCTCCGCTTTTAGCTTCCGCTCCTGCCCTTTCGCTACAGCAGCACGAAGCCTACTCTCCTCCGCAACCTTGCCACTTCCTTTCCGCGCCAAGGAACTCTCTTCAAATTGCACACACGGTTCTCCGCTTTTCCCCGCGGTTCTCTCCGCTCCCACTGCGCCTTCCACTTTCTCCCTCGCTCTTTCCGCGTTTCCCCCCAATTTGTGAACCGCTTCCGAACTTCCGCTTCGCCGTAGCGCTGCTGCCGTTTTCCGCTCAGATCCCCCGTCCCGTTGCTCCCCCCCCTCCCGCTGCTCCCCCACGTTAGGCTCCGGCTGAACCTTGCTTGATTTAAGTATTCCTTTTAGCGGTTGCTTAGCCTCCTGACTCTGGCTCGGCTGCCTGCTATGCTGCACCTGTACTGGTTCCGATTGTAGCGGGTACACAGATGGGCTCAGATCATCCTCTGGAGACTCGTCTTGAATGCCTGTGATATCAAGAGGAGCCAGTTTCGGTTTCCGTATCTGCGGCCGCTGCTGCTGCTGTTGCTGTGGTGAGTGTGAGTTTAACGAGCGCGAGCTCGACTGTGATCTAAGCGGAAGCGCGTGACTCACGGGGAGGAGCGCAGCTGAAAGCGCAGGGCCGGAGCGATTACACTGGCCGGCAACGCTCAGCTGACGTGGCGTTCGCGGGGCGAAATCCCTCCCCGCGCCTGCACGCACCTGCCCTTGCGCCGGTCCGCTTCCGCTAGAAGGCTTTCCGCTCATTGCTACCGAGGGGCTCTTTGGAAATGCGCTTGCCTTCACGTTTGCTACGGCGGCTGCTGCGCGGGCGGCGCTGGCGGGGGACTGCGGCGGGAGAGAGTGGGAATGCGCGAGTGCGCGCAGCTGATGCTGGTTGGGCGGACCAGGTATCCCCGCACTTCCTCGGAAAGAACGCGGGGAGGCGAAAGACACCTGCGCGACACCGTGCGGCGCGGCGGAGGGCGCGCGTGGGGATTTCGACGGGACGCGCGGGGATTTTGCAGACAATGACCGCCCTCTGGGGGAAGGCTGCGCTGCTGCATGTCCTGGCGCGTGGGTCGGCGGAAAAACCTGCAGGCGCTGCTGCATGCGGCCGGCAGGAAGGCGGGGGGTTCTGGCGGAGCCCCCGCTCGTTGCGCTGCCAGCGCCACTGGATGGGCGACGGGATTCGGCGGCAGGCGGCATGCTAGTGGCTTTTACAAGCACGCGCTTGCCGCGAGTGTTGCGGGGAAACGATGCGGAGCCGCCGCCTACGCTGCCGTAGTTGGCGCCCCCCCACGGGGCTCCGGAAGCGGTGGTTGCGGCGACCGCGGCGGCGGACGCGGCGAGGCTCCCCCGTCCGTGCGACCGCTCGTTTGGCATAGTGCCGGCCTTGCGCATCTTGCGCTGTCCGCTGTCGCCGGTTCCGCTGCCGCCGCTGCCGCTCCTCGCGGCGCTGCGGCCACTGGCGGGATTGCAGCCACCTGTGGCGTTGCTGGCAAAACTGCCCGTTGAAAGGGCGGATCCCGACAGCTGGCGCCGATGACCGTTAGAACTGACGGAATTTTGGCGCTGGTGACCGTTCGAACTGATGGACAGCTGGCGCCGATGACCGTTAGAACTGAGGGAGTTTTGCCGTTGATGACCGTTGGGACTGAAGGACTGCTGCTGCTGATGACTGTTAGAACTGAGGGAGTCTTGCCGTTTATGACCGTTATAATTGACGGACTGCTGCCGATGATCGTTAAAACTGACTGACCGCGATCGCGCGTGGTTCCCTCGAAGTTGGCGCGTGGTTATGGGCGCAACCGTCGCGGAATGGACAGGCAGAGACGCGGAGCCCGGAAAGGCTGCGCCATTCACGTTCGCCGCAACATTCGCGTTCGCCGCGGCGCTCGCTGCGAAGTTGGCTGATGGAGGATTTTGATGATGACGAAGCGAGGAGGCGTATAAATCGGCAACCTGAGCGGGCGCGTTCCCTGGAGCGACTTCCACGTCAGAAGCCGCCATTTCGAGCGTAACGCAGTCTTCGTCGTCGTCGTCATCCTCGTCGCACTGGGAATAGTAATCGTCGCCTTCGTCGGCATCGTCGTCGAAATCATCTTCGTCGCCCTCGACGTCGCAAAAGTCGTACACGGGCTCGCCGTCCAGGACGGGCGTCTGCGGCTCGTCCTCGTACACTATAACGGAACCGATTTGCTCCATAGCGGAGTTGAAACTGGATACCGAGTCATACCCATTCCAGGACATTACACCCATGGCTTCGAACGAGCCGCTACCATGCTCTTCCACTCTCGATAGCGGATCGGACAAACGGCGTTGGAACGGCGGTGCGATAGGCTGTGCGAAGTCCTGCGAAAAATACGACGCCTCGTCATCGCAATCGTCGTTTACTATCTCCCCTTCGATAACATCATCATATTCCGAATCGCTTGTCTGAGACGGCGGCGCAGGTTGCGGATAAAATTGAATGGATGAGTTGGAAAGAGGCCGGGTACGAGCTCCTTTAGCGGGAGTGGCAGCGGGAAAGACGGGAGGAGAACCGGTCGTCGTGAACGAGTTGGGCATTGACGGGTAATACATCGCCATGGATTCTCCAGGCCCAGCGAAGGGCGAGAAATGCTGATGAGGTGGCTGAATCAGAATTTCTGCTCCTTGACTCATTTGGGCAAAGTGAACTGGCAGAGTGGAGGTACCAAGCGAAATTCCAGAATCACTAGACCTAGGACTCGTGAGTTCTAGGGACAAGTCGACGAGGTTCAAAACTCTTTGTCCAGCGGAGGCTAGGCGTTACCGAAACTAGTCGGCCCAGATACAAATGAAGAGTGCACTTGAGTCGTGCTTGTGAAATGCTGAGGTCTGCGTTTGCCAGTGTGGGTGGAATGGAGAGAGCGAAGGAGACGAGGGATACAGCGATCCTAATGGTACAATGCATGAGATTCAGTCATTAGGGCATGCGGCCAGCAGGGCTGGTTCTCTTGTGTTGTGAGGGTGGGAAGATATCGTACAAACGACAGCAAGAAGTGCTTCGATTCCCCTCAGGTTCCCCACACTCGAGCCTCCCACTCCGACCTCTTGTCGCAGCTTGTGCTGGTCAAGCTCAACATCGAGTGTTGTTGAGTCGACGCTCGGTCCTTGGTTTGGGAGAGGGACTTGGAATGGAATGGGAAGGATTTGTCAGTCTTGGATGTACGGGACTTGTGACTTGTGACTGCAGGATTCACGAATCTCGCTCGACTCGACACCACACAGAAAAAGATGAGAGAAAAGAAGGGTTTGGAACGGTTTGGTTCGTTCGATTTGAAAGTTCGGTCTACCACGGAAGCTGAAAACTAAGAACCGTAGAGTACACATCTGTACCGTACAGCACAATTCACGGTTCAGTCCAGTGAAGTGAAAGAGGGGCGGCGAAAAAAGCTCCTTGCCATTCCTCCTCTCTCCCACTCTCTCGTCCTCCTCTGCTGCAGGTAAGACGAGAGAAGCTAGCCACTACAGTTGGCTGGTTGGGGGGGGGGAAGGCGAGCCAGAAGCCAACAAGAGGACGACGTTTTCTTGATGATCGTTCTGCACGCATTGCCTCTTCTTGATTCGCCAATAACAGTTTGTCGGTTTCGCTGAAATTTGTAACGACGAACAAGCGGCTGCTACTGTACTATAGCGAATTTCAGCAGGCTTGCCATCCAGTCAGCTCAGCAGCAGCAGCTTCATCCAACCACAATGGTTTATTGGATCAACTTGTCGGGTTTGTTGGACAATTGGCATCAGGAGGAGGTGCCTACGGCGAACCGTCAGTGAGGTTCGGACAACCGGGCCGGAGCTGCCGGTTTGTGTGTTTTGGACGGGGCTGGGCTCGGATGAAGCTTTTTTGGGGGAGAATTGTTGGTCTTGCAACACAAGTACACCCCACGATGCCCAGAAGGATTACAGAGTACTCGTTAGTAGCATCTGCAACAAAAAACACGGGCCATAGTCGAAATTCTTACCATGTATATTGACAACAGAAGAATGAAACACCTCTTGAAACTCGATGGAACCCTGTCCCCCGCTAAAACCAGAGAGCTGATCTGATCTGCCTGCCACTCCGTCCTGCTAATTAGAAGCTTCGAGATTACGTCCAACGAAGCGTGTCGCTGATAGCGTTTCCCTTATATCTCGCTGTGTGCTCTTCGTCGAAATGCTTTCGCTTAGCAGCCGTCCTTGCTGCGGCTTCAGTCGATCAGAAATCACAGCCGCGCCTGGATCGAACCCACGATCGCAAGCACAGAAACTCGGGGTGCAATTCCATCAACAGCGATCATGGAACCCTCGGCGTCGGATCGTCATATCGGCAGCGGGGAAAGGGTCAAAGGCGAAGACGGCGTCGAGTGGAGGCTTCGGCGCGAAGACCAAGGCCGGGGTGAAAGCGGCGGCCGCGCCTAAAAGTGGGTAGCGTTTTACAATGTAATAACCTTTTTTCGCCTTTACCTTTGCTTTTTGCCGTAGCGAAAGTTTTGGAATTTTTCTCCTGGTTAAAGTTTTGATTTGAATTTCGTCTCTATCGATTTCGCCGTATTTTTGTTACATTTGTGAAACGCCACCCTCTCTCAATTCGTTTTGCCTGGCCGACTTCTTCCCTGATCATTGTCCCCCAATGCCGCATTGTTCCCCCCATCCCCGTTATTAGTCGACGCGGCTGCTCTTCTACGGCGCAGCGAGCAACAGTACCACCAGCTCCTATGCGACTACCATCAGCAATACCATTCCCAGTCAGAAAATGCAGAAGCTTCCTCTGCAGATTCCTTTCCGGAATCCCCGGGCCTACGGGAGTACGTCATTTGCGTCAGGCGAATGCACCAATCGGGTGCCACGTCAGCGGGGCCTGCTGCTGACGTGGCCCTCTCTGATTGGCTGCCTGTAGTGGAGCTGGTGCTAGTGTCAGACGAGGAAGCAGCGACGGCCATGCCGAAAGTGCTGCCACACGTGTGCAGGTTCGTAGGAAACGTCTAGGGTTTCGGGTTGATTGAGGGTGTTGGAGAGAGGCACCGCTGAGAAGCGGGAGGGGGGGGAGGAGCGGGGGAAGGGGTGGGGTGGTGGTGGGTAAGGGGGTGCGGGGGAAGAAGGGATGGGTGTAAGGGTCAGGGCGGGTCTTGGAAGGGGATGGTGGGGAAGGGAGTGTGGGGGAAGAGGGGATGAGTGTATTTGTCAGGGCGGGTCTTGGTGTAGCACGGTTGATTACCCCCCTGTCAAAGCCCAATTCGTGCTTTGCACCTGCTAGTGCAAAGTGACCCTTTTCTCACAGAACCCGTGTTTTTAGGGTTGCCTGGAATCTGTTTCTCTGCCTGACTTCATCAAGTTTCTTCCCAGATTCCCTCCTTGACGCCTGTCTGTCTGACTCCTGTCTGTTCCAGATTTCCGCATTTTCTACTCTGACTCTGACTCTACTCTGTCAAGTCCCAATATTGACTGACTACAATATCTGCCTCTGCCTGCTTTTCTAGTTGCTCCCCGCCTTGACGCCTGTCTGTGCCGCCAACCCCTGCTCCCGTGTGCTGTGGTTTAGTTTTCATGGTTTGTTCCTTTCTGGTTTGATTTTCCTGGTCGCAATATTCTGACTGCAGGTTGATAGCAGAGAGCGCAGGGTCGTTTGTCAGCTCAGTGCCACGTCACCTGTAAGCTGCCTGCCACCTGTTCCCTTCACTCTCCAGTCTCCCCTTCATCACAAGCCTCTACTTCTTGGATTGCTTCAAATTCACCTCAATTAAGCACTTTCCTTTCTTCTTTTTTTCAACCAGTACTGCTGGTAACCACCACCCGTCACCCGCCATCCATCCACCACCCGCCACCTGCCACCTGCCACCTGTCGTTGTGTCCTTCTTCATGCTCCTTCCACTCTGTAACCTGAAAACTTTCCACCCAGGCTGGAGTATGCATACGAGAGTGCGGAGAGTTCTACTACAAGGTGGTAACCACCACCACCTACAGGCTTTCATCCTGTTCTCTCTTCCTCATATTTCCCTGTTACCCACTGCATCCCACACACAACACAACCCGTTCATCCAGGCTGGAGTATGCATACGAGAGAGTGGTGCAGAGAGCTTTTATGAAGAGAAGTTAACCACCGCCTTCCACCCTTCCCCCTGTTCTTCCTCAACTCCTCCCTCTACCACCCAATACCCTAAATCCATTCACCCAGGCTGGAGTACTCATATGAGAGCGCCGAGAGCTTCTATGATGAGGTGGTAACCGCTTTGCTCGGCTCCTCGCCAAACCCCCTCCCTCTCTACCAACCAACTTCAATTATATCCCCTGTCACCCAGGTTGGAGTATTCATATGAGAGCGCTGAGAGCTTCTATGACGAGGTGGTAACGGCCATGCTCGGCACTTCGCCCTCGTTGCCAACGGGGGGTGACAATAAAGGGACGGAGGAGCACTCCTGCCCCTACTCCATCCTCGGGATTGCCAAGAGTGCTGCTCCCTCTCAGGTGCTGCTTATAGGTGCTCCCTCTCAGGTGTGTTGAGCCGTCTCAGAACACAATAAAGGGGCGGAGGAGCACTCCTGCCCCTTCTCCCTCCTGCCCCTTCTCCCTCCTTGGCATTGCCAAGAGCGCTGCTCCCTCCCAGGTGCTCCCTCGCTGGTGCTGCCTCCCAGGTGCTCCCTGTCTGGTGCTCCCTCTCAGGTGCTCGCTCTAAGGTGCTCACTCTAAGGTGCTCCCCACAGGTGTGTTGAGCCGTCTCAGAACACAATAAAAAGGGCGGAGGAGCACTCCTGCCCCTACTCCATCCTCGGTATTGCCAAAAGCGCTGCTCCCTCACAGGTTCTCCCTCTTAGGCGCTCCCTCTCAGGTGCTGCCTCACAAGCCCTCCCTCATGGGTGCTCCCTCCTCGCAGGTTTTGCACTCTCCTTGTGCCTTGAATTCCTCCGCCAACCCATCCAGTGTGTTCTTGTGAGATGCATCGTTCTGCAGTGTGCTTTCCTAACAGTTCCCCTTCTCTCTTCTTTCCCTCTCCCTCACGCTCACGCTCTCCTTCACCCTCTCCCTCTCCCTCTCCCTCTCCCACTCCCTCTCCCTCTCCCTCTCCCTCTCCCTCTCCCTCTCCCTCTCCCTCTCCCTCTCCCTCTTTTTGAGTCATAAAAAATCCATACCTTCAACCTGAACCCTTCCTTCTCTCGTGGCTCAGATCCGGCAGCGTACCGCTCCTTGGCATTCAGGCACCACCAATACAGGCCCAACTCCCTATGACTTTTGAGAGTTCTAAAATTTCATACCCTCAACCTGAACCCTCCCCCCCTCCCTCACTCAGATCCGGGCGGCATACCGTTCATTGGCAGCCAGGCACCACCCAGACAGGCACAATATGCATGACTCCTGAGAGTTCTCAAAAGCCTTTCTCTCTCAACCTGAACCATCCCTAACTTCTCCCTTGGCTCAGATCCGTGCGGCGTACCGTTCATTGGCAGCCAGGCACCACCCAGACAGGCACAATACGCATGACGATAAGGCCTCTGCTGAGGCCCAGTTTATGAAGGTGAGGATGTGGGGAGGGGTATGTCGTGTACAGTACAATACGTACTGCTGATGAGTTGTTTGTCCTCGTGATGGGCTTAAGAAGAGGTATTTTCATTCCTTCTTTTCTTCGTTGCCTTGTTGCTCACATGATTTTGAATGGACCCCCAAATCTGCAGATTACCGAGGCTTATGAACGAATCAAAAGGGGTGGCCACGTGTCTGTTGGTGCATCTTCTGCTGGTACCTATGCTTCATTGGGAGGGGGCAAACGGGAGGGGCTAAGCCCAGCACTGCAAATTCGACCAAGCCCACCAAATGAGAAACTACCACCTGGAGTGACGGTTGCTGTTAGAGGGCTGGAACCTGAGATAGTTGAGCTTTTCTTGGCTCAAGCAACACGACGATCACGGTCTGCAGCAGCAGCTGCAGTTGCCGGTACAAGGTGACAACAAATTGTGCCGATCTGTGTAGGACTGTTGTATTGTAGGAAAAAAGCGTATTGTTTATTGACAACTCGGGAAGCCACAATCATTAGGGAGCTGTACAAAATCTTGAGGGAGTAGTAGCAATATCGAGGTACAATTGGCTCTTTGTACTGCTGGTGAATTGAGTTGCTTGCTAGATGTAGCTGTGATCATGGGTTAACCGACTTCAGAAATTGGCCTGAAAGTTACTGTAATGAACTTGACTTCCTAAAATTATGCTTATCTCAAGTTTGACATTAGTTACAACTAGAGTGTCAGGAGGTGTGCGGTTCGTGGGTTCCCAGCCAGCAGACAGGGCTGCAACGACCACCTCGAGTTCTCCCCCCAACCGCGGGGACTGGTGTTTTCATCTGGCCAGGCTGGAAAGGAGGGAGCGGGGACTGAATGGTGTTTCCCGCCAAGTCGTCACAGCCAATCCCCATCGTTCTCTCTATGTGCCTGATGAAAGTGGTGCAGCATGCCTGTCAGCTGCACTTTCTTGCAAGCTGAATTCTGTCTTTCTTAGCATGGGCCTTGACTTAGCTTCCTTCTGAAACTCCGTAGGATACAAAATCTAGGAGTTTTCAAGGTTCAGCATCTCGAGCGGAAAAATCGCGAGGGTTATTGCAAGACCCGTCGATTGTTTTAGTGTGTGTCTGGTCTCGCCTTCGTCCCGCACTCTGAGTGGTATTAAGAGTGTTGGTTTCGCGTCATGGAGCAGGTGAATATAGGTTGGGGTGCTGTTGGTCGCTTTTGGTGGAGCATTTTCGCGCGTTCGAGACAATCTAACGGTATATGTTCTTATTGCAGTATGAGAAAGTCGAGAAAATCGGAGAAGGGACGTACGGTGTCGTGTACAAAGCGCGTGATAGACTGACCAACGAGACGATAGCGCTGAAGAAGATTCGGCTAGAAGCCGAAGACGAGGGTGTCCCAAGCACCGCTATTAGAGAGATTGCACTTCTGAAGGAGATGCAGCACGGGAATGTTGTCAGGTTAGTATTGGCGTCGCTGGATCCATTGTTCTTCCCATCGGGGAACTTTCCGAAAGCGAATCTGACCCGACTACCATATCTTGACCTCAGGCTTCAAGACGTCGTGCATGCTGACCGAAGGTTGTACCTTGTCTTTGAGTACCTCGATCTGGACCTTAAGAAGCATCTTGACACGAGTCCTCACATAGCGCAGGACAGGATGATTATCAAGGTGAGCCTCGTCATTACCAAAAGTAGTAGAATTGAATCCATAAGCTATCTGGGTCGGTACGTTTTATTAGAGTTAGAGTGTTTATAGATATAAATTCAACACGTCGACCTGCTCGTTTGCCATTTGCAGTCCTACATGTACCAGATTCTTCAAGGAGTAGCATACTGCCACGCTCACCGTGTTTTGCACCGGGACTTGAAGCCTCAGAACCTTCTCATCGACCGTCAGACAAATTCCTTGAAGCTTGCTGATTTCGGCCTTGCCAGGGCCTTTGGAATTCCAGTGCGGACGTTCACACACGAGGTGAGATGGGGCTACCAATTGATTTCACGCAATCATATTGTTCTATCCTTCACCCACGAATTCGCAAGGGGCGGGACTGATCATGAACGTACCATGGTTGCCTCACACTACTATGACATTCCGCCCGTTTTATGCTTCGCTTGATTGCAGGTCGTGACCCTGTGGTATAGGGCCCCAGAAATCCTTTTGGGTTCAAATCACTACGGAACGCCTGTGGACATCTGGTCCGTTGGTTGCATCTTCGCGGAGATGATAAATCAGCGCCCCCTATTCCCAGGAGATTCCGAAATTGATGAGCTGTTCAAAATATTCAGGTGAGTCGAGCCCCAAGACGCCGATTGATGGCTCAACCAGAAAGTTCCCTTACCTTGTTCTGCTTGTCTGTGGCCTCTTCACAGATTGTTGGGAACGCCAAATGATGACAATTGGCCAGGAGTTTCACAACTTCCTGACTACAAAACATCGTTTCCTCAATGGACAGCCAAGGTAGAACCTCCTCTACACTCGTTTTTGGATTGTTCTGTTCTGAAGGAAGTTATACGACCTAGGTTGGACCATTTGGTGCATCATAGTCCCTGTTTCTTGCTGCTGACTCTAAGCTCATGCATGATCCGTCTTTTTTCTTCCCCAGGATCATCAGTCCATTGTGCCAACCTTGGAAAAGAGCGGAATCGATCTTTTGTCGGTGAGTTTCTGGGTTGCTTTTATTTTTTCCTACGGCTCCATTCATCGTGCTTTACGTTCATTCGAACTAGGTTATTCATGCCTGGTGCCTTTTTCGTCTGCAGAAAATGCTTTGTCTTGACCCAAGCAAGCGTGTCACTGCACGAGAAGCACTTGAGCACGAGTACTTTAGAGATTTGTTAAATCTAGCCGGTCGCTGAGGAAGTGTTTATTGTGGACTTCAGTTTGCTGGTTTTGTTTTGTGAAAACACTTGCTGACCTTGTACATTGTTTGCAGTGCCAAGATCCTTGGTGTATCTCAACTAGCACCAAAATTACAATACCGGTATCAGTTTCTACAGTTTTTCGTAGCCATCAATGTTGAAACACAGTAGCGAGGACCAACCTAATCCCTCGGCTCAACTCAACCCTCGCGAGCTTCAAACCTGAACCCTTCAAAATCCTTGGAGGAAGCCATTCATAGCTTTCGCCTGGCCCAAAATAAACTGCAATGGTGCCGAATAGCTGACGCCTGCGTGTGGAATACCTACTGGCACGACCGGCCGCTGTCTCGCCTCAGCGTTCTCGATTGGCGCCCTTGCTCGGAATCCAAAGTTCGGGAGCGGCTCTCTTAGAAAAAGGAGGATGTTCGTAATCTAGCACTGCAGAGCACGCTTACTCCAGCTGGTCAGCGCTTTTCTTTAGTGGGGTGCATACTTTCCTGTCTAACGGGATTATAATATATGGAGCTTCAAGACACTCCCGTATCGGCGGCAAAAGGCGGGCGATTATTACGCCGTTTTCTTCAGTACGTTCCAGAGCTTCAGACTGACGCTCCAGATCTTTATTCGCATCTTAGCACTATTCTGACCGTTCTCGATCCATCCGGACCACCAATCAATGCGCCAGAAGCCGATGCACATAATTCTCCTGAGGTCAGTGCTGGTAAGGGTTTAGCCAACAGCGCCGTCGCAGATGGGGGCGAAGGTGCTAACGAAGCAGAAGAAGCAGAGTTGCGGAAAACAGAAGCTGCAACACCAGCGAGTAAGACGACATTGTCTGCAGAGAATACCGATAGCGGAAAGAAGAAGAAAAAGAAGAAAGCGGTGACAGTCGATGGTAATGTTGGTGCTGGGGATAAGCAAGATCCTAGCGTTGGGACAGCGAAGACTCCCAAGAAGAAGCGGAAGTCTCTGAATGCTGCAGCAAGCGGGGATGCTGACGGGGTCATACAAGAAACGAGTCAGCGGCAACACGGCGTAGAGGAGGGGAACGTTCCAAGAGCAGATGCGATCCCTGACAAAACGGAGAATGGCGTCGTGAGCGAACAGAGTGCAAGGAAGAAGAAATCGAAGGGCCAGGCCCAGGGGTTGCAAGGGACGCCAAGCTCGGGTGGAAAGGGTGGTGGGAGCGATTTTAAGGAGACAGGTGGAAGCAGTGTGAAGCTTGGTGTGACACAGGAGACGGTGGAAGGGAGATTGCCAGCAAAGTCAGCTGATTTGGCCAAGTTGAAGTCTCCTGATTCAATAAAGAAGAAGAAAAAGAAGCATGCAGCGCCAGCTGGTGATTGAGTCGCCTTTTTATCAAAATGCTGGAATTGTATGGAATTAAGAAGACTCCAGGGATGGCAATTAGGTCCGAGGCGGTCTGCTGTACCCAGGAGCGCGTGCGGTGAATCACTTGTTTTGTTGGCAGCATCATGTTCTATAAAGCAGTGTGTTTGACCCCTGAAATGCGTTTTTTGAGTCCATCTTCATTAGAGCCCCCTCCGTATTGAATCTGCAAAATAACAACATGATCTAGGGTAACCTGCAGAAACCACATTAAAAGCTCGCAGATGTTTGTGATTCTCTTGCCAAGTGCAGGGAGAGACAAGCAAGAGCTCAAGAGGCTAGTGAAAATGCTCATTTGGGCTCGTGGGCATCCATGAAACCCGGCTGCTCATGATTCGTAGTGCCTGCCGAGGTCTCTCTCCAAGCTGCATGCATGTGTTGCAGTATGCGGTGCTGCAATCAACACACCACAAGCTTGTTTCAAACGATCGGAAGAGAGAACATTTGAGTTTGGTGTCACCACAACCCACTTACTGAGTGGAGCATCATAAGAGTGGGCCTGAGATGACACGATGGATGGGGTGGAAACCAAACATTGGCAGAAACAGTCATGGGACCGAAGGTGAAAACCTGCAAGAGATATGAACGAGAGATGAGATCATGGTAACCATTCCCAAATATTTAATAGGACAAGATACGGAACAGCTCTCCGTTCTCTCACCTCGTGCCACCATCCTGCTGGTATGAAGATCGCTTCTCCCTGCATTAGCTGTACATAGGCACCAACAACAGGTAGTAGAGTACTTTTTGTACATAATACGATCCTGTTGAAATTGAGATACGGTAGAGCAATGGAAGCCCTCACCTGGACTCGGTAACATGTAGCCTGGGAGAAAACAAGAGGATACTTTTCAGGGCACGCAGTGAGGATGGAAGGCAGAGACGATTTGTTGTTGATACGATCTGCCAGTAAAACAAACACAGAACTTATGCAGGTTAAGGACAGACATGTGTACCTTAATGATCGGCATATAAAGTGAAAACGAGGCTCACTGCACCTTCGCTCCAAGGCATGGGATAGAGGAAGATGGAGTCAGAGGGGCTGTAGAGATGAATGATCTTGCTGCCCTGCAAGCACACGTGAACATTGTCCATGCCATCAAAGTGAATCTGACTTGTGGCACTCCGTCCCACCCACAAGTTCCATTGCTCACGGCCACCAGCCAAACATCCTGTAACCCCTGATCCCCTCGCCCTCGCTTGGCTCCCTTTGTCCGCTGCCTCTTTAATTTTGTTGCATTGTGCCTCCTGTTGTCTGAGAGCCTCCAGGAAAGGAGGAGAAAGCGTGGGAACCAGCAGCTGGTCTATGAATGTTCGGAAGCCATGTGGCGTGCTTCCACTGGACAGCTGCTCGTCTGGACATTGAGATTTCTCAGTGAGACTGAAGTCAATGTCTGACTGTATGAACGCAGATGATTGGGGAAGTCCACGCCACGCCAGATACAACAGTTGCCATGCTGGCAGGGGCGACTCTGATGACTTGGATTGTTCAGCAGACGTTTGAGCGGACCGTCGAGCATGGGTTCCTCTGCAGGTTGATAGGAATTGGCCCAGAGGCATCAAGTGCACAGTGGAATGTGGGAGGTAGGAGAATCGCAACGCCGGGGCTGGTTGTGGCTCAGGTGCTGGGAGAGTGTTTATGTGCCTTGCTGCTTCTTTGACTTCGGATGTCTTGCTGATGGATGGCTCGCTAGCAGCAGGTACTTCTGCTGCTGCTGCTGCTGCTGCTGCTGTTGATGATGGCGCTGGTGCCTCACAGGCTTGCACAGCCGCATCGCCACTGGAAAGAATGCTACTGCTATCCACACACCGCCGCTTCTTCGTCTCTCCTGCTTCTGCAAGCGCTGCTTCTTCTGTTCCCACATCGCACGAGGCCCTCTTGACCGTTGATGACACCACTAATCCGGCGTCCCTGCTAGTGCTACGGAAATCGAGGCGGAAGACCTCAACCTGGCTGAGGGGGGGAAAAGGGAGAGGAGAGGCAGGAAAGAGGCAGGGGAGAGGCAGGGGAAGGGTGCGGAGAGGGAGAGTAGAGGCTGGTGAGTGACAGATTAGAGGCCAACGCGACGCAGGAAAAAAAAAAGTAAGATAATAACCACAGAGGAACGCAAATGAAGCACGCAGACGTCATAACGAGCTGATGCGCATCAGATAGCTCGTGTTTGATGCAAAGAATCAACAAACAAGCTCATTACACGTCAAGTAACCTTCTTCCCTTCTGACAGCTCACCTCTACTTCCTCGCCAAGAAGACCTTCTAGCCCCTCCGTAACGCTCGGAGCTTGGAGGATCTTCGTCCACGGTGGTAACCAGTCCGCTGGCATCACTACTGGTTGAGAGTGGAACGCTCGACAACTGAGCTCGAATTCCGCGACTGTGGGTGAAGTCGTCAGGCGTTTCACGGGATTCAAGTGCTTGAGAGAAGCTTCCGCTGCGCGAAGCCTCATCAGAAAGTGACGTTGTAGAGGAGAGGCTTCCCATTCTGAAGAGCAGATTACATTCTGACTTGAGTGGGGAGGTTTTTCCGCCATGAAGAATATAGCTTGGGAAATATGACTGGTGATTGGTGAAACTGAACAGAAGATGGTGTTTTTTCGGACTTGTGCCGCTTGCGAAGCTCGTTTACCATCCTAGGCGAAAATGGTTTGCTGTTGCGAAATTATTACTGTTTTGCTGGGGGGCCTTCGCGAAGGATTTGCCCAGATGTAGGTGTCGCATGAAGAATTTCGCACAATCTACCCTCCCCCAAAGCTCCCTCGGGAATGTCTGTGTGAGACATCTATCCACAGAGAAGAGTTTGCCTGCAAAGCCAGAGCCGCCCCTTGAAATTGTCGACAGACAGAAAACAGCTCCGTTGACGTCGACTCGCGCCTCCAGTAGCCAACCGTGACAGAGCTGAGCCGAATTGGGAAAAACAAATTCCTGATTCTGCCGTCAGGCTAGAGAATCGAAGACAATCTTGCCTTGCGTCCCGAATGACTGATTGCGACATGGCCTGTCGGAGATGTCGATTGTCTCCGTCAATGGAGGCCGGGACAGACGAGAGGATGAACAACTTGCGCATGGCGAACAGCAGAACAATGTTTCCGTCAAAAGAAGAGAGACGATATCGTAATTTTCGATCATGAATGGACAGGATGAATTCCGTCGTAGCAGATGCCTTACCCCGTCCTTATCCCATTGACGTCCGTCTTCCTCAGCACTGCACTTCCATGATTCTTGAACTGCTGGCCTATTCTACGTTACCACATCACGTCCGCCATTACCTTGTCATAGACTATGAGGGAGCTAGACTTGGAATTCTCTCAGGCCTTAGATGAAACATCATGGATGTCACTAGCAGTGATTTCTTCGTCAAGTTTGATAGGAATTCCTTAGGGATTTGAAGTGGCCATAGTTATTTCACTGCTTACGACGGATCCTCAGAACGGAAGTTTTTTAGCTGACTGCTCGTTGTCTAGTCCCTTATTCTATGTTGATTCCGTTCAGAGCGTCAACGTTCCGCATGACACCTTGTTGCTGAATGCATCTTATTCTCGATTGACATCTCGGCTTCCCTCTCCTGAACTTCTTAAAGAGTTTCCTGCAATGGCTGACTCCTTACGACGTCCTTCTCGTGGTGGTGATTCTTGGTCTGCCGTTCATCACCTAATACCGTCGCTCTCGACAGCTGCTCCACCCTCTGTTACATCAACTCCAATTCCTGCTTTGTCAGGAACGTCAAGTGATCACCTCTTCTCATCGCCTAAACAAGTTCCTTCCAGTCGAGCTTCTTCTATACCATCCATGCTTGCGACCGAGCTGCAGGAAAATAGTACTGTCAAATCTCTGATTTCAGAGGGGCTTCAAGATCCTGAGGAATCAGGAGGCTTTCCGTCGTTTCTTGGTGGTGAAGACCTGGACGTTGGGATAGTTGATGAAAGGGAGAGGCGAAATAATGGCAAAGAGCATGAAACTGCTACAACAGATGGTGATTTAAGCCGTGTTTGCAACATGCTGATGAGCCTATTTGCTAGCCATAGCTGCAGCAGCACACCACGCACCACTGGCAGCCCTGCTCAAGGGGTAACTCCCAGCGATCTAGTTACAAGGAGACGTACGGACGGGATGACGCTTCCACAGCAGCAGAATGTCCAGGCAAACAGAGGCGGCAGGGAAGGTTTCGACTTATGGAGAAACCTCCCAAACTTGAGGACCAGACCACCTCAGCAACGAGCCAGTGTCCTGAGGGAAGGCCAGGAGCGCCTGACGACCCACACACAACCTGGTGTCCGTAACAACAGTCATCGTCCCTCTGGTGGTATTCTTGAGAAGCAAGACGTGGCCAACCTTCTAGATGCAGCTTTAGCAGGAGCTGCACTACAACCGGACGAAACCAGGTGCGTAGTAGTCAGGAGTATGATTGTGCTGTGCTAATTCTTAGTTCTGTTCCAAATGACAGCATCCTTTGTCTTCTCAGATGGAAACGTCTCGGTGAAGGCCTGGAATCGCTGCTGTCTGGCCTGCAAGATCAACAGAAGGAAGAAAACGTCAATTACCTCATGCAGTGGCTGCAGCAAGTGACTGAGGTAGGCCCTTGCCAAATTTTAAGGTGAATTCCTCGTGCTGAGTCAAATAGTGTAATCGATTCATTCCTGTTCTTGTGGTTGTACAGGAACAAGATTCCACTTCTATGCAGGATTCTGACGTGGCGGAATGTGGTAATAATGACTTCAGAGCTACCTTTCTGCAGCAGCTGGAGGTGATTGCAGGATTCACCTCACACGAAGTGGCTTCCGGATCCAGTTACTTTGACCCTGTGGATCTGGTGGGAAGCTTTGGTGAGCTGAGCGAAGGGCCTGCTGCTCTGAACGACAGTGGCACGGAGTTGTATGCCAGCAACAGCAACAACAGCAACAGCAGCGATGGGCTTGGGAGATTGGCTTGTGTCTCTGATGCTGCTGGAAAGGCACGGCAGGGGTGCAATTCTGAACACAATGAAGTGCATCGCAATGGAGAGAGGAACCCTGCTGGAATAAGTAAGGAAGCTCGTCCAGGGAATGTGCATGTCAGGAGGAATGGAATTGGACGGAGTCATGGAGCTGAGCAAGAGATCATGGCAGACGACAGTGGAACTGAAGCTGAGAAAACCTGCAGCAATTCTGAGGAGGGCGAGGTGGACGAGGATGATGAGGCTCCAGTTGGATTGAGGGCGTACAGCAGCGCATGGAGCAACGTCCACAGTGTGAACTGGCTCGCGACCAGGCGCACCTCTGAAGATAGCTTTCTGGGGAACCGGTCCAGTGAGAGGAGTACCAGTGAGAGGCCTTCGCATGCTCGGAGGCCCATCGGCAGGACTGCTAGTGGAAGGAGGTCAACGACAGATGTGAAGGGTGACGACAGAAAGAGGTCCAGCAGCGTGAGTGTTCCTGGAGAAAAGAGCTTCGGACAACATGATGGAAGTACACTGGCTGCTGTGCAAGCGTCTAGTGTTCATGCGCAAAGACCACGGGGAGTTTCTGGTTCTGCTGCAGCTGGAGAGCTTTCAGAAGAGGAAGGGCCTTATCCATTTGTGCCACAACCACAGTTGCTGTCGCAGGATCGGTCTATCTCCCTCTCCTCCTTCCTCACGAATTTCTCATCATCAGATGCAGGCTTGCCTGACTTTGCTCTCTCTCCTCTTAAAGCATCCCCTGCTACATCATCCCACGGCTCCCAGCCTCAGTCAGATAATGGCTCACCCTGCCTTCCATCCTCAGATGACGACCTTCCTTTGGCTTCACTTTTACGCAAATCAACAGAGTGGGGAAAGCTGCAGTCGTCCTTGGGCTATGAAACAGGGGCTGTGGCTAGCTGCTCTTCAACGAGCATAGAACCTGGCCCTAGTGTGCAGCTCCCTATACTTCCTCCACCTCCTTCAACCCTTGTCCCTCCTGGCCTCGCTGCTTCACTTACAACCTCACCGCATCCTTGGTCCTCCTCTAATTCATCCGCGAGTCTCATGGCTGCTAGCATTGCTTTCTCACCTCCCTTGCCCTCCTCAGCCCTTGGGCTTCATGAGCCTGATAATCCAAGCACACTCCCCTCGTTACACACACTCACTCTGCCGCAGAACCTACTTTCGTTCTCCAATCCCTCTGCCTCCTCTGACAGTGAGGCTGGCTCACCCCTGCATCAAAGCACCAAGTCTCGGGAAAGTCTTCACTCGTTTTCAGATCCCGATGTACCTCTGCCCATGCTTCAAAGCACCAGCATGAACAGTCAGGCTGGGGAAGGCACCAGTGGGTTACTTCACAAGGAGGAGACGCCTGCAGAGGAGAGGAATGCAGCTACAACACCTGCTACTTCTGATACAAGAACCGCCATGGTCACTGGATTCATGGGGAATGTAGGCGCTGATACCATTGCTGGAACCAGTGCCTATGCTGATATACCTGGTCCAAGCAGCAGCAGAAGGACTTCCGAGATTTCTGGCATGGGATTGCTGTCAGGAGGAGGGATTATCTGGGACGAGACGGAGGAGGGCAGTACACTCTTGCACTTGGTGGGAGAGGCGGATGATGTGCGTGATGGTGTTTTTAGCATGGAGTCTGGAGGAAGTCTGGATGGTGCTGCTGGAGGGTCGGACGGGTTGGAGAATTGGTATGGTAAGGCGAATGGGGATGGTGGACCGACAGTGCACCTGTTGTCTAGCGGAGTAGTTTCTGAAGCAGCCGGAGCTGCAGCCAGCACAGCACAGTCTGGTGGTAGTGCATTAGGAGCTGAAGGCATGGATTTTGAACTGATTCAATCAGGCGGGCGGAATAAAGTGGTTGCAGAGGAAGCCACCCCTCGCCTCTCAGCTGTCCTGCAGGTCCTCCAGTCTGCCCGCCAGAAGATCCGAGCAGTCACTGTTCCACCGCAGCTGCAGCCATCAGCAACTAACGGGATGCTCCTGGACTTCCAGGAGACTGCCAAATCGTCCTCACTGCCAATG